CAGCTGTGTTTGTTAGCAATTGGGCAGCAGTAGCTGCCCAGTCTCTAGTTTTAATTAGAGTGAGCAGCTTCTGACTGACTATTTTAGAGATTTTATACCACCCTTACATGAATATGGGAGTCATATTGATCCACATAAGTTTTTTTTTTTTTTTTAATATTAATCTGATGGCTGGCTAGCAAGCGGTAACCAGCTGCCACATGATTAACCCTCGTGCCGCCAAGGTGCTGATAATCGGTTTTCATGAGCAAATTTCGTCCATACCGAGCTATCATATTGACAAGCATGCTAGAATGCCAAATATTTGTACTAATCAAATCCAAGATGTCCGTAGTCCTTCGTTTAATATCTGATGGAGATGTTTGCACTGACTCCATTAAAAAAAGGCAAACACATACAGGGCTATTTGTCACGCCAAGGGTGCATAATTCATTGTTGTACAATAGAATATTGCTATTTAATGTAATTTGTGTCATGCATATATGAATGGACCACTTGGTAGAGATCAGATGACAGAAGGGGTAATGTAAATTGCATAGGAGTGTGAAAGGGGTCAGATGGTTCACCATATGGATTGATCCTTTGATTAATCAAAGACTCTGCAAGGTGTGAGAAGTCACACATAAGTGGCCTGAAAGTCTTTGGACTCTCTAATTTGCCATATGTCTAATTTCCCTCTTAGATAGGGGGTCCTTTGATATGTTAATGGCCATTAGCCTTGTGTTCTAGTGTTATATCCAAAATAAACATTAATATTTACCCACAGATTAATAATTAAGCCTCATTTTTATTATATTTAGAATGGGACAAGCACAATCTTCTAATCAAGCCCAAACATCATTTGCGTAAGTTAACCATAGGGGAAGGGATTGTGGTGTCCGCTATATTGTGTCACAAGTAAGGAGTGTGACATATCTATGGATTGGTAAAATGGTAACAAATTCATACATGCAATTTTTATTTCTGTGGCAAGTACATAAGAGGAAATAGAACCAAATGTTTCCGTTTGGATTTATGTTGGTCTGGAACTCAAGAGGGTGGTCACTTATAGTTACTATAGGTATGCCTTGTCTCCACCTTTGGGCGAGGCTTGGTAATCTACAGGGTATATATATCTAATGATACTGAAGTGTATATTGTACTTGCTTGGGGCAAGAATCTAATTCTGAGTGAGTCACCATCTTTCTTGTCAGAGACCCCCTGGGCAGAGTTTTACTTTGAAAACCTTAGTAAGTGATTAGGACTTCTGTTATTTTATCCCTTTTTTTTTTTTTTTAAATTCTTTATTTTTGTAGTGCATAAGCTTAGTACAATCGCTTGTGAAGTACCCCAAAGGCAATCTTCCTGCGCATTATAAAACATTTAAACATAGAGGTACAGGATTGATCTTGCACATTTTTATAAGGTTGAGTTATGCGGTATACGGTATTGATTGTCATTACTTAAGCATGTTCATAACATAAAATAAAATATCTTTGCTTAACTTTCTGCTCCTGGAATAAAATTAAGATGCTGTGTCTAGTGTAATGGTGACTATACCAGCAAACTAGTGTGGTTGATTCGGTTTTGTGAGTTGCTTAATAGAATCTTTTTTTTTTTATTAAACTGGATTAAGATGCCATGGAGCAAATGTTACCTTTCCGATGTAACAGATTATGTGAGGGCTAGATTACCCAATGCTGACTACGGTGTAAAGCAAAACATTGCCCTATTTTATGGTACATCAGAAAAAAAAAAAGGTAAATTGCATACATTTGCATACATTTGCCAGCTTTAGGCATAGTCATGTGGGGAGAACATGGATTCAAACTTAAAAGTATTGAGTAGATCATGTTATTGGTAAATGTAGGTCGCAGTATCCAGCGTTGTGGGTACAGGAGGTTAATTTACATGACTGACCTAGGTTAGTAACCTGTGCTAGTGTATCTGGCTTATGGGGCAAATGCTCATTAGTGCATGCGTGGTAGGCAGGCTAAACTGTGGGTCTAGGTATATACTCTAAGGCTACATTAACATATGAAGAAGTGAGATGCCTAGGGTTACAGTAGGCTGACTAAGCGTGTAAAGCATATCCGAGTAATGCAAATAAAGGGTACTGGCAGGTTGCACAGTGCGTTAGAGTCAATGGAGGGGGAAATCACCGGCTTTTGTGTGCGTTTTACGTCTCTCAGTGTCCAGTGCAGCCGGCGGCCGCCCGCCTCAGGTAATCAGTCCAGTGCATGTTTCAGCCGATGCCCCGTTTAGATATGGTCTGATTGCAGGCTGATGGCTTTTCCAGGGTAGCCGACCCCCCTGTCTCCCGGTCGGTGTCGCGGTCTGTTCTATGGGTTCTCCTGTGCGGGAGCGTGTCACGCTGGGCATAGGTCTCTGGAGCCACTGTAGGGCGAGTGGGTCGGATGCACCGGCGGATTTCGCTTTGGTGCGTGGGGGCGTTGATGCCGGTGTTTCCCGCTGTGGTGGCCTTCGGCTCCGGCTCTGTCTGGGGGCCGTTCTGGCTCTAGGGGGATTTACTCCCAGCTGGCGGCGGAGTGCCGAGCGGATCCATCCCTCTACTGCTCTCATCCCCTGCTTGAAGGTCAGTCTCCGTGAATTAAGCCGTATCCAGAGGCTGGTTCGGAGCCGGTCATAAAACTCCCGTGTATGCTTGGGAGGCTCGGTGAGTGGGCGCGTAATTGTAGGCTGCTTCCGTGCCGCCATCTTGTTTGGGCCTTGCTCTCCCCGTTTTGCTTTAGACATCGTCGCTTGGTCAGGCAATATTGTGGGGGTAGTCGCCCCCAGCGAGGACCGGGATATCCCCCGCCGGTCCAGAGGGGGGGGTAGCAGGGCTGTGTGGAAGTCTCGCTCGTGAGTGTGTCCTGTGCCGGGTGATCGGCCGCCTCTCCTGGACCTCAGGCTTTGCTCTGATGTAGGCCGCATGGTCGTCGCGAGTTTTTCTGCATCGCATGGGGACCGGACCGGTACCATTCTATGTCTCATGGTGTCTTGGATCGGTCCCACTGTTTGTTGCCATCGTTGATAGGTCGCTCTGTAGTAGCCAGTTTATGCTCTTTATTACAGGAGCTCTTAGACTGTGTGACCGGCCATCTTGGCTGTCAGGCCCCGCCCCCTCCATCCCTTTTTGTTTTTATCTGTTGTTGGTGTAAATAATTGGTTTATCATCTACATTTTTGTATGCACTGTGGCTATTTTTTGCTGATAATAAATATTCCTTTATTAAGTTCTGCCTTTGTCTGGTTAAGAACCACATTACCTGAAGAGACTAATTAATGAGTGTTTTGCAATTGCATAGGTATTGTGCTAAGTTGTATTTGGTGTTTTTTTTTTTTATTGTTACCTGGGGGACCAAGGCACCTCATTTATAAATTGTCTTGTTGGTGGCAGCGTTAAATTAGTATGGTGTTCAGTGGGATTTTATCATTATTTCCGTTCTAGGGCAGACAAATAGTGAACTTTAACCCTTTCACCACCACAACTACGTCACGCACACTCTTGAAGTAGGGTGCGTTTGTGACACTATTCACTAAAATGAGAATTAAAATTTAAGACCAAAGTAACCAAACCGTAAACGTAGCTGACTTACAGCTTTTTTCCAGTTGGGCTATGACTAGTACTCACTTTAGTAAATAACCCTGTCAGACTGTGACTGCATCTAATTCCTTCAGTGTAATCGGATATTACACATTTCATATGAAGTTATAGCATTACAGAATTGCTGCAGATTTTCTGTGAAACATTGTCAGTGTTTGCTCAGTTAACCGTGTTCTATGGCTCCCAACTGTCCTGATTTTGGCACCTTAAGTTTGCCATATCCACATTTCGTGGTCACTTATAAGTATTGATAGGCAGCACATAAAAAGTGTTGCCTTGAGGAATGTAGAATTTACAAGCTGTGCGTGACATTAAGAATTCAGTGAGGTATCCTGAAGAATATACATTATATATACTGCAGGTTAGCATGTTTTGTGTTTTGCAATTAACAAAAAGAAATTGTGTGCTGGAAAAAATTTTGATATCACAACCCTAAACATCCATCTATTGTGTTATAAGTGAATTAAGATGTAATACCTGTATATCCTCTCCCAGGTCCCACAAGAGAGAAGAGACCAGGGGTCTACAGTGAATTAAAATCTTAAACCCCAATGGGTGTCAAATATGTGCCTCTAGCGATATTACTGTGATAGTGTATTGGAATTCTTAACCAATGCATTAACTAGAAAGATCAATGCGTATGTGTCAATAGGCACACTTGATATCTACCTGCTCATAATCGGCTTCAGTAAAACTATTTCATAGTTTAAACCAGGAATTAAACAGGTTTTTTTTTTTTTCAACCTCCCCTCAGTGGGATTACTGTTCCAGTGTGTACTGCCAAAAATGCAAACCAGATTAATGTTTCTACTGGACATATATTTTATGCTAACCTGTTGGTAAAATACCAGCTTTGATCCTTGTTTCTCAGTTTTTCTGAGAACCTAGAGACATAAAGTAGGGACTTAAGAAATTTATATACGACTCCCTTGATTTGGGAATTACTAAAATATGGGTCAGGGGATTTCAATGGGTAGAAACCAAGAATCCTTAGATTTAGTGAATACTGTTAAGAAACAAGAAGGCAATAAAATGAAGGGTTTGAAGAGTTAAAGCTTATATTCAAGGATGGCATTTCTGTAAGGCACAGGTGGCACTTGGCTAGAATGCAACTAGTCATCATTATTCATTGCTAACTTTTCTTTATTGTGATTTTGCTGAGAGTTCTCTTCCATGAGCATTTGCTCATTGATTAGCTGCAATGTTCTCATTTGACCCTAGAATCTTGGTGTATGGTTCACCTATCAGCTTGTTTATTTTCTTGTTCGGTGTGTGTTGGTGCATGTGTTTTTTGGTTTTTTTAAAAATCAAGATTAATAACTAGAGTGAACATATTTTGTGAGCTTCAGATAGTTAGCATTACTCAAAAAACACAAAAAACCTTCAGTCTTTGTCATTTTTTATTTTCATATCTTATTAAACAGCTATTTTGGAAAGCAGAAAAAATATACCAACTATTTGCAATACATAAAATATTTATTAATTTCAAAATGAAAAATAATATATACTTAATTATTCTAGCCTACACATTCCTCGCTTTACAGTTTACTCAGGTGGTTTAAACCAGGCGTCAATTTATACAGCTTTCCGGGGCAAATAAAGTTTTGTAGAAATAAGCAGAATATCTCCTTGTCCTTAATTTCAGACACAGTATTTCCAGAAACATTCTGACAAACTGCCGCGTTTCTTATACTGCTTTTTGTCTTTTGTTTGCAGACGGTTCAACAATGATATCCTTGGGTGCTTGCCAAACAAACTCTGAAAAACAAATGCAGAAAAACATTAATTTGAATGTAAATGTTATCTAAATATGTCCAGCAGCATCACAACATGGTGGGTGTAATATTAATTTGCCCAAACTTTGTTTATCCACCTTCACTAGTTTCAATCCAGGTTTCTCAGGGGGTAAGGCATGGGAGAGTTTGCAAGGGGGCAATGGCAATTGTCTCCCTAAGCTACTAACTACCGGGGTTGTCATTGAATCAGACAGTGTGAAGTGCGTTGGAATGTTTGTTAGTAAATGCATAAGTGAGGCAGCAGGCAGTTATTGTAAAGGGACTTTGTTGTTTTAGCACAATATGGGTTTGTGAATGGGCTAACAGCAACTGATCCACAGGGATATTTCCCATTGGATATCTGCATCTGGATGTCTGTTTACAAGTGACTGCAGACCATGGTCATAACACGTGCCAATTGTCATTGTGGCAGTTGTGACAAGGGTATGCAGATCTTTGTGAATGATCTGCCATGTTGTGAAGGCCAAAAGTTACCAGTCCTCACCTCTCCAATGGGAAAATAGATATCTGTTCCTATATAGAGGCTCAGAGCTCATACTTCTTCAGGTTTGTGTGTTACTTCGGAGACATCTTTCCCAATATCACTATACTGACCAGATATCTCATGCCCTTATCAGAAGCTAAACTGTGCAGACACTATGCCACAATGGAATAGTTTACTTTTTGAACATCTACATATAAATAGAACCTTAAGGACAGAACCTTATAAATGTTTAATGTCTAGAACATTCCATTATGGATTAGGACCTGATTGTTATGGTGACATAGACAAACAATTGCTAATTTTAGGATTATGTAAGGGATCAGAGTTATGTAGATCTGTGCTATATGAGAAGTCTCCACTCACAGTTTAGATACCAGATGTGGAGGCTGTGGACATAGACAATGCTGTTGACCAGTGTTGCAGATGGGCTGTGCAGCTTGTGGAAGGAGAAACCTAGATTTTGATGCCAATTAGAAGTAAGTTTGTTTACCTAGGCAGTACATGCTTTGTTTCAATCATTGATAGACAAGTGGATAAATGCTAAATTGCCTGTTGCTGTCATTTTACAGGCACTATATAAATAATAAAATAATAATAATAATTGTCAAATGATAAGTTATATGTGGTTGTCAGTATTGGTGGAGGTGGGTAGAGTGCGGGTCTTAAAGAAAAGAGTGGACCTTGGCAACCTGTTTTTTAGCCACAACATCTTTTGGCTATTGGTAGTAGAAATGCTTAATAGTGGCTTTTTAACAACAAGCATGGAAATGAAATTTTTGTTTGGTGTATCGTGAAACTCAAAAATAATAAAATGTGGTAAAACCAAATCACTGTAATTAATTTAATAAAAAAGACATTACCATTTTTTTTAACATTGGGGCAATTATAGCAGTTTTGTTCATTTGGTGGCAATATGTACGTGCAGCCACAAATGTCTGTCACTTTTGCTTCAGTGACTTAATGCCTATATGTTTATACATCTGTCATGTCAAACATTTAGAGGTGCAAGTGCATTTAGAGATGCAAAATACTAAATTCCTTGTCAGCTTAAGAAATTTAGCAGCCCTCTAATTTTGTTTGAGGACTGACAAACTGTAAAGGTGAATTGTTGTAGACTTACCCAAGGAATGGAAAACATAGCTGACTTGGATGTTTCCCATTTGTCTAAAATTTGCAAACTTAAAGTTAATTCCCAGTGATTCATAACCCTGAACCATGAATAACCCTGCAAGTCAAGCTACACTGGTCTAAACTTGCTTTGTCATTCACTAACATACCCCCCAACAAAGATGGGACACTGATGAGAGAGGGGTAAAGGGGCAACGCGATCTTGTCACTGGCTTTGCCCAAAAGGGACGGACCTGATCTGAAAGTGGGGGAAGGTGATCAGATTACTGGCAGGTCAGTGTGAATGTATGCCACGTTGGCTGCCAATCAAGCAGGCTAGCTAACTGAGGGCAGACCATGCAAGAAGCACTGTTTCAATGATCTCCGCAGGATCCTAGAGCCCTGAGTGCAGCACGAGCAAGTCTAATGATGCGTGTGTGCTACTCTCTCTCTGTAATCTCCAAAAAGAGGATACCAGGGAACAAAGACAGGATGGCAGTACAGGGCCCAAAAATCAAGACTGCCCCAACTAAATCAAGATGGTAGGGAGACATGCACTATTTAGTGAGCATCATCGTAAGAAGCATAGAAGGACCTACACACATTTATCAAAAGAGTAATGACTTTGTTGCATTTTGATTTCCGAAACACCTTGTGGTGAAATATGGAATTTCAACAAAAATGCAAATATGTTGCGGTTGTGTCTTAAAACTTTAATTTGTCTGAAAAATTAAAATCCATCAAATTAATAAAGATAATTAGATACCTGATTCAAAAGTGTAATTAAAATAGTAACATTGCACTGAAAAGAGGCAATCTAGTATTAAATATTAAATGCAGCCTAAAATGTCCAAATCTAGATGGAAGGAGTGTAATATTTATCTTGGGCCCATAGGGGTCGCTTCAGTAAATGCAGAATATTGTCCCAAGATTATAGGAAAAAAATATAGTAACAATCTGAGCATAAAGAGAAGTGTGCAACAATGATAAAGATCTGGCAGCAAAGGTTATTCCTCCTGATTGGAATATTATTAAACTCCTGATTGGAATATTATTAAACTAATCTCTCTATATTTGATCAAACATAATAATGGCAGCTCTTTATTCCCCAAATGATTATATTCTTCTTTTTTTTATATATTATGGAATAGAAAATAACAGGTGTTCTCAAATGTATAGCAAAGCAGCTGATGGCTCACCTCTTTCATGCTGTCTTCCATGTTGTAAGTACCTAGACTGAGTCCTAATTGAAGAAAACAATAGGAAAGGTGTTAACATGTGTTTAGCATTACCTTAGTTAGATAAATATCAGACTATAGGTCAGTATTACTGTAACAAATCAGCTGAATGTAACTAATCGATGGCAAAAAGGACACCCCAGGGTGTAACACAGCACAGGGTCAGGGATGAAAGAAAGATAAGTAGGCCACGAGAAGACTTGAACCATGACTTTTTAATATGTATATGTTACATTTTTACTCAACTGCCTGAATTGACCAAAAAAATAAAAAAAATAATGTTAATTAAATCCCAATATTGGAGAAATTGCAGAGTTATTCACTAAAGTAAGAATTCAAAGTTAATTCAAAGTGAATTTCAAATTTAAAGCCAGGGTAGCTGAACTGAAAGCTTAGCTGACTTAGAGAATTTTCCCAGTTCTTCTCCATGAAGTGGTGTGGGTGCAGTGACCCTTTAGTTATAACCCTGCAATGTAAAATAAATTGGAGTGTTGTATACTTTGTTTTCTTTGTTTTTTAGAGCAACACCCCTGCTGAGAAATGCATATTACTGGTGTGCCCCCAATCCCTCATTTTTTATCTATTGCAGGGTTAAACACATCTCTAGTGAACGGCTGTCTTCCTGACAGCCACTAGAGGCACTGCCGAGTCAAACTCTGTTTTCAATCAAATACTGCTCCTAGATTAGCATTTGATTGGTGTAGCACAGCAATTTGCTGCATATGCTCACTAGCCACCTAATGCCAGGGAGGCAAAGTGGCCACAGCGAGCCCAGCGTGGGAAAAAGAGCGAGTCAAATTCACCTTTCAAACACTCACAGGTGAGGGAGGACAACACCTAAATAGGTAGCGGGACACAGTAGTATTAGGAATAGGTTTTTGTGTTCCTAACGCTATAGTGTCTCTTTAATAGAGAAGAACTACTGGGTTCGGCAACCAAGTTCACTAGCTAATTCTTAGCAGTCTCAATTTAGCAAATTCTACTTTTGCTGAGAGGTAACAACAAAACCCTTAATGCTTTCAATGAAAATGCGTGTTCCCAAATCACATCTCTTCTTAAACTCATTGGTTTATTCTACCATAGCTTCTTGGGATATCAGACCAGTTGGTGTTTTCAGGGTGGGACAAGAAGACCTTTTTCCCCCTCTCCTGCACTAAAGATGGATGGGGGGAGGTGGGGGAGATGTATCATGAGAAACAGGGGCTCTTATGAGAGCAAATCGCTACATGTTAAAATAATCCATTTGGTTACATGGTGATTGCACCTTATTTAGTACCTTGCTCCAGAATAACAGATGTTTTATCTTGATAAATCTCCCACATATAATCATGGGGTTTTGATAAAGTGTAACTGAAATCACCCAGCAGTACAAGTCACTCATTAAAAATGTCCCTTAATATCTTGTGGCACATAAAGCAGTACATACTGTACAGTTAATGGTGATACTTCCTATTTAAAAAAAATCAGTAGATTTTTAAGGACGCTAATGTTAATCGTGCTTTTGGTAAATCCTTTAATTCAATTTTCTCATATTCTGCTAAATTCGTGCACTTGCTACCAACCTTATAAGGAATGAAAAACACACTTGAGGTTTATTTGTTAATCTGTGAATTATTGTAGAATACTGACATTGAATTTACAAATTTTAGACCAAAAGAAGCAATGTTCCTAAATTGTCCTTTAAGACATGGTCAATTAAACTCCCAGATCAGCAAAAAAAAAAGAACCCCAACAAAACCTTTATTTTTCGTTGGTATTGTTGGTGTACCCAAATTGTTTACACTACATTTGTTTGAAAATAACAATGGTTAATAAAATTATAGTTGAACATGGTGTTATCTTTGTCATCGATATACAATTCCTATGTTATGTTATGATACATTTCTTATTTACCTTCTTTACTGAAAAAATCATCTCTATCTTCCCCCAAACGATGCTTGCCTAGAAATGCTGGGAGATTCTGCAGTAAATATGTCTGATCGAAATTATTTAATTCTCCAAAGTCCAACTTTGAGTCTAGATGGAGACAAAAAAAAAAGTGAAAAATAAATCAATGAATTAATTAAGATTAATAATTGTTTTAATCATTTAAGAATTTAGGTTCTCCGCTAGTAGTGTTACTTTTTATTGGGGAAAAAGGCGCAAATATTGATGTTAGTGTTGTTGAAATCTCCTAAAAGGACAGTAAGAGTTTGTGTAACTAGCCAATTTGGAGCTACATTGGTGGAATAGTTAATATCATTTTTAATATGTAAAAAAAGACCTTCACTATTTGCTCCAAGTTTACTGAAGCTTTTCCACTTAGACTACTGAGATCATTTAGAAAAACAAAAAATGTTATAAAACTGTCTGTCTGAAACACAACTCTTTGTTATTCGTACCCTTGATCACACATAAAAAAATTATTAAAAATAAAAAAAATAAATTGTGAGATTTCAACGCACACTGTGCCCGAAAGGTATAGTTTTATCTGTGCCTAAAGTTATATGTTTTCAGTCCAGCCAAGGGGATCAACAAACAGTGAAGTGACGAGAGCTGCTGTAAATGTTAAAATGTAACAACAATGAAAGAAAATCCAATTTCAAGTTAATAAACCCAATCTCATAACTATATCTTAATAAAATGACCTGAAATTTCCTAATACTAATTACATACATTAAAGGTTAAAAAGTGTTCTGTCGGTAACACCATCCCTCAGAATATATTGTCACTCTATAAATAAATGCATATCATAGATTATCCATTTGTATAATAAACAATTTAATATAACAAATCTTTGTAAGGTTAATATTTATGGATAATACATTTTAACTGGTTGCCTTATTTCAACATTTTCACATCAGAATTTAATTACTGCTAAAATATGTAAAACAGGATATCAAGGTAGTAAAGATAGCACTCACAAAACAACGTACTATATCTAAGTAAAAAATGTAATGTTTTAAGTTTTGGTTCTAATGAGTAATAAAAATGAGTGATATATTGCTACCATACTCCTAGGTACTCAAAAAGTGTTTTTATGTTTAAATATATAAAAGTCTCATTACATGATTTATTTATTTTTTGGGGGATAAGGCTGCATAGTGGATTCAATAATTATGTAATATTGGGAAACAAAACCTGTCTGATAGTAATAAAGTCCTATACTTTGTAAATTGGAAAGTGTTAAAGGGAAAGTGGCATTTTTCATTTTATGTTTACTTATACCTATATTTAACAAACATGTATTGTAAGGTGTGAAAAATAAAATTAAATGTCTAAATTACCACCTCTTTATCGTGCCACTGTGTGCCTCCATCTTTGCTCTCTATTAATCATTTTTATAAACTATATCCTTTTCATCTAGCAAACAGTATTGTAAAACCATACAGAAAAGAAGAGAAATGAAACAATGTTTATATTTTTCCTCTTCATTTTCCTGTGTCTGGACTGAATTGGATTGTTATATAATTTGATAGACTTTTAAATTTAAATAAAATACAGCATCGCCTGGAAAAAAAATGTTAACTAAAGTAATATGTGATTCCAAATGTTTTATTCAATGGTGTAATTTCTAGATGAACAATTGTTCTAATTTCAGCAAATACATTTGTCTTTGTCTTTTATCTACATTTAAACCTGAATTAGTAAATCTAGCATTTAATCATAAGCATTAAAACAGAATATGCAATTTCCCTGATAACTCAATGACAATGCATCCGAAAACCACAAATTAATGGATTAAATCAATATCTTGAATGAATGGATTGCAAAGTAATGCCCTTGATTCTCTTTGAAGTCAAGTAAGTAAAATTAAACCTATACAATACATTTAAAATAAAATCTAATTTGGTATTTCAGGAAAGGACAAAAAAACAAACAAACAAAAAAAAACAATGAAGTTTCTCTTACCTGGCAATTGATATGAGACCTCACTAGAGTCAATTATTGGATGTGACATTAGAGGAGAGGAAAAGCTGGCAAGCATAAAACAGAAAAATGTAAGCTGATGCATGGTTGCTGGACGGGAATAGGAGTCTGCTTCTTAGACCTGGGTATTATCACAATCTGTTCCTAAACAAAAGTGTCTTCTCGATTAAAATTCTCCACTTATATACAGTTTCATTACGTCATAGCCTACATCACTCTCTAGCACACCATCTAAAAAGAATAATGATAAGCCAATAGATCCATTGCCCGTGAGTTGTAAATGCAAAACACTTTGCTTGATGTAATTCTTCACAGTTCATAGACAATAAATTTACTGTCTCGTGGGCCTTTTTGAAAAGTGGTTACAGTACTGCAGCAAATGTGGCGTGGCAAGTTTGATGTGAATTAAAAAAAAACAGCCCCGATTATAAATCACGAGTTAACAAAGGGTCAAGTCTTGTTTGAGATGACCAAGGCAATAAGACAGGTGATTTATGGACCTCTACCTGTTTTGACGTAGAAAGCATGAAATGTGAATTTTTTTTTTTTTTAGAGAAGTGAATAGATGAGATGTCAAATTCTGTTGAGGGCGTCCATGCCAATAGATTTAGAAGATAAAGTGACCGTTAATCCCGTTAACTTTCAATGAAGAATTGGTTGTTACATGTCAGCAATTTTAACAATTTTCAATTTATCTGCAAGACTGTTAGCAAGTTAAACTGATTTTTAAAAAAGAGTATATTTTAGCCAATTTGTTAAGTACGGGGTATACCAATTGCATATTTATATCAATGCCTGCATTCATTTTTTTTAGATTAAATAAATTCTTCAAAATATATATTTTGTTATAGAAATGGACTGCATTTAGTAAGCACAAGGCTTAGTAAAGGGTTACTCCAACCACCATGACCACTTCTGCTTTTTTTAAGTGGTCATGGTGGTTGGAGTCTGGATGTGCAGTGTTTCAGCGTGAAACACTGCACATGCAGAGATTTTTTTTTTATTGTGTGAGCACACCAGCATACGTGATTTAGGCAGCCCAGAACTCTTTTCTTTTTGTGCAATTGTAGTGTTTCTGTATACAGTGGAACCTTGGAACTCAAACTTAATCTGTTCCAGAAGGCTGTTCGAGTTTCGATTTGTTAGAGAACTGAATCAACATTTCCCATAGGAATTAATGTAAATTTGATTAATCTGTTCCAGACCCCCAAAATTACAGCATTTTAACACAAATTTTACTGTTTAATAATGCCTTACATGCATAAAACCATATAGAAATAAAATAATAAACACAACGTACAGTAAATGAAATGAAAATGTCACTACACTTTACTTGTAATGATGAGAAATGATGGTGTACGTGGAAAGGAGAAGACCTATCATTGTCTGGATGGGAAGTCGCCTTCTGTAATTACAATAGGTACTAACTGTTCTGGCGTTCTTTCCCTAAATCGTTTCACACCACTGAAACCTGATTGAGGCTCACTGGATCTTTTCTTCGCTACAAATTTGTCTATTGAGACTTGCTGTTGCCTATGTTTCTAAAGTGAGACATAGCATTATCATTGAACATGTTTGTGGCATGACTTGCAGCAGCTTTATCAGTGTGATATTTTTCAACAAAATTTTGCACTTCAACCCACTTCGCACACATTTCTTTGATCAGTGCAGTAGGGACATTTTCCCTTCCCTCCTCCTCCTCCTCCTCTGAAGACAATTCCTCAGATGACCTATTTTGCTGCTCCCTCTGAAGATCTTGGAGTTCTTCTGTGGTGAGTTTGTTCTAGTGATCCTCCACATCATTCACCTCCAAGCCCATTGATTTCCACAGAGACACAATTTCTTTCAACAACAGGAGCATCCTGTTCAATACCGTCATAGACTCTTTCAGGGACAGCCTGTGTATTGGGTTGTATTGGGGGGGGCAAAAACATCACAGTAATAAAAATGAACTCCTCCATCAATTTGTCCTCTAATCCTGGAGGGTGAGCAAGAGCATTATCCATAAGAAGCAGAGCCTTGACAGGTAGGTTTTTTTTCTTGTAGGTATTTTTAACACTTGGCCCAAACACCTCATGAACCAACTCAATAAACAATTGCCTGGTTACCCAAGCTTTGCTGTTAGCCCTTCACATCACCTGCAATTTGCTTTTCAGGACATGTTTTTTCTTAAATACCCTCGGGTTCTCCGAGTGGTAGACTAGCAAAGTCTTCAATTTAAAATCCACACTTGCATTCACACCCAACAACAGGGTTAGCCTGTCCTTCATTGGCTTGTGTCCTGGCAATGATTTCTCCTCCTTTGTTATGTAGGTCCTCTTTGGCATTTCCTTCCAAAACAGGCCTGTCTCATCACAGTTAAACATTTGTTGGGGAACAAATTCCTCAACATCTACATAGACTCTAATTTCAGCAACAACATTTTCAGCCCCATCTTTGTTAGCACTGGAAGATTCATCATGTCTCACCACACAGTGTATGCCACTTCTCCTTTTAAACTTTTCAAACAAACCTCACTCTCAGCACTCGTTTCAGGAGTGTTTTTCACAAGATTGCCATGCAAATGTCTTTCTTTTTCACAAATTATTGCTATCACCGGCTAACTGTGTTTCATTTATCCATATCAATAACAATTTTTCTACTTCTTCTAGTGTATGGCTTCTTTGTTTTATAATTGCGTTCACCCCTCTAGCAACATTGGATTTTTTAATATGGTACAAATTGTAGATTTGGCCATGCCAAACTGTGTTGCTAGATCAGAGACACGGACACCACTTTCAGGTTTTAAAATAATTTTCTTTCTTCAACTCTATTTTCATTCTCACAATTCTCCTGTTCGGTTTGCTAAGATCCTTGGGACCCATGGTGAGTTTTTGCAGACTGAATGGAGCTCTGTGTGAAGACTTAATGACATTTATTTAAGACTGGATGCAACTCTTTTTGAAGACTGAATTGAACTCTATTTGAAGACTGAATGGAGCCCTGCTGACAGAATGGAGCTCTGCTGACTGGATGGAGCTTTTGCTGTCAGAATGGAGCTCTATTTGAAGACTGCATTGAACTCTATTTGAAGACTGAATAGAACTGTATTTGAAGACCAAATGTAGCTCTGCCGACTGAATGGAGCTCTGCTGACTGGATGGAGCTCTGCTGACTGGACGGAGCTTTTACTGGCAGAATGGAGCTGTTTGCTGACAGATTTCAACTCTATTTGAAGACTGAATAAAACTCTATTTGAAGACTGACTGGAGCCGTTTGCTGACTGATTGAATTCTATCTGAGGACTGAGTTGAACTCTAAAGACTGAATAGAACTCTATTTGAAGTCTAAATGGAGCTCTGCTGACTGAATGGAGCTTTTGCTAACAGAATGGAGCTGTTTGCTGACAGAATGGAGTTTTTGCTGACAGAATCAAGCTCTGCTGACAGAATGGAGCTGTTTGCTGACAAAATGGAGCTGTTTGCTTAGAGAAGAGACCTAACAGAATGGAATGGCAATGTGTTATACTAATGAGGTACCAACGTGTTTACTACCGAGATTACCATAGAGGTGAATGTCGCGTGATGTATTCGGGTACAGAGGAACGTTCACATACCGAAACATTTTTTACTCAAAATTTTAGTTTGACTTCAGATTTGTTCGACCGTTCGAGTTCCGAGGTTCCACTGTGTTTATATGAATCACAACCCCTGAAAAACATGTTTTAGAGAGAGTACTGATTGTGCATTACTGTAACAGTTTCTAAGACCAGGTGTGTTAAATAAAGATTGTCTCTTCTACTGTTTGCTCGGTTACATTTACCATAATGTTCGGAGGGATGTTGGCTATGATTAAAAACTTTTAGAATTTTTACAAATCAGCACTTTTTATATAAGTTTTGAAATTTTGTTTTCAACTCACTAAAATTCTGTGTTTTGTGAATCAAAAGGAAAATAGTTTTACTTCTTACGTGGTGTTTCCCGGGCACAGTTCCCTGCCTCCACTAATATAGAATGTTTTCACTGATCTCGGAGAAATATGTTGGTCAATAATATCTGTACCAGGTAAAACTACCCACATGAAGGAATAGCATTTTCAAATGACACGCAAAGTGTAATATCATTATTGGTAAATAGTATGGGTATGTACGTGTATGTATATGAATATATATTTAATCAGCCACAACATTAAAACCACCTACCTAATATCATGTAGGTCCCCTTGTGCTGCCAAAACAGCTCTGATGCATTGATGCATGGACTCCACAAGACCTCTGAATGTGTCCTGTGGTATCTGGCACCAAGACATTAGCAGCAGATCCTATAAGTCCTGCAAGTTGTTAGATGGGGTCTCCATAACTGGTCTGCAACAATTTCTGGGTAGGTGGTACGTGTCAAAGTAACATCCACATGACTGAACCCAAGGTTGCCAAGGTTTACAGTAATTTGAGCTACAGTAGCTCTTTTGTGTGATCAGATAGGCTAGCCTTCACTCTCAACCTTCATCAATGAGCCTTGAGCGCCCATGATCCTGACACAAGTACACCGGTTGTCATTCATTGCACCATTTTTTGTGGGTACTAACCACTGCATACTGTGAACACCCCACAAGACTTGCTGTTTTGGAGATGCTCTGACCCAGTCATCAAGCCATTACTATTTAGCCCTTGTCAAAGTCACTCAGATCTTTCGACCCATTTTTCCTGCTTCTAACACATGACATTTAAGAAATGCTGCCTAGTATATCCCACCCCTTGACAGGTGCCATTGTAACTATATAATCAATGTTATTCACTTCACCTCTCTGTGATTTTAATGTTGTGGCTGACCAGTGTACATTTTAATATGGGGCGCATAGTTATTACAGAAAAGTATGGTAAACTAACAATTTAGTATATAAATCGCAGAGGAAAAAAAACAGCTATTTGTAAATGTGTGAAATCACCATTTGTATGTCATATGTGTGTTGATATCATTATTATATATTCCATACACTATGAATGATAATATATTGTACTGGCTAGCAGCAGTATACTTCAGAAACATATTATATTACATGTTGTCTCTGCTCCTTTTATAGAATTGGGCAATGTACGACAGAAAGATACAAAGCTAACAATTTATCAAGCATTTCAGACCTCGGCAGACTTTCTAACTGAAAGCTGGGTATTTTTGGATGTCAGACTGTTCAATTTATCAAATTCAGAAAAACGATATTAAAAGAAATGGTCAAAAATGGTCTGCAGACCGATGTGCCATGAAGATTCTTAGATTCTAAATAGGACTATTTTCCGATAAAGTTTCGAGATGCCTCATCTAATGTTTTAAAATGAATGAGACTCATTGAAATGATTAAATGATTTTATTCATTATTTTTTATAACATATCTAGAAGGATAATGTGTCAAATTACACAACAATTCTTTTTTGCCAATCGAGATGCTTAAAAGTGTCTGTTTATTGTTGTGATATTCATAATTCAAATACATCAAACATCACTTCGAACTGCATTAACTATCTGTTTATCTGCATAACAGTGATGTATCTATAGCAACATCACCCAAAAGTAAATAACAACTTCATATTCACTAAATTGAGCTGAGCTGGAAACAAACAAATGTTGAAGAATACTTACAATTTGCTCTTCTGAGCTAAAATTTTAAATTATCTGTTGTTATCCACAATTGCTGTTTTTTGACTGACCCTGATAGTGTTTTCATCACATCCGGTCACCACCACCTCTTACTATCAACTACCTTATAAAAATCAGGCTAGATGCATTCTGACCAGTGGCGGATCCAGAGCCTGATCTTGGGAGGGGCACTTGTAGATTATTTAAAGAAATAATCCAGGCACAATAACCACTACAGCTCAGTGTAGTAGTTATGGCGCCAGTAGTGCCAGGATCCCATCCCAGAGTAAGTAGTCAAAACGTTTAAGAACAGTTTGACAACTTACCTGGGGTCTGCTGGGATATAGGGCATAGGAGCATTGGTATGTGTTAGGGGTGCAGTGTGTGTGAAAGGTGCAGTGTATGTATGTGCGAGTGCGTGATGGCGGCAGTGTAGGTCAGGGTTGCAGTGTGTGTGTTAGGGGGCAGTGTATGTGTGGGGCAGTGTGTGCGTGAGAGAGCTGCAGTGTGTGTGTGTGTGTGTGTGAGCGGTGCGGTGTGTATGTGAGGGTGGCAGTGTGTGTGAGAGTTGCAGTGTGTGTGTTTGGGGCAGTGTGTGTATGGGGGGCAGTGTTTGTAGTGTGTGTATGGGGGGCAGTATGTGTAGTGTGTGTATGGGGGGCAGTGTTTGTAGGGCAGTGTGTGTAGTGTGTGTATGGGGGTCAAGTGTTTGTGGGGCGGTGTGTGTATGGGGGCAGTGTTTGTATGGGGGGGAAGGAGGCTTTTTAATATATATTTTTTTTATTTAATAAAATTAATGTACTTTATGTCCCCCCTCCCTTCTTACCTTTACTGGGAGGAGGGGGGACATTTCTTAGTCCCTGGTGGTCCGGTGGGGGATTCATTGGTGGTCCCAGCAGTGAGAGTGAACTCTAGCCCGCGCTCCAGGGCTAGAGTTCACTCTCGCGAGATTTGGAGCGTTGCCGTGGTTACCGCAGCAATGCTCCATGCTCCTGTTATGGACAGATGAATTAAAATAAAATGGCTATTTACTAATGTCTATTTATTCTCTGTTCACTATGTTAAAACTGGCTTCTAGAGTAAATATTCCCTTCCCCCCCTACAATGTGGTCAGCTGCTGTTTACTATGTAAATTCCTCACATCCTGCTAGCCTCCCCTCCCCCCTTCAAATCAATAAAACCTTGTGTAACCAAAATTCCTGTGATAACTCCTCCCCCACTACCTTTGTGCCAGTTAACAGCTATATGCCATATATAGCTAAATGGAGGATCATTGGTTTAGAACTGATAGATACCACTCACTCCCCCTCCCATCGTGTATCCAAAAGTGTGTAATGATGACACTACATGAATGGCATGAATGGCATGAATGGCACCTTAAAAGGCTCCATTCTGTAGGGGGGTTTAAACAAGAGCCCCCTTTCTCTGTTAACCAATTGGTGAATGTATACTGTATGTTTAAACTGTGACGTATTTTTGCTTTAAGAAGGAGCCCCCACTCCGGGGAATAAAGCATTCCTGGGTTTTTCACTGATCAGAAACTTTGTCTCCGGTGTGAATTACTTCTAGGGAAAGCGTGCACGCATTAATTAATCAATTTGGAAGGTGTAGATAGACAAATAATCAAAGTTTTCTTTGATCCAAAACACTCGCAAGAGGAGGACCCGGAGGAGCTGCAGGCTGAGCACCTGGGTTCTCTCTCCCTCCCTCTCCCTCCCTTCCTGCCGGCTGTCAGCAAGGTGCCTGCAGACCGGGGAGGGAGATCTCTGATCTCCCCTGTCCGCAGGCACATTGCAGGGCTGGCACTTGGACAATGCCAGCCCTGCATTTGCCGGCAGGGGAGAATCTTGGGGGGGGGGCAATTGCCCCGTTGCCCCCCCCCCCCCTGGATGCGCCACTGATTCTGACAAAAATATATGACAGTGGTAATTAGGCTTAAAGGAACACCACATTGGAAAAAATATATATTATTTTACAACTTAGTAGATATACCCCCATTGAAAACATGCATGCATTTATTTCTGCGTTCTTTTATTGGTATATCTAAAGACAAGTTGCAAAAGCTGCAGATCTATTGTCTGCAGTCTTTGAAAGCCCTCTTCTTTTTCCGCAGCATAGGTTTTATTTAGAAGTTTCTGTGCTAGAGCCTCAAGCTCACGTGCACATGATCACAGATTTCCATAGCTCTAGGTGAGCTGTGTGACATTCATTTGCGAGCTAGCATGGCTCACCTGCCTCTTTCGTTAGCTTGGTGAAGAAAACCTCCCTGGCTGTCTGAATCTGCCGCTTAATGTGAAAAACTGAAATGCTTTATGTGTATTGAGTGTCTCTTAAAGATCCTGGTTGTTGTCTACCACAAACTTTATATAAATGTTTTACTCAGTAGAGACATGTTTGATTTGATATATGTTTGATGTTCATAGTCAGCTATACATATTGCAGTGTTGTATTGTAAACTGTTAATATTTAGTGATCTTGTTAGTGTAGCATATGGGTTACTGTTAAGTGTTAAGACATTGGTTGAACAAATTTAGAAAGGGTCCTGGTGTAAGACCTTTTTTTGTGTCCCCCTCCCCCCCCCCAGCGCAAGGGTGGGCAAAAGGTAGATTTACATGTATGTATGTCTCCAACAGCAGGAAATCCACAATTTTACCATCCTTGCAGTATTTTATTTTCATGCAGTTTTTGTACGTAAGTATTTTTTTGCTTTGTTTTAATGCTACACAAGAGTTCCCAACAGCTCATCCTCCTGTGCTGCTGGGGTTGCCACCTGGCTGGTATTTTACCAGCATAGCTGGTATTAGATGCTGTGTGGCCGGTGCCGTTATTACAAAAATTGTGACAATACAAATACCGGTATTTGATGCTGTGTGGCCATTGAAAAATGCCAGTATTGCAAAAAAAAATAATGTGCTGCAATAATGGCACCAGCCACCAGGGTGTGCAGTGTTCTCAGGCCATGCTAGGAAAACATGTTGGTGCTTGGCTATGTGGAGAGGGCTCAGATGGGATGTTGCAGCATGTCTCTGCCCTCTCCACTAATAGAGTCTGTGTGGGAGGAGTGGGAAGGGAGCTACAAAACAAGGTAAAGCATGACAACAGGACCTGAGAGCAGTAATGTGTGTGCATGTTTATATTCAGCAGACTGTGTGTAATCAACAGTCTGTGTGTGTGTGTGTGTGTTAGTATTCAGCAGTCTGTGTATACATTCAGCAGTCTATGTTTGTGTATTCAGCAGTCTGTATGTATTCAGCAGTCTGTGTATAGTATTTATTCATAAAATATTTTACCAGAAAGATACATTGAGATTTCTCTCGTTTTCAAGTATGTCCTGTGTCCACAAAACATTGCATTGATACATTATGGTACAATAAAATACAAAAACAATATTAATACACAATATATACAAAATTTAACATAGAACAGGTAGGAAATATATAATCAACCATGACACGTGCATTCTGTTTTGAGGTATGTAAAGAGGGATCTCTTAAAGGACTTTAGGTTTGGGGAAGATTTTAAAGTGTGCGGGAGGTTGCAGCGCTCTGTAGAAGAAGGAGGATCGGGCTGCTTTATTTTTGTATTGAGGTAGACTAAATAAAGTGCTGGTACTGGATCGGAGGTTATAGGAGGTGGGAACATCCGAGGAGAGCATTTTGCTCAGGTAGGTATATATTTAGCAGGCTGTGTGTGTATTTAGAAGTCTGTGTCTGTGTGTTTTCAGCAGGCTGTGTCTGTGTATATATTCAGCAGTCTGTGTTTGCGTATTCAGCAGTCTGTATGTATTCAGCAGTCTGCGTTTGTGTATACAGCAGTCTGTGGGTGGAGGGCCAGCCCATCCATAGACCGCTGTGGAGCCAAGGCTCCAGGCGGCACAAAGACAGTCATCATCATCTAAAACAGGAGTCCCTTACCCGTGGCGGCAGTGCAGCTGCACCGCACGGGTTGGAAACTTGTGTGAAGGTCCATCTGGTGGCTCATGCCCTTAGGACCACCCAATGGACATATGCAATGAGGGGCCCGGTCATGCGCTGTGGCGTTTTAACAGCGCGACTGGGTCCCTTCCTATCCACAGGGAAAGCTGGGAGGAAGTGACAGCAGCACACACACAGGCAGACAGTCATACACACACACAGACACACACACATGCAGACAGTCATACACACACAGACACACAGTCATACACACAGACACACACACACAGGCAGAAAGTCACACACACACAGGCAGATAGTCACACACACACACAGGCAGTCACACACACACAGACACACAGGCAGACAGTCATACACACACAGACACACACACACACAGAGACACACACACAGGCAGTCATACACACACACACAGGCAGATAGTCATACACACAGACACACACACACACACACACACACAGGCAGACATTCATACACACACACACAGACAGTCACACACACACACACACAGGCAGTCATACACATACAGACAGTCAGTCACACTCACACTGACAATCACTCAGTTACCTCTGTTCATTGTGGAAGCAGCGCAGCTCCTGGAGACTATTTGGTGGGGAAGCAGGGACTCCTTCCTGCTTCCCCTATAGCAGTTATCTGGTGTTTAGCTCTGCCCCCGTCGCACGGTAAGCTCCGCCCCCGTCGCACGGTAAGCTTAGGTAAGCTCCTTTTTTTTTTTTTATTCCGGCTGGCCATGTGTGAGCTGTGTCGGCCGCAGAGCGCCCCCTGCTCCATGGCGCCCAGTGCGGCCGCACAGCTCTCACACCCCTAAAGCCGGCCCTGGAAAAAGTGTGCACAAAGCTAAAGTAAATGTAAAAACGAAAGGGACAGTTTTTATATATAACTCCCATTATGTCTAATTCAAAGACCTGAAGGTTGTAGAAGGTTGCACTCTAAGACAGGATATTAGAAAAAAATGACATTTTTACTACTCACAACAAGTTTAGTGGTATTATGCAAATATATTTGTTCATTTAAATGTACAAATATCACACTATGATAATAATAGTAATAATTTACTAATCAAATTATCATAGTGTGATATTTGTACATTTAAATGAACAAATATATTTGCATAATATATATATTAACATGTTCTATATAAACGATAATGCATTTAATAATGTTATTTTTTTGTAAGTGATACTATATCCCTTTTTACCTGAATTACAGGCAATAATAAAAAGTAGTTAAACATGTTATCCTACTTCGTCTATAATGTTCTAATTTCCAAGCACAAATCTTCTCCTTCGGTTTTAATTTCCATCCCTTATGTCCTGAGGTTAACCTTCCACAAATCAACTAATTCCCTCTTTTCATAGTTCATTGGCTTCTGGATTTGGGATATTAAACATGATCTGACAGCCAGTAAAAACTGTTTGTGTTTAGGCATTGACATATGTCAGCATGGAAAATATACTGAGCTGTGTGAAGTCCGCTGTGTTGAATGCTTGTTCTATTTAACTAGAGCTTGTCAATCTGGCTGCTAATGTCTCAACTAATCATGTAGTTGCTGACTGCGCTATTTGCAACAGATTTGGAACCTGTTGCATGCTTTTTAGCTTTCCGATGTTCAATATGAGACAATGCCAACTTGGCATGACTGTAACTTGGAACTTATGTGGCATCGCCCCCAATGTTTGGTGGTCTACAGAGATGAATCGCTATCAGTTTTATGGGCAAGTACCCGCTCGAACGCCCACTGACAGCTGGCTACACTCTAGCAACAGATACCTCTTTCTGTATTAGCTGTAGGTTACAAGTTTCCATCTGTTGCAATATTGGATTAATTAAACACTGAAATATAAGAACGTGCGTATGTTTACAGAACCGAAATATAAATCATTGCTTTAGCACATTCAGTGCCAGACAGCTGCCACGCCCACTAATCAACGATTTACGAGTAAACCTTCTAAATAAGTTAATAATTCATTAATAGTTGGGTACAAAATTTAAAACTTTTAGTATAACGAATATTACTGACAACCATTTGTATGACAAAACTGTTTTCAGAATAAACAGAAATGCTAAATATTTTTTAAGTACCTGTGTTTTATTGTGTGATGGTAATTCGATCAACGCATCCGACTAAGTGTTCCTTGCAGGCTGCGCACATTGATTGTCTTGCGTCCTGCTTCCGCATAGCAATTGGAAGCTGCCCGCTTTAATGGCGCTTCCTTACGTTAGAAAGTTCGCAGAATGTCCCTTCATGGTCGGAGTTGTTCATGTCACCCAGGCGACTTCATTTCCGCACTTTTCTGAACTAATCAGAGCCCAAGTAACCTTATTTAAACCTGTTTTGACCTTAGTTCAGTGCCCGATCATGCTTTTTATATTGGTTCTAGAGTAGTGCGTTCCTTAAATCTTCTTTGTATTTTCTGGTATTGACCTCAGCTTGTTTGTAGGAATTTGAGTACCTCTGTGATCCTGACCCGGTTTGTCATCCATTTTCCGACTATCCTGACCTTGGATGGGTTTCTTTGCCTCTCTCTTTTTTTATTACGTGAAATCTGGCCACTCTAAGTTCTGGTTATACGTCTATTTCTGTTCCTCCTGTTTGAGATTCACATTTCCTGCGTGTATGTCCCATTTCTATTCCTGGGACATAATGATAGTCTTCAGAGCAGAGAAGGCACAAGATTTTCAAAGTTTTTTAGGTAATCACTTTTCTAATTAAACCATTATAAAGCAAAGTATTATTTCAACAAATGTTAGTGTCTACCATTGTTATGTCATTCTGAACCTTCTCCTGCTCTTTTATTGCCTCCTGCTGGTGGAATACAAGGATGTCCTCATGCGGTCACCCTTGTATTCCCCTAATGAAGGAATGGTGCCAAAACTAAGGGATCGCAATAAATCTTAGTGACAGCTACTTTGTAGGGGCCCTTTGAGCCAATGTCACCTTCTTGTAGGTTTCACGATTCTTGGTGGTGATGATGATGCAATAACTGGAGCACATAGTAATTAAAGCAGTTTAAACTGAATTCTTGGTATAGACTATGACTCTTGAGTCCATATACAATGGAGTTGACTTTGATAAGGGAAACTAAAAAGAGTAACACAGGAAATAATGGCATGTAATATTTATAGCCTCCTTCAGGGGTCTCCTGCAATATGGAGAAGGCATAAAGTAAGTACCCATATAGGGGCAGGAGACCTGTGGTGCACAGTAGGGAATGCAAATCATGTGGGGATGAACAAGCACAGGTTTGAAGTTCCAGAGTGGAGGAGTAAGAGTAACAGTGGTGAAGTATACTGAAGTTTGAGCAATTGAGAGAAGATCTGTGAGAACTTTAGTGGACACAAGGTCTTTGAAACATTGGAAAAAGGAACTGAGTTTACCATGAGTTGAATACTTAGGAGAAATACCTTTATGAATGTGGTAATGGTTCCAGGAACGATTGTGAACTGAGGTCAGAACAGTTACGGAAATGTACGTACCTTTTTAGAATTTTATGAATGAGGAGCTATAGATTGGTTTAGAGCATCATCTGAATGCTCCAAGCCAATGAGCAGTGACCATGCTCAATGCTGTCCGAGCCTTCCGTGAAGAATTTCAGAAATAGTAATGACAGGGATCAGAAAATACCGCCACTGCAGACAGACTTTGGGGTTAAATAGTTTGTGTACAGTATAACCACAGAGGTAAACCAGCACCATCTTTTCATTTTGATAATGTTCTTATGGTACCCAGAGTGTTCCTTTAAGTCCTTGTACTCTAATTCTTCTCCACTCTTCTTCAGGACCATGTGATATGGGACCCTGATATGATACATCTACCTCCTAGTTATTCCTGTTTGCCCTATATTTCTATTCAAAATACAGAGGAATTAGAACATTGAAGCCTTAATTTAAACTTTTTTATTTGGTTAGCAAAAGTTTGAAAATAAAAAGTTTTCAAAAGACCTTTCCTGGATCAGTGGAATTCCCATAAAGCTTATTCCAAAGTTCTGTCAGTGCAATAAAAACATTATTAAAATCTCATGAAGTACTCTATTATTTCACATCTGAATCAGGATACTAATACCCAGATAAGATTTTTTTTTATATATCTAAATACTTTATTGCCCAACCACGTAATATTATAAAATCCTGATGTATGTATTATTACATACCAATCAAAATATTTTCATAATTAAACTTTTTGAGCGTAGCTTAATATATATTCTGTTTCTTTCAGTAGAGAAATCACCTGATGGGTGAGAAAACTTAAAATTTACTACCCTTTAAACTACGTTCCTTGTATACTAAACAACCATCACTAATATTGATTCATTTATTTTAATTAATAAAATGTATATTTTAGGCTTTGAGCCAAGGCACGTACCTTTCTATTAGTCAGAGTTTTATTACGCAGACTTCCAGCTTTAGAGGATTCCTAAGTGCAGGCATTAATATACTCTTTCTATCCACCTTTAGAAGCATTTGCCCATATTTATTAGGATGTGTGACGTGGTTTGTAGTGAATGAAATCTCCCTTATTTGCAAGCATATCATGTTTTCAAATTGCAATGCTGCATAACATCCTTTGGAGTGATATTATTTCCGAAATAATTAAACCAAGGACAAAGTGAGTGATACAATTTAATTAGGCATTTAACAGAGCTCGCCATGTTGTCTGTAAAATGGGTTATGTCTTAACATTGTTTCTAAGAGACCTTTAGATGATGATGACTAAAGAAGCAATTTCATTCCCGGAAGATGTTAGATGGAGTTCATTCCATCCAAATCAAATTTTTAGCCGCTGGCTTAGCTTGCTAAAATGAAACACAACTTATTTCCCCTTTGGATGTCATAGTGACTGGCATGATTAATTAACTCATTTCATGTGGTGGTATATGAATTCTGCATATTGACCAGCAGTATAATTCAATAGACTCCTGGTAGCATAAGAAACTTATAAAAGAAGGAAACATGTTGAAAGAATGGCTCAGTAAGCTACAACAACTTTAAAGTATATATTAAAGGACCACTATAGGCACCCAGACCACTTCAGCTTAATGAAGTGGTCTGGGTGCCAGGTCCAGCTAGGGTTAATCCTTTTTTTTATAAACATAGCAGTTTCAGAGAAACTGCTATGTTTATGTTAGAGTTAATCCAGCCTCTAGTGGCTGTCTCTTGATTTTCCCAGTGAGAAGACGCCAGCGTCCATAGGAAAGCATTGTAAATGCTTTCCTATGAGACTGGCTGAATGCGCAAGCAGCTCTTGCCGCACATGCGCATTCAGCCGAAGAGGAGGAGAGGAGGCGGAGAGGAGGAGGAGAGCTCCCTGCCCGGCGCTGGAGAAAGAGATAAGTTTAACCCCTTCCTCTCCATCCAGCCCGGCGGGAGGGGGACCCTGAGGGTGGGGGAACCCTCAGGGCACTGTAGTGCCAGGAAAACGAGTATGTTTTCCTGGCACTATAGTGGTCCTTTAACATAATTTGCCAAGTATGTAGTTACCCTTCTTACATAAACTTAAAACGTATACTAATGGTTATATGAATTTAAAATGGTATAAGAAATTCCCCAAAGTTCTCGTCTTTATCGCAGGAAAATATTGTTAAGTGTTTTTTTGTGTGGTATATTATATTATAAATTGACACACTAAATGTTTTTTTCTATACACAAGTAAGAACCAGATATAGTATTAAGCTATATATGTAGAGATGCTTATTTGTGTATGTTAATATATCGTGAATAATGTAATATTTAATGTGTGTATGTTTGATGTCATATACTATGTTATGTTTTTAAAATAATAAAAGAAAAATATTAAACAGGAAAAAAAAAGAAACTGATAATATCCAAGGAAATAGAATTAAAGAACAAAATAAATACCACACAGAGATGACAGACGTAGTTGATAGAGAAAAAGACAATAGAGGTAAAAAGAAAGCACTGCTTTCAAACTGTCCCAATATCAGCGGGTTCTACACTAATATTAACATAGAAAATAAACATGCTAACTATAAAACTTACTTCATCAAGGACAACTGTCATCACATTTTTAATTCTCATATTTTAAAAGTTTATTACATTTAATGAAACAAAGTGGGTTTTTTTTTTTGTTTTTTTTTTATCTGGTGGAGCAACCATGTTAGGTTAGTCTCTACTGTTGCTGCTGAACCTAACGTGCTTGCTGCAGGAGTTTCACATAGAGCAAATTAGGTTGGGCAGTAGTTGGTCTGATAACAGTAGAGTATGAACCAACATCAGAGCAGCCAGATAAGAAAAAGTAAAATTTTCTACAAAAAAAATAAAATCCAATATACATAATTTAACAAAAAAAAATACCATTAAGTTCATTAAATGTAATTTAACTTTAAAAAATAGAGAAATAAAAATTTGATGACGATGCTTCAGAATGCTCTCCTTTTTTTCTGGTCACTGCCAATAGGGCACCTGGTGTGGGGTGGTGAGGTGCTCAACCAATGAAACGTAAATCTAAACGTAAGCCTTTTCTGGACTTGCTCTATTTACATTTGATATGATATATCCATAAACGGATATTTAGACAGTTATTATTTTGCTATGTTAAGATGATATACTTTAATAAGATTTCACAAACATAAGTGTGAAGCAGAACATTCCTGGGATGTCATGTACAAATACACTGATAGATTTTTGCAGATAAGCACAAATGTTCTCAACTTGTCATTCCAAACATAGCATACACTGATCAACCACAACATTAAAACCACTTGCCTAATATCATGTAGGTCCCCCTTTGTGCTGCCAAAACAGCTCTGATGCATCAAGGCATGTACTCCACTAGACATCTAAATGTGTCCTGGTATCAAGACATTAGCAGCAGATCCTTTATGTCCTGCAAGTTGCAAGGTGGGTCCTCCATGGATCGGATTTGTTGTTCCAGCACATCCCACAGATGCTCGACCGGATTGAGATCTTGGGTATTTGGAGGCCAATGCAACACATTGAACTCTTTGTCATGTTCATCAAACCATTCCTGAACAATTTTTGCAATGTAGCAGGTTGCATTTTCCTGCTGAAAGAGGCCACTGCCATCCGGAAATACCATTGCCATGAAGGGGAGTACGTGTTCTGCAACAAACTCAAAGTAGGTGGTACATGTCAAAGTAAAATCCACATGGATGCCAGGACCCAGGGTTTCCAAGCAGAACATTACCCACAGAATAACATGGTCTCTGGCCTGCCTTTTTCCCAAAGTGTATACTGCTGCCATCTCTTCCCAAGGTAAATGATGCACATGCACTAGGCCATCCACCTGATCTAAAAGAAAATGTGGATCATTAGACCAGGCAACCTTCTTCCATTGCTCCATGGTCTACTTCTGAAACTCACGTCAACATTGAAAGCACTTTTGGCGGTGGACTGGGTCATCAGAGGAACTTTGACTGGTCTGCAGCTGTGCAGCCTCATATGAAACAAACTACGATGCACTGCGTGTTCTGACATATTTTTATCATGGCCAGCATTAATGTATCAGCATCACACACTTCTGTGTGATCAGACAAGACAGGCCTTACTCTCCATAAATTATCCTTGACCATCCATGACTCTGATGTCGTTTCATTGGTTGTCCTTCCTTGCAACACTTTTGGTAGGTACTTGTCACTGCATACAGGGAACACTGCAGAAGACTTGTTGTTTTGGAGATGCTCTGACCAAGTTGTCGAGCCTTCACTATTTTATCCTTATCAAAGTCACTTAGATCTTTTCACTTGCCCATTTTTCTTGCTTCGAACACATGAAATTCAAGAGCTGACTGTTAACTTGCTGCCCAATATATCCCACCCTTAAAGGAACACTATAGTCACCTAAATAACTTTAGCTTAATGAAGCAATTTTAGGGTATAGAATAGATCATGCCTCTCATGTTTTACTGCTCAGTTCACTGCTATTTAGGAGTTAACTCACTTTGTTTCTGCTTATGCAGCCCTTGCCACACCTCCCCTGGTTCTGATTGACACAGCCTGCATGAAAAAAAACTGGTTTCACTTTCAATCAGATGTAATTTCTTTCTCGGTAAATTAAACTTTAATCACATACAGGAGGCTGTTGCAGGGTCTAGAAAGCTATTAAAGGGACACTATAGTCACCCAGACCACTTCAGCTCAATGAAGTGGTCTGGGTGTCAGGTCCCTCTAGGGTTAACCCTGCCTGATGTAAACATAGCAGTTTCTTAGAAACTGCTATGTTTACATCTGGGGTTAAGCCAGCCTCTAGTGGCTGTCTTCCGGACAGCCACTAGAGGTGCATCGGCAATGATTGAGGCATATTATGCCTCGATCACGCAGAGCGTCCATAGGAAAGCATTGAAAAATGCCTTCCTACAGACACTTTGAATGTGCGCGCGGCAGTGCCGCGAATGTGCATTCGGCGCCGGTGACATCAGACAAAGATGCTGACGGCGGGGGAGGAGAGGTAAGGGAGCCTGACGGGGGAAAAGGGTGAGTAGCTGATTGGCTCCCGCCTGCCAATCACTCAATGTAGTGTGGCCGGGTGGCGCGGACCGCGGGACAGGAACTTCTGTTTCAGTGAGCGCTTCCCTTCAGTCCGCCGGCGGCCGGGTACAGGAAACAGAAGTTCCTGTACTGTGGTCCACGCCGCCAGGCCACGCTACATAGGTAGGACCACTGAGGGGGTGGGGGGGGGGAAGAAGGACCACTCAAGAAGGGGAGGAGGGGAAAGGACCACTAAGGGTTGGGGAGAAAGGACAACCAAGGAGGTGGGGGAGAAAGGACCACTAAGAAGGTGGGGGGGAGTAGGGGGAAAGGACCTCTAAGGAGGTGGGGAGAGAGGAGGAAAGGACCACTAAGGGGGTGGGGGAAGGGACCACTAAGCGGGGGGAAGAGGGTGAGGACCACTAAGGGAGGGGGGAAAAGGGTAAGGACCACTAAGGGGGGTAGAGGGTAAGGACCACTAAGGGAGGGGAGGAGGGGAAGGACCACTAAGGGGTTTGAGAGAGGGGGGAGATGGAGGACCACCAAGGGGGGGGGGGGGAGAAGACCACCAAGGAGGGACACTAAGGGACAGTAGGAGAGATCACTATAATTTTTTTAAATAAAGAGCTGCTCCCATCTCAGCCCCTATCCTACCCCACAAACCCTCTCTTTTACACTACACACATATACAATGCATCCCTGCTCACACACAGACACACAGAAACACACAATGCATCCCTTACGCGCACACGCCCAGAAACATACAATGCATTCCTTACACACAAACACAAACTGCATCCCCTATACATACACACTACATCCCTTACAAATTGGTATCCCTATACACTACATTACATCCTCTACAATAACACATAACACATCCCCTACACACGTACATTCCACTCCCTGTGAGAGAACTCATGGGTTGGCCATGTTGGTGGATTTATGGGTGGGCCTTGTAGGCATACTCACGGTCAGGCCCTGGGGTTCCAAACTTTGAGCTGTGTAAGGGGCCCCAAAAATGGAGCTGCTTCCTGTTCGTTAATTGTTGTGAACACTGTTACAAACAGTCTCCAGAGAGCCTCTTCTACACCAGACCTGTGGAGCCAGACTGCAGCCTGAACCCATCATCATCCTCTTGTCCTCATCTGGTAGTAAGTAGGCAATCCAATATATTATTAGTGGCACTAATCTCTAATTTACCTCACATTAAAGGGCCACTATAGTCACCAAATGCACTACAGCTTAATGTAGTGGTTCTGGTGTCTATAGCTTGTGCCCAGGGCTGTCCTTAGGGGTGTGCGAGCTGTGCAGCCGCACAGGGCGCCATGGACCGGGGGCGCCATGTGGCCGACACAGCGCGCACATGGCTGGTGTCAGGGAAGCTAAAACAGGTACCTGGGTGGAGGATTTAATTATTCTCCACCCGGGTCTATTTAAAAAAAAAAAGAAAAATCGTGTGTGTGTGTGTGACTGTCTGCCTGTGTGTGTGTGACTGCCTGTGTGTGACTGTCTGTCTGTGTGATTGCCTGCCTGTGTGTGTGACTGTCTGTCTGACTGCCTATGTGTGTGTGTGACTGTCTGTCTGACTGCCTGTGTGTGTGTGTGTGACTGCCTGTGTGTGTGACTGTCTGCCTGTGTGTGTGTGTGAGACTTTCTGCCTGTGTGTGTGACTCTCTGCCTGTGTGTGTTACTCCAATTGTGTGTCTTGCTGTAGCTGTGCCGTTGTGTGTGCCTGTATGTTTGACTATCTGCCTTTAACTGAGTGTGTGTGCCTATAATCGTGCGTGAGTGTCTGCATGCCTGTAACGGAGTGTGTATGACTGTCTCTTTGTAATGGAGTATGTGTGACTGTCTGCTTGTGACTGTGTGTGTGACTGTCTGCCTTTAACTGTGTGTTTGGCTATGTGACAGTCTGCCTGTTACTGAGCATGTGTGACTGTCTGCCTGTAACTGTGTGTGTGTGTGTGTGTGTGTGTGTGTGTGACTGTCTGCCTGTAACCGAGCGTGTCTGACTGTCTGCTTGTAACTGTTTGTGTGACTGTCTGCTTGTGCCTGTGTGTGTGACTGTATACGGGTGGGGGGTGGGGTGCCGTGAAGACTTTTTGCACAGGAAACCTAAAGGCCTAAGCCTGTGCCTGCAGGCTTTTTAATGTAAACACACTGCCTTTTCAGATAAAAGACACCATGTGCAGCACTGGCGTTGGCCCATATGGCAGAACATATGGGTGGGACATTGTGATGTCACATGGTGGGCAGGACATATGGGGGGGGGGGCAAAAATACTTGCACTGGCCCTGTATACACCCAAACTGCTTCATTAAGCTAAAGTTGTTTTGACTATAAAGTGTCCCTTTAACAGGTGTGATTTATAATTTAGCCAATGTTATTCACATCACTTGTCAGTTGTTTGAATGTTGTGGCTGATCAGTGTACATTTTAACATGGGGTGCATAGCTATGGTAAAATAACAAATTAGTGTATAAATTGCTGTTCACTCTTGCAGAGGAATAAAGCAGTGTCCTGTTAAAAAATAGTTTCTGTGCAGAATGATAAAAAAAAAAGGCTGATGCATAGGGAAAGGAAAGTGACGCTTTATGGACTAAACATTGTTTTGCATTGTTTGGCAATGCAAAATAAAATCTGTGTGCACATAATGTAAGGGGAATGTTATTAATGAGGTTATTCAGTAACTTCAGACTGTAGTGATTTGAAACCCAAATTACAACATTTAGCCAAAACAGATAATGCTAGGTGAGAAAAAAACCTCTCCAAATCAGCTATGTTTGCCTTATTTTGCAATTCATATTTTCATTTACTGCAATTTGACATTTAATAAATAAACCAGATTAATATTCATCTAAATTGTCTTACAGTTTGTCCGGCACAAGTCAAGATGCATTTCTTGACATTACAATAGTTTCATCCTGTTCTCTACTATTAGCCCTTAATAGTGATGTCCCGAACGGTTCGCCGAACGGTTTGCCACGGACGGCAAACATATGTGCTGTTCGGTCCACCCCCTATGTCATCATTGAGTAAACTTTGACCCCGTACCTCACAGTCAGCAGACACATTCCAGCCAACCAGCAGCAGACCCTCCCTCCCAGACCCTCCCACCTCCTGGACAGAATCCATTTTACATTCATTGTGAAGCTGCATTCTTAGTGAGCTGTCCAGGAGGTGGGAGGGTCTGGGAGGGAGGGTCTGCTGCTGATTGGCTGGAATGTGTCTGCTGACTGTGAGGTACAGGGTCAAAGTTTACTCAATGATGACGAATAGGGGGCGGACCGAACAGCGCATATGTTCGCCGTCCGTGGCGATCCATTCGGCGAACCGTTCGGGACATCACTAGCCCTTAAGTAATACATTTGTCAGGACAGATCCTTGTAATTGCTTTTTATAATAACAAAGATTATTATACCATTACCTTCAGTAATGTATTTCCAATGCTTTAACCCCTTAAGGACCAAACTTCAGGAATAAAAGGGAATCATGACATGTCACACATGTCGTGTCCTTAAGGGGTTAAAAACGCTAATACTGTTCTCATTTCATAACTGTTTCATTAATTATTGTATTTATGAAACTGTTAGAGTATGTTCGGAATTCTATTTCAAAGCAGGCATAAGCTTAGGTGACAGAGTTAGTTACATGGGGGCAAAGACAAGCTGAGGTCTCTGTAGGATAATATTTATTACACTGTGTTCATTGTCCGAATTTAGTGATGTATAGTTATGTCCTTAATATATAATTTGTTACTCCTCCAATTCTAAGCAGAAGGGATGATTTAGCAGCTACGATCTTCTTGTGGTACCAATGATCACTGACACTTAAAAGTCTGTAAACACGTAGATGAGCAAGAGACACAAGGGAGTACTAAACATTTTATTGATACTGTACAGAACTGGTAACTATGTAAAACAAATAACGATCTCATAGTCCCAATACTTTTTCAAGCACATTTATACGATTAACAGATTGGTAAAAGAACACTATACCTGGCATTGAATATTTACATTTTGACTATCACAGTCTTTCAATAGAAAAATTATTGACATGTTCGTTAATGGAACCACTGGACATTTAATGTCGTCATGGTGAATGGCGACTTCAATACCTAAGAAAGTTACTGAATACACTTTCTGATAAATATCCAATGTCCTGCACATTAGGCACAAATATGCTAGCTAACACAACTTTTAGTAACATTTATCTATTTTTGCATTACTTACCATCTTTGGGTTTAAAGCAATAACATGGTAGTTGAGATGATGAGCATGGCAACAGGGTTATCCCTGCAGAAGGAAGAGAATAAGAACCCTTCAAATTATGTGTCCAATTGAACAGACAGAGCCAAAGTCAAAAACAGTTAAATTATAGTAGTAAATGTTTTACTGCTAATAAGCCAGCTGTGTGAGAATCAAAATAGCTGTTTGTCAAAAACAGCTATCAAGAGGTACGACTTAGATACACCCCCAGTTGTGTTTCTTGGCAAAATTGCCGATACTGCAACAGAGTTTGCAGTAGTCTGTGTAGCATATGGTTGCAACCAAACATGGTGGTACCGGGACGTAGCGCATCTGAACATTGCAATTATTTTATACATTAGTTATTTCTATTACTTGCATAATCAACATCTGGTGCATTCATTAGACAAAACGGCATTACCATACGTTAGCAGTACAACTATAGTAGAATTCTGAAACCGGGGGGGGAAAAAAGAAGAAAGAAACTAAAAAAAAAAAAAAAATTGGCAAGCTCCAAAAATGACAAGCAAATGTGCGTAGGGGAGTTTGTACATTAAACAAATTGACCTTGAAGTATTGAGTCCAGAGACCATTTACAATACATTAGCTTAGTGTTCTACTTTGGATTTGTGGTTAGGTTAATGAAATGCCTTCACAGAAAGTACTCTCAACGCAAGATACAACATTTAATCATGTCTTCCATTTCAAATCATTAGAATAAACAGAGGTGGCTTGGCGTTTAATTTGTTGAAAGTTAATATTTTATTATTAAAGCAATAAATATATTAAATGGCATACGCCGCAATACTAAGTTGAAAGCAATCACTGATGGCCTTTGGCAACATGTTTCAAATCAATAAGGTCTGAGATGAATTTGTAGATTGATTACTGACGTCAAGACTTCTAAAACAACCTTTGGATTAATGGCATGGAGTTTTGCAGTTGAAGTGTACAAAGTGACGTGCCATCCAGATACCTTTAAAATACTTTTGACAGGGCATTTTCAATAACATAACATTGTGTGTATTGCAGATGTTACTGTAACTATATATATATATATATATATATATATTTATATAGTGTTCAAGTAGAGATTACAGCTGTATCATTCCAGTGATGTAGATGTAAAAAACAGATAAAATTCGTCTATTTAATACCTTTTTTATTGGACTAACAGAATTTTGTAATGACAACCTTTCGGGAGAACCTCTCTTTCTCAAGTCCGAAGCACTTCTGAGCAAGACGACACATATAATTCAAAGTTGAGTTGTGATACAGGGGTTAAAGCAACATGAGTGCAGATAAGACAGGTTTGTTAGAACATAGACACCATTCTTGCAGAGGGTCGTAACAGGGGCGGACTGACCACTCGGGCAGATCGGTCATGGACCGAGGGCCCGAGGCAGTCAGGGGCCCGCCTGCCTGAACAGTCATACTGTCTCTGGCTGGGGAGTTCAGAGATCTCCCCAGCCAGAGAGACACAATTTAACATGATATGTGTTCCCCCTCACCTCATGAGACCTGGCAGCAATCCAGCTCTTGCCAGGTCTCCTCCATCCTTTCTGTGCGGAGCTTGTGTGAGGGGAGGAGGCGGGGCCCGGGGGAGGGGAAGTGACATCACTTCCTGCCCCCTCCTCTCCTCTCCTCTCCTCTCCTCTTGCAGAATATACAGAGTGAGCAGCCTGGCACAGTCAGCCAGGGCCGCCATCAGGGCATGACAACCGCAACGGTTGTCATGGGCCCGGCGGGTCCTGGGGGGCCCGGACTGCTCAGGTCGTCCGGGCCCCACATTCAATGGGTACATACCGGGTCGCAGGGGCCCCTGCGACCCCGGTATGTACCCACAGGGCCAGCCTCTTCTCCTGGGGGGCCCAGCAGCCGGTCACCTCAGGGCCCCCCAGAGGCTGGCCCTGCTGACACCCGGCGGGCGGGCCGCGCGCGAGGGAGCACTCTCTGTGTGCTTCCTCTTCAGCTCCCTTGCGCACCGTACTGATGCCGGAGCCGGAAGATAACGTCATCTTCCGGCTCCGGCATCAGTACGCGGCGCGCGAGGGAGCTGAAGAGGAAGCACACAGAGAGTGCTCCCTCGCGCGCCGGTGTCAGGGGGGAAGTGAGAGGGGGGAGAGGAATGAAATTCGAGGGAGGGGGGTTAGGAATGAAACGTGGGAGGGGAAGGAATGAAATATGAGGGGGGGGGGTGGAGGAATGAAATGGAGGGGGGAGGAAGGAATTTGAGGGAGGAGGAAATATGAGGGAGTGGGGGAATGAAATTTGAGGGAGTGGGAGGGGGGGGGAGGAATGAAATGGGAGAGGGGGAAGGAATGAAATATGAGGGGGGAAGGAATTAAATTTGAGGGGAGGACAGGAATGAAATTTGAGGGGGAGGGAGGAGAGGAATGAAATTTGAGGGAGGGGGGAGAGGAAGGAAATTTGAGGGAGGGAGAGAGGAAGGAAATGAATGGGAGGGGAGGAAATGAAATTTGAGGGAGGGGACAGGAATGAAATTTGAGGGGAGGGGGGAGAGGAAGGAAATTTGAGGGAGGGAGGGGGAGAGGAAGGGAATTTGAGGGGGGAGAGGAATGAAATTTGAGGGAGGGAGAGAGGAAGGAAATTTGAGGGAGGGAGAGAGGAAGGAAATTTGAGGATGGGGAGAGGAAGAAAATTTGAGGGACTGGGGGAGAGGAAGAAAATTTGAGGGACTGGGGAGAGGAAGGAAATTGGAGGGGAGAGGAAGGAAATTGGAGGGGGGGAGAGGAAATTGGAGGGGGGAAGAAGGAAATTGGAGAGGGAGGGGGAGAAGAAGGAAATTGGAGAGAGGGAGAGGGGGGGAGAAGGAAATTGACGGGGGGGAGGGGGAGAGATTGACATCCATCACACACAATGCACCCCTTGCACACAGAAAAACACACAATGCATTACACACAGACACACGTACACAAGCAATGCATCCCTTACACACAGCAACACACAATGCACCCCTTACACACACTCAATGCATCCCTTACAGACGCACACACTGCATCCCATACATACACAAACTCATCTTGCAGCCCTTACACATACAAACACAGATTCACACAATGCATTCCTTACACACATCAGGACATCCCCCACACACACACTCCACTCCCTGTGAACAAACTCATTGGTGGAACATGAAGGTGGACCCTGGGACCCAGACCTTGAGCTGTGTAAAGGGCCCTCAAAAAAATGGAGCTGCTTCCCGTTCTCCCAGAACAGTGATTTTTGTGACCACAGTTACAAACCGCCTCCAGAGAGCCTGTTGTACACCAGACCAGTGGAGCCAGACGGCAGCTAGAGCCCATCATCATCCTCATCTAGTTGTAAGTAGGCAATCTAGTATATTATTCGTGGCACAAATCTCTAATTTACCTCACATTAAAGGGACACTATAGTCCCCAGAACCACTGCAGCTTAATGCAGTGGTTCTGGTGTCTAGCCTGTCCCTGCAGGCCTTTTAATGTAAACACGGCGGCACTGCAGCACTGGTGTTAGTTAACATGGCAGATCATATGGGTGGGGCATTGTGATGTCACATGGGGGGCGGCAAACTTTACTTTTGCCTAGGGCGGCAAAAATCCTTGCACCGGCCCTGCAGACACTGCATCCCTGTGGGCAGATTCGGGGGGGGCAGCACTTTGGGCGGACTCGGGTTCAGGCACCGGGGGGCCCAGACCTTGAGCTGTGTCAGGGGCCCCAACATTTCTGATGGCAGCCCTGCAGTCAGCAGGTATGCAAATCTCCCCCTCCACTCACTTCAGCACCCACTTCATCTCCAATGCCCCCTCCACCTCAGCCCCCATGCCCCCTCCACCCACTTTATCTCCCATGCCCCCTCCACCTCAGTACCCACTTCAGCTCTATGCCCCTCTCCAACTCAACACCCATCTCCCTTAGCCCCATGCCCCCCTCCACCCACCTCAGCACCCACTTCATCGCCCATGCCCCCTCCACCTCAGCACCCACTTCATCGCCCATGCCCCCTCCACCTTAGCACCCACTTCAGTCCACGCCCCTCTCCAACTCAGCACCTATCTCCCTTAGCCCCATGCCCCCTTCCACCCACTTCAGCACCCATCTCCCGCTTCACTCACCTCAGCCCCGATCAACCTTAGCACCAACTTCATCTCCCATGCTCCCCTACACCTCAGTACCCATCTCCCTCCACCTTCACTCACCTCTGCCCTCATCTACCCCAGCACCCACTTCATCTCCAATGCCCCCCTCCACCTCAGCACCCATCTCCCTCCACCTTCACTTACCTCAGCCCCATCTACCCCAGCACCCACTTCATCTCCAAAGCCCCCCTCCACCTCAGCACCCACCTCAGCCCCATGTCCCACTCCACCTCAGCACCCTTCTCCCTTAGCACCCACCTGGGCCCCATGCCCATGCCCACCTCAGCACCAATCTCTCCCATCACCTACCTCAGCCCAATGCCCCATTCACCCACCTCAATCCCTATCCATCCCTACACCCATCACAGCCCTCACTGGACCCACTACAGCCCCTATACCTTCCTGCACCCTGTATACCACCTACCCTTAACCCTGCAAGTGTAATTATTTAAGTTTTCATAAACTGCAATATTTACCTTGAAGGTTTAAGTCCTCCTCTAGTAGCTGTCTACTAGACAGCCACTAGAGGACACTTCCATGTTCATAGAACATTCAATGCTTTCCTATGGGGAGGTCTAATACGCGTGCATGGCATTGCCGTGCATGCGCATTAGGTCTCCTCGGCCACGCATGCTCAATAGGTCTCCCCCGCTGGATGATGTTGGCGGGCGAGGGACATCGGCGCTGGATTCAGGTAAGTCACTGAATGGTTTTTAGGGGGTGGGAGGGAGAGGGGACATGCAGTGCCAGGAAAATGGTTTGTTTTCCTGGCACTGGAGAGTCCCTTTAATATCTATTATCCATACAAACACACTACAGCCCTAGTAACCCCCAGACGCCTACTACAGCCCCTATCCCACACACTTACAACAGCCCTTACCGCACACACTGCAACACAACCAGCTGTCTCAACCCACATACTACACTGCAAACAGACTCATTCACACACTCAAATCCACCAGAAGCCTCACTGTATGCACACAATCCCACAAGCAGCATCCCCACACATGGAAAACAACAGGCAGCATTCCTACCATTGCAATACTGCATACAGCCTCCTTACACAAACACTCACTCACACACACACACACACACACACCATAATTACAACCATCTATATAGCACAAACATATTCTGCAGCTCAGTACAATAGGTAAAAGGCAAAAAAATTTACACAACACGTTGACATACAGGAACACATCACAAGCAGCATCCCACACACTGAACCCCACAAGTCGCCTACAAACGTTTGCAGGCTACTTGTATGATTGAAAACAAATGTGGGGGATGCTGCTTGTGATGTCACCAGCAAACACAGGTGGAAAAAACTTTGCACAAGAAGGGGGCCCTTGGTCTCCTACTGCCCGAGGGCCCTGTGAGTTGTCAGTCCGCCCCTGGGTCGTAAATATCTTATGTGAAGATAACAGAGTGAGGGGGGAGAGAAAGAAAAAACAAACAGGGAACAGTGCAGAAGATGGTGCTAGAAGGGGGGAGTATTAATATAAAGAATCCATGATCCAAGAGTTACAGGATATGCATAAAGGCCTATATCCAGCATACACAGACACACGTACACACTCACACTCATGTACATATACCTATACACAAGTAGTGCATATGTACAAGCATACACAAGAACATACACACTATACATAAGTACATACAATATACATATAAATACAACCAAATGCCCAAATTAATGTGCATGCACACCTACTCATACATCCACACACAAGCACCAATACATGTACCTACACATATACCAATGTGCCTACACATACATAGACCCATATATATGTATATGGCAGATCTTGAACAGAGATTCGTAGAAATACAGAACACCAGACCATACAAATATTATCGCTATATCAATGATATCTTCATAATTTGGACTGAAAGCAAAGAAAAACTGATACAGTTCCATGACTCCTTTAACTCATTCCGTACATCAATCAAACTAAAAATTGAATATTCCACTAGATCTGTGAATTTTCTGCACACCACTGTGACATGTAACAATGGCACAATCCACACCTCGGTTTACAGAAAATCCACAGACAGGTGCAGTTACCTTCACAGCTTCAGCATCCACCCCTCCCATACTAAATAGGGCATCATCTACACCAAAGCCTCTAGGTACCATCGCATATGCTCTGATCCTAATGACCGTAATTACCATCTAAATGTACTCTCCCAATCTATGAGACAGAAAGGCTACAAACCAAAGACTATTACCAAACAAATCATCTCTGCTGTAAAAACTCCACGCACGCGCCTGCTACAGTATTGTCACAGCTTCTGGTGATTCTGCCGGCGTGGATACACAAAAAATAAGCAACCACAGCGACAGAAACAAATCTCACTTACTTTGTTCGCGGCAGATCACTGCCCGACCTCCCTCCGTCCGGTCCCCAGCGGGTGCGACATTTTCAGGATCAGCGACAGCTGCAGTTTGGATTTTTATAACAAACTTATCTTCGCCCACACCAAAAATGGTGCCAAGGTCAGAGGTCGGAGGCAGCCAATTACAGCCAAAGGAGGGGTATTTAAACCCAAATTACCTTTCTGTCAGTGCCCTGTCGTGGTTTTTCTTAGTTGGTGATCAGAGAGTGTGTTCCTGAGTGTTTATTTCTGGTTATTGACTTTGGCTTCATTTTGACTTCCCTGAATTCTCATTCCTCATCGTTGTGTCTCCTTCTTTGTCCCTGACCTCAGCAAGTATTCTGACTATTTTCTGGTACGTTAGGTCCGGCCATTCTAAGGCCCGGTAAGTCGTTTCCTTTTAGTCCAAGGTGTTATATAATTCTGCGTGCTAGATCTACTAGTAATCCTGACATTATGACAGGGCATTTGATCCTGCAGAATTATGTCAGTACATCGCAGCTTGCGAGAGGAAGCTAGAGGAGAATGATCACCGGATGGATCGATTTGTCCAGGCTTTCAGTACGCTTCTTACTCAGACAGCGCATTTACAGCCTGAGTTTCCTCCGATACACACACACATATGTACAGACACACCAACAGAGAAAAATGTATATAGACACACATACACAAACACACCGACATTCAAACACACACATATACAGACACGTACACTAACACAGACACATACAACATGTTTTAGTCACCCTCCTGTTTCCTACCTTTTAGGAGCAGAAGGGTGACTTCCCTGGGGTCCAGTGACTCAGCCTGATGGAAGTCAGATTTCCCACTCCCATAGTATGTTTCTGAGTGTGTGTATGTCAGATTGAATGTTTGTGTGTGTTTATCTGAGTGTCAGTGTGTGAATCTGAATGCATCTGAGTGTGTATGCATGTGCCATTTTGTGTATCTGAGTGTGCATGTATGTGTGTGCAGGCGCGTGTAAGGGGAGAAGCGCGTGGGGGAGGGGGTCATTGTTAAGCCACCTCCCTGAAATTAGATTTTGAATGTTGGGAAGCTTCTGCCTCTTAACCCCTTTTGCTCCCTGTCCTTTCCAGTTTCTCTCAGCTTCTGCTCCATTGACCTCTTCAGCCCCTTATCCTGCCCCACTTTAAAAATGTATCTTCATTACATGTTATCCTGACACTTTATTCTTCAGGACTGTATACCTACATCTTGTTGTGTTAGTGTATTAGTTTGACAGTTATTTTATTTCACTTCATTTTTTTATTGTTTTGTTACAAGTTTGAAAGAACACTATAATCACCCAGACCTCTTTAACTCAATGAAGTGGTCTACATAGAGTGTCCCTGTCCTCTTATCCCTGCAATGTAAAAGTTTTTTCCTCTATGAGGAGTAGGCATGTGCATGGGGAAAATCTTCGGTTTGGTTCGGCATTCCGAAATCCGGGAATTTCGCAATTCAGGACTGTAAATGAAGGGACTGACAGGTAAGTCTCTACATTTACCTGTCACAACACACTGGTTGGTTTGAAATCCACCAATCAGAGTGCTCTGTGTCATTTTACACAGCGTGGGAAAGTTCTTTGGAATTTTCCCACGCTGTGTAATTTGACTCATAACTCTCTGATTGGTCACTTAATTCAGCCCTGCAGAGCTCAGTCTGCACGGAGCCCTCGCCGGGTGAAGATTAATTTTTTTTGCGCTTTTTTTTTTTTAAGTGCGTCGGTTATTATTGTTTTTTTATTTGGCCTTTTTTGGGTCTGAAAAAAGAAGATTTTAGAAGAAAGAAAACATCGAATGGTAAGTTTTATTTTTTTTTACAGGTACTTAGTTAAAGGTCCCCCTCTCATTATTTTTTGGGTGAGGGGGGTAGGTAGGGGGTTCATTTTTTTTGGGGGGGGTGACTAGGGGTTTGGGGATCCCTAGTCACCTGGGAGGGGGGGTTAAATTTTTTTTAGGGCCCCCACCCACCGCTCAGGGGTGGGGGCTGGGGGGGAGGACAATAGGTCCCCCCTATTCGTATTTTGGGCCCCCACACGCCGCTCAGGGGTGGGGTCCAGGGGGGAGGACATTAGGACCCCCCATTATTCCAATTTAGGGCACCTGCTCAGGGGTGGGGGCCAGGGGGGAGGACATTAGGTCCTTTCAGGAGCATGTGCATGTACACATCCCGTTCGGCTCCCTTATTAGTATTTAGGGCCCCCACCCACCGCTCAGGGGTAGGGGCCAGGGGCAGGACATTAGGCCCCCCTTATTCCAACATAGGGCCCCCACCTGCCGCTCAGGGGTGGGGGCCAGGGGGGAGGACATTAGGTCCACCCCTTATTAGTATTTAGGGCCCCCACCCACCGCTCGGGGGTGGGGCTGGGGGGAGGACATTAGGTCCCCCCCTTATTAGTATTTAGGGCCCCCAACCGCCACTCAGGGGTGGGGGCCAGGGATGCGGACATTATGTCCCCCGCTTATTAGTATTTAGGGCGGGTGGGGGCCAGGAGGAGGACATTAGGTCCCCCCCCTTATTTTACTGTAGGGCCCCTAGTTAATTATTTAAAATTGTATACAATGTAACATTCTTCTTCTTTCACTGGGTAAGTATATTAGTACTTAGGCAATACTGTGCTTCAGAATTTCGGCACTTTGACACTTCGGAACTTCGGCACTTCGACACTTCAGAAATTCGGTAATTTAGGAACTTCGGGACCTCTGCAATTCGGCAATTCGGACATTCGGAAGTACCTGAATATCCGAATTGCCCGAAATTCGTCCGAATTCATATTTGGACCGAAAGGAATTGCACATGTCTAATGAGGAGGATTAGATTGGACACCAGCAGATGACGGCAGAAGAGGTGGTTAAATGTATACAAAACTCGACCTGGAAAAGAGTAGGAACACCTCAACCTGCAAAAAGGCTCTGACCATGCGGATTCTCAATGTAGCCAAAAGCTTCATACCACTCTTTTGGGAAAAGGGTTCCAATGCATGGAAGCCATACTTTGATATCTACACTTAGAAAAGGGCAGTTTGGGCCATTTCTTTTCCTCTTCCTTCTCTCTCATTCTTTTTTTCCCACTCCCCTAGTCTTTACCTCTCTATACCTACACCCTACCCTCCTTCGCAATAGAACGAGCTGGAGCACATGCTCATTGGATGTAGACAATCATGTCAAGTTGACATCCGCCCTTATCTACCTATTGTTCCTGTGTCACTGTGTAATTGTCATTTTTATTGTAAATCCCCCCCTTTCATAATATTATTATATAAAAAATTAACGCGGACACTCATTCTTCGGGAAACGCATTTCTGCAACTAATCTATTCCCTCTTACAGGGGTAAGCAACTCCAAAAAAGCCAATAGGTTCCAAAGTATTCATGAGAAAATCCAATTTGCCTCCGTTTTATCAAGATCCTTATCCTTATTGCCACCTCTCCAAGATACATTAACTTTATTGCTGCAAATGTAAGCCCTGTATGATCCTGACTATGGATTAGGAACTTGATAAACATGGAAATTGATTTTTTTTTATGAATACATTGGAGCCATGGGATGCAGTCACGTGTCCCGCCTAGCTCCAAGAGCGCGCCGCGCGTCTCGGGCACGCTCTTAAAGGAAAAGTGGGAGCTGAAAACTAAAACGGTCTCCCATTGACCCCTGTCATCCCACATTCCCCATACACTCACATTTTGGGGGCGTGGATATGACAGGGGCCAATCAAATTAAATGTTAGGGTATTTATACTTATCTCTCCCTTAACTCCCTGCTCTATCCTGGTTTCTGTTTCGGTTCCCTTTAGCGCTTGTTGTGTTCAGTTGTGATTTTTCGTACTTGACCTTGGCTTTGTATCTGACTCAGTTTATCTCTTTATCCCTGTTTTGTCTTGTTTGCCGGCTTACTGATTACTGTGTACCAGACCTTGGCTAGTTCTTGTTTTTGCTGTCTCTGTATTTCTCTGCTCTACGTTTGGTCCGGCCATTCTAAGGTCCGGTAAGACGTACCTGCTCTATATTGTCAATTGTTGGACTAAATCTTGCGAGTTGGGGTAAACTACCGTGACATTACGATAGGGCCATGGACCCCACAGATTTAGCTCAGCAAATGGCTTCTCATGAGGCTAGATTTGTAGAGCAGGATCACCGTATGGATAAGATAGCCCAGGCCCTCCAGACACTCTTATCTAGAACTACTCCGGTAACCGTACCAGATCCTCCTGCACCCCTTGTCCCAGTTGTATCTACCATGCCTAATGCTTCTGCACATTTAACCCCTCCTCCTAGGTATGGAGGGGATGCTAAGACATGCAGGGGATTCATTAATCAAGTGGAATTCCACTTTGAGATGTATCCACATTCTTTTGCACCAATTTACTGATAAAGCACTTAAGTGGGCAAATCCTATTTGGGAGGCTAATGGACCTATGGTGCATGATTTCAATAGCTTCCTTACGGCTTTTCATAGAACCTTTGACACAACTAAAAGGTCGAAGAATGCCACCAGGGCATTAATGAGAATTAAACAGGGATCTAGGTCTCTTGCTGATTATGCTATTCAGTTTCGTACCCTTGCTTCACAGGTAGATTGGACCAACAATGGGCTAACTACTGCATTTATGGAAGGTTTATCTGACACTATATTGGATGAGGTAGCGGCTAGGGATCTTCCTATCCCATTAGAGGACCTTATCGACTATCTCATTGATATAGACAATAGGATTCGTGACAGACTCTATACTAAGAATAGGAATAGACGTTTTGTTACATTAAATACTCCTAGAGTTGCTAATCCTGAGAGTTTCAAGGTATCAGAGGAGGAACCCATGCAATTAGGTGTTGTCAAACTCTCGGACGCTGAAAAATTGTATAGGAGAAAGGAGGGACTTTGCCTGTACTGTTTGCTCTTTGGAGTATTTGGAACGCATCCAGCTGCCGCAGTCGAACGCACGCGGTGAACACCCGGTGTCAGTGCAGCACGAGGCAGTCCACCTTCACCTCTGTCCGGCCGGCAAGAGAGTGCAATTTTCATCTATATATTTGGACCCTCAGTATACTGTGACCCGGTACACCTTATATCTCTGTCATGTGGGACTGTTTGAATTTTTACTATTAGTCTTTTATATTTTATGTGTGCTGTTTAGACAATAAACCATTTATAAATAGTTTGATGTCTGCTTCACATATATGAGACTAACTTCTGATCCTTTGGGATTTTTATTTAAAGATATACTTTTATTTAAAGATATACTGTTACTAGTGGTATTCTATACCTATGATATATATGTGGTATTGATTCTTAAGATTATAGGATCTCTACTATATTAACTCTTTTGCAGCTAGTGGATTCTACCTACCTTACTCTATAGGAGGTCCAGGTCCGACCAGCTGATACATTTAAAACTTCAGAAGGACTAACTAAGGATCATTTAAATTTGCTATTTCCACTGAGTCCAGTATTTATTATTGATTTATTTCAATAGCACCCTTTAAGAATCTGTAGTTCGTCTTCTCTGGGTGAGTAGGGGAACATATGGAAAAGGTAGCTTGCCGGGGTTTTTGGGACTCTACTTTTTACCGTCTTTAGGAGGAACTGTGCCACTGCATCCCACAATTTTGTAATGATTGGGCACGACCAGAATATATGGAATAGTGTGCCCTCATGCTCTTGGCATCTCCAGAATAGGGGGTTGTGCCCGGGAATATGTGCGCCAGGCGCGTGGGTACTAAGTACCACCTCATTATTAGTTTGCAGTATGCTTCTCTATGGGTCACAATCCGATTTTTGACTGGGAGTCAGGACAAATAGTATCTTGGAGCGAGACCTGCCAAGAGTCTTGTATCGTTAAAATCACCCCTTTAAATTCTATTAATGTTCCTACTACTCCTCCTTTGTCTACTGTTATACCTCCTCAGTACTTGTCTCTCAAGTCTGTCTTCGATAAAAGGGAGGCTGAAAAATTACCGCCTCATAGACCCTACGATTGTGCTATCGATTTATTGCCTGGCACTATACCGCCCAAAGGCAGGGTGTATCCTTTGTCTCCTCAAGAAAACCGTGTCATGGAGGAATATATTAAAGAATCTCTACAAAAGGGGTTTATAAGGAGATCCTCTTCTCCGGCAGGGGCTGGGTTCTTCTTTGTGTCGAAGAAAGAGGGCGATTTGAGACCTTGTATCGATTATAGGGGTCTAAATAAAATCACCATAAAAAATGCTTACCCTATACCTTTAATCACGGAATTATTTGACAGGCTCAAACATGCTACTGTATTTACTAAACTGGACCTTAGAGGTGCATACAATCTAATACGTATAAAGAAGGACCATGAATGGAAAACTGCATTCAATACTAGGACTGGTCATTACGAGTACACTGTGATGCCATTTGGTCTTTGTAACGCCCCAGCAGTGTTTCAAGAATTTATTAATGACGTCTTACGAGAGTTCATTCACACATTTGTAATAGGGTACTTGGACGACATAATATATTCAACGGATTTGCATACTCATCACATGCATGTTAAAACAGTTTTGAAAACCCTTCTTGTTAATGGTCTTTATTGTAAACTAGAACAATGTTTATTTGATCAATCCGAAGTCCAGTTTTTGGGGTATTTAATTTCTGCTAAGGGTTTTCGTATGGATCCCCAGCAGGGCCGGACTGGGGATTCCAAAGCAGCCCTGGAAAAAAAATCTATGCCAGCCCCATAAGTCATTGCGCCATATATTGTCGTGTGTAATATGTAAGGCTATGTCTTGCCACCCTAGATGATTGATATATATATCGCTTTTTCCAATATAAAATATTGGTCCTTTCAGAGTAACATTTTTAATTATACAGTAAGCATACTCACATGCAGACACAGACAATCTCACTGACACAAGCTGATTGATACACAGCCTCATAGACAAACAATCTCACTGATATACATAAGGTCATTGACATAAAAACACAAGCTCACTCAGTAGCAGGCACACACACACGCGCGCACACACACACACGCATGCACACACACACAGCTTAATGTAGTGGTTCTGGGGTCTATAGCCTGTCCCTGCAGACTTTTCAATGTAAACACTGACTTTTTAGAGAAAAGGCAGTGTTTACATTGCTTCCTAGTGACAGACACTCAGACGGTCACTAGAGGTGCTTCCTGTGTCAGTGTGGATTGGCTGAGATCATCAAGCTTGATGATCTCAGCCATAGAGGCAGGGCCAGTCGAGGGGAGACCAGCACGACGTGGGAGGGGAAAAGGTGAGTAAAAACACACATACCATGACAGACACACACCATGACACAGACAGACCATGACACACACACCGTGACACAGACAGAAACACAGACACACCATGACAAAGACAGACACACACCATGACAGAGACACACACATACCATGACACACACACACATACCATGAAAGAAAAACACCATAACACAGACAGACTGTGACACAAACACACACTGTGACACAGACACACATTACATGACACAGACAGACGCACACACCATGACACACAGACACCACGACACAAAATACAAAAATGGGATGTCAAACGGAAAAAAAAAGAGAGACCGTGACAGACACACCGTGACACAGACAGACACACACACACCATGACAAACACACACACACACCATGACACAGACAGACCATGACACAGACAGACACACATTACATGACAGACATACACACACAATGACACAGACACACATTGCATGACACAGACACACACCATGACGGACAGAGACACACACACCATGACACAGACAGACACACACACCATGACACAGAGAGACACACCATGACAGAGACACACACACACAATGACACAGACAGACACACACAATGACACAGACAGACACACACACAACGACACAGACACACACACACACAATGACACAGACACAGACTCACACACCATGACACAGACACACATACAGTCACACTGACAGGCACACACACCATGACAGACAGAGACACACACAATGACACAGACAGACACACACCATGACACAGACATACACACCATGACAGACAGAGACACAGACACACACAATGACACAGACACACACAATGACACAGACAGACACACACAATGACACAGACACACACACCATGACAGACAGAGACACACATACACACAATGAAACAGACAGACACACACAATAACACAGACAGACACACACACCATGACAGACAGAGACACACACACACACAATGACAGACAGAGACACACACACACACAATGACACAGACAGACACACACAATGACACAGACACACACACACACCATGACACAGACACACATAATTTCTACCTTTGTGCTGGCGGCCGCATGGGGGAGCTGGCTGTTCTGGCGGCCACAGGGGGAGCTGGCCGTTCTGGCGGCCGCAGGGGGAGCTGAGTCTTCTGGCAGCCGCAGGGGGAGCTCTCTCATGATTTCTTCATGTGAGCTTGTTATTATTATGTTATTATTTATATAGCGCCAACAAATTCCACAGCGCTTTACAGTGGGTGGACGAACAAACATGTAATTGTAACCAGGAGCAGACTGAGAGCCTTTGGGGCTCCCGGGTAAAATTAGATCCCAGGCCCTTTGAAGGCCAAATATATGTGCATTAAATAAATGTTAAATATAACTCTCCTATAATACGGCATTCCTTTGGATGTGTATATTGTGAAGACCTGTGTATCAATGCATGTTTGTATTTGAGTCTGTGTGAATGCACTTGTGCATGTCTGATCTGGATGACTACATGTGCCTTTTTGTATATAGTGTCAGTGTGAATGCATATGTGTATTGAGCATTAATGTGTGTCTGCATGTGCAGGGGTGTGGAATGTTAAAAAAAATCTATTTGTCCAAGGGGTTGTGACAGGTGACAGAGTGTGTGGGAGGTGGTGACAGGTGGCAGAGTGAGGGGGTGCCTGGTGGCAGAGTGAGAGAGGGGGTGCCCAGACAGAGTGAGGAGGGAGGGAGGAGGGGTGACTGGTGGCAGGAGGGGGTGACTGGTAGCAGAGTGAGGAGGGGGTGAGGGTGGCAGAGTGAGGGGGTGGACTGGTGGCAGAGTGAGGGGAGTGACTGGTGGCAGAGTGAGGGAGGTGACTAGTGACAGAGTGAGCCTAGTGACAGAGTGAGCTGGGTGACAGAGTGAGGAGGGGTGACTGATGACAGAGTGAGGGAGGAGGTGGATTGGTGACACAGGGAGGGAGGGGTGACTAGTGGCAGAGTGAGGGAGGAGGGGTGACTGGTTACAGTGGGGTGACTGCTGACAGTGTGAGGGAGGGGGGTGACTGGTGACACAGTGGGGTGACTGGTGACACAGTGAAATTGGTGACAGAGTGAGGGAGGGTGACTGGTGACACAGTGGGAGGTAACTGGTGATACAGTGGGGGGTGACTGGTGACAGAGGAGGGGTGACAGAGGGAGAGGGGGGCACTAGTGACAGAGTGAGGGAGGAGGTGACTAGTGAGGTAAGAGAGTGACTAGGAGGGAGGGGGTGATTAGTGACAGAGGGAGAGAAGAGGTGATTGGTGACAGAGGGAGAGAGGGGTGACTAGTGACAGAGTGAGTGAGGGGTGACTAGGGGGTGCAAGTGACAGAGTGAGGGAGGTGAGAGTAAGTGGTGATTAGAGAGGGAGGGGTGACAGACAGAGTGAGGGAGGGGGTGATTGAGACAGGGAGGGAGGGGGTGACTAGTGAGAGTAAGGGAGGGGGTGATTAGAGAGGGAGGGGTGACTGGTTACATAGGGAGGGAGGGGTGACAGAGTGAGGGAGGGGGTGACTAGTGTCAGAGTGAGGGAGGGGGTGACTAGTGACCGAGAGAGGGAGGGGGTGACTAGTGACAGAGAGGGAAGGGGTGACTGAGGGAGAGGGTGACTGGTGACAGAGGGAGGTAGGGGGTGACTAGTGTCAGAGGGAGAGGGTGACTAGGGAGGGGGTGACTAGTGACAGAGTGACTCCCCATCTCCTCCTTATATCCAAACTTTGTCCTGCTCCCTCTGGTCTCTCCCTGGCTGCTGCTCCTTCCCCTCGCTGGCTGTGAGAGGTCTATGTGAGAGGAGAGTACAGGAAGTTATGTCACTTCCTGGCCCCACCTCTCCCATCACACAGAGCACCATGTGGGATAGGAAGCAGGAGACCTGACAGAGAGGGAGAAGAGGTAATGCTGCCAGATCACAAGTGGGAGGGAGGAGGGGGTTAATATGCAGAGTTAGGTTGCTGGGGCCCAGCGCTCCATCAGGGGCCCCACAACCTATTAAAGGAAGAGATATTTATTTTTTGCCGTTCCAGTTGGAGAGATCTCCGATCTCTCCAGCTGGAGCATGGCTGTGTGGCCGGGCCCCTGGCTGTCTCAGGCCCTCGGTCCATGACCCATGTGCCCGACTGGTCAGTCCGCCCCTGATTGTAACCAGACAAGTTGGACACACATAAACTTACATGCTAGAGGGAGTGGGGTAAGATTACACAATAGGCAAGGATAGTATTAGACTAATGACAGTTGCAAGAGAGGAATCAGTCGGGAGCTATTAAATAATAGCTATTAGCTATTATTTAATTGATACGCTTTTATGAAGAAGTGGGTTTTTAATGATTTTTTTGAAGGAGTGGAGACTGGATGAGCATCTAACGGAGGAGGGAAGCGAGTTCCACAGGAGTGGTGCAGCCCTTGAGAAGTCTTGAATACGGACAGAAGATAGACGTAAGTCTTCAGCAGAGCGTAAGAGCCTAGACGGGACATACTTGTGTATTAGGGAGTATAGATAGGTGGGAGAAGCATTATGTAGAGATTTGAAAGCAAGAACCAGAATTTTAAATTGAACCCTATATCTTACAGGAAGTCAATGTAGGGACTGACAGAAGAGTGAGACGTGGAAGGTGCGGGCGGACAGGAAGATGAGCCTCGCCGCTGCATTCATTATAGACTGTAATGGCGCAAGTTGGGAGTACGTAAGACCACTGAGAAGCTGATTACAGTAGTCTAGGCGAGAAAGGACAGTGGAATGTACCAGCACCTTAGTGGCATCTGGTGTTAAGTAGGGTTGGATGCGCGCAATTTTTTTGGCAATAGACTGAACATGAGGTGTGAAGGAGAGGTCGGAGTCAAATAGAACACCTAGGAAGTGAGCCTGCATGGTGGAGCTGATGGTAGCACCATTGACTTTGAGGGAGACAGACACAGGAGTAGCAACACTTGAGGTAGAAAAGACCAGAATTTCAGTTTTGGTTAAGTTGAGTTTAAGGAAGTGGGCAGCCATCCTGTTAGAAATTGCATAGAGGCAGTCAGAGACACTAGACAAGAGGGACGGGGAGAGATGAGGGGAGGACAGGTAGATTTGTGTGTCACCTGCATAGAAATGATATTGGAAGCCAAAGGAGCTAATGAGTTTACCAAGGGAGGCAGTGTAGATGGAAAACAGTAGGGGACCAAGGACTGAACCTTGGGGGACATCAACAGAGAGGAGTTGGGGAGAAGCAGAGCCAGAGAAAGAAACGCTGGGAGAGGTAGGAGGAGCACCAGGAGAGAGCAATATCTTGTAGACCGATATTGCGGAGGATGAATAGAAGCTGTTGATGATCAACAGTGTCAAAAGCCGCAGAAAGGTTAAGGAGAATTGGGATAGAGTAGTGACCACCAGATTTTGCAGGGAGTAGATCATTGGATACTTTGGTCAGTGCCACTTCCACAGAGTGCTTAGCACAGAAACCAGACTGAAGCAGGTTTAGCAGTGAGTTGGACTCGACGAAGTCTGTCAATCTCACATCCACAACTCTTTTTCAAGGATCTTGGACGCAAAAGGCAGTAGCGAGATAGGATGGTAGTTGGACGGGGACTTCTTTATAATTGGGGTTACAGTTGCATGTTTGCTGTTCGATGGAAATATGCCCAGCTTTGGTGGTATAATCCACACCTGGGACGTGCAGGAACCAGGAAAAGAGTCAGCAGCACAAAATAATAAAATAGGACTTAAAATATATTTAACAAATTACTTTATTAAGTTAAAAATGTATGGTAAAATCCATATGGAATAGAAAACAATAGGTGGCATTAATCTCACACTGAAAGGACCACTATAGTGCCAGGAAAACATACTCATTTTCCTGGCACTATAGTGCCCTGAGGGTGCCCCCACCCTCAGGGTCCCCCTCCCGCCCGGCTCTGGAAGGGGGAAAGGGGTAAAAACTTACCTTTTTCCAGCGCTGGGCAGGGAGCTCTCCTCCTCTGATCCTCCTCCTCTCCTCCCCGTCGGCTGAATGCGCACGCGCGGCAAGAGCCACGCACGCATTCAGCCAGTCTCATAGGAAAGCATTCACAATGCTTTCCTATGGACGCTTGCGTGCTCTCACTGATTTTCACAGTGAGAATCACACAAGTGCCTCAAGCGGCTGTCAATGAGACAACCACTAGAGGATTTGGGGGAAGGCTTAACCCATTCATAAACATAGCAGTTTCTCTGAAACCTCTATGTTTATAAAATAATGGGTTAACTCTAGCTGGACCTGGCACCCAGACCACTTCATTAAGCTGAAGTGGTCTGGGTGCCTAAAGTGGTCCTTTAACGCATTTCTCCCAGCAGTGCTAGGTTTATCACCAATTGTAACATATATTGTTTCTTTACACAAGATTTTTGTTGAATGTACTGCTGCCACCCATTGCATGCTATAGTGAGCGCCAATGCTATCTTTGCTTTACATCCACTATAATTTAGTGTTTAGTTAATTAAACCATTTCCTGTTACCCTGTTCTACATTCAAAAAAATGTTTTTCTTATTCACCATACTATATATATATATATATATATAGGAGCACCATCTCCTATATATATAGTTTATACATAGTTTCTCTTGTATCTCCTGCTCTGTAATTTTAACTTTAATCACACACAGGGCCCCTGCAAGGTCTAGAAGAGCTGGAGATAAATTCTAAATTAAGCAGACTGTGCAATAAAGGAAGTGTAAACATTAGAGGACTCTTTACAGGAAGTGTTGTGTAAAAGGCTGTGGAAGTCACAGTAGAGAGGTATGACTAGGGCTGCATAAAAGTGATATAAGTCCTAAATGGCAGCGAATTTAGCACTGAAATTGCAGGGGCATGATCTATACACCAAAACTACTTTATCAAGCTAAATTTGTTTTGGTGACTATTGTGTCCCTTTAAGCCTTTTTGTTAGAAATAGAACATCACAGTTCTGAAACAAATGATAGTAGATTTTTACATGAATGGCAGCAAAATCACTGATAATTAATCTACTTTTTCTTTTGCTGTAGATAGATGGTGTACAGAGGTGTTTTTTTCTGGAGGTAATTATTTTATATAAACACTATGTCCAACGCATTTGCACTTTTCTCATTTTTTTTTTTTATACAGCACTTCCCCCTGTCACAGTGCCATCACATTGTGTATGTGGTTCTTAAGGGCTCTATCTGGAATGCCTTCCCCTCCAAAAAGTCCAAAGGCACTGTATTCCGCCGACCAGCAGGTGGCGCACTTTGCTCTGACTTGTCTATCTACAGCCTGGATTTATGTCACTTCTCAGTTCCGCTTTGTGTTTGTTTCCGGGTCAGTGGGGAGGCAGATTAGACCGACCCGTGGAGTGCTGGTGGCAGAGTGAGCCGGGGGCAGTGCTGGAGGGTGCGTGTTTACAGCCCCGGGGGCGATATCACACCAACACACAACAACACAGCTTATTGAATACAGTGTAATGGGTTATCAATGTGTTATAAATGCAGGTTCCTGGGTTAGCGGTGTGTTATTAATGCAGGTTAATGGGTTAGCGGTGTGTTATTAATGCAGGTTACTGGGTTAGCAATGTATTATTAATGCAGGTTACTGGGTTAGCAATGTATTATTAATGCAGGTTAATGGGTTAGCGGTGTGTTATTAATGCAGGTTAATGGGTTAGCGGTGTGTTAATGCAGGTTAATGGGTTAGCGGTGTGTTAATGCAGGTTAATGGGTTAGCGGTGTGTTATTAATGCAGGTTAATGGGTTAGCGGTGTGTCATTAATGCAGGTTAATGGGTTAGCGGTGTGTTATTAATGCAGGTTAATGGGTTAGCGGTGTGTTATTATTAATGCAGGTTAATGGGTTAGCGGTGTGTTATTAATGCAGGTTAATGGGTTAGCGGTGTGTTATTAATGCAGGTTAATGGGTTATCAATGTATTATTAATGCAGGTTACTGGGTTAGCGGTGTGTTATTAATGCAGGTTAATGGGTTAGCGGTGTATCATTAATGCAGGTTAATGGGTTAGCGGTGTTATTAATGCAGGTTAATGGGTTAGCGGTGTGTTATTAATGCAGGTTCCTGGGTTAGCGGTGTGTTATTAATGCAGGTTCCTGGGTTAGCGGTGTGTTATTAATGCAGGTTACTGAGTTAGCGGTGTATTATTAATGCAGGTTAATGGGTTAGCGGTGTGTTATTAATGCAGGTTAATGGGTTAGCGGTGTGTTATTAATGCAGGTTAATGGGTTAGCGGCGTGTTATTAATGCAGGTTAATGGGTTAGCGGCGTGTTATTAATGCAGGTTAATGGGTTAGCGGCGTGTTATTAATGCAGGTTAATGGGTTAGCGGTGTGTTATTAATGCAGGTTAATGGGTTAGCGGTGTGTTATTAATGCAGGTTAATGGGTTAGCGGTGTGTTATTAATGCAGGTTAATGGGTTAGCGGTGTGTTATTAATGCAGGTTAATGGGTTAGCGGTGTGTTATTAATGCAGGTTAATGGGTTAGCGGTGTGTTATTAATGCAGGTTAATGGGTTAGCGGTGTGTTATTAATGCAGGTTAATGGGTTAGCGGTGTGTTATTAATGCAGGTTAATGGGTTAGCGGTGTGTTATTAAGGCAGGTTACTGGGTTAGCGGTGTGTTATTAAGGCAGGTTACTGGGTTAGCGGTGTGGTATTAATGCAGGTTAATGGGTTAGCGGTGTGTTATTAATGCAGGTTAATGGGTTAGCGGTGTGTTATTAATGCAGGTTACTGGGTTATCGGTGTGTTATTAATGCAGGTTAATGGGTTAGCGGTGTGTTATTAATGCAGGTTACTGGGTTATCAATGTATTATTAATGCAGGTTAATGGGTGCGCTATTAAGGCAGGTTACTGGGTTAGCGGTGTGTTATTAAGGCAGGTTAATGGGTTAGCGGTGTGTTATTAATGCAGGTTAATGGGTTAGCGGTGTGTTATTAATGCAGGTTACTGGGTTATCAATGTGTTATTAATGCAGGTTAATGGGTTAGCGGTGTGTTATTAATGCAGGTTACTGGGTTATCAATGTATTATTAATGCAGGTTAATGGGTTAGCAATGTATTATTAATGCAGGTTAATGGGTTAGCGGTGTGTTATTAATGCAGGTTAATGGGTTAGCGGTGTGTTATTAATGCAGGTTAATGGGTTATCAATGTATTATTAATGCAGGTTAATGGGTTATCAATGTATTATTAATGCAGGTTAATGGGTTAGCGGTGTGTTATTAATGCAGGTTAATGGGTTAGCGGTGTGTTATTAATGCAGGTTAATGGGTTAGCGGCGTGTTATTAAGGCAGGTTACTGGGTTAGCGGTGTGTTATTAAGGCAGGTTACTGGGTTAGCGGCGTGTTATTAAGGCAGGTTACTGGGTTAGCGGTGTGGTATTAATGCAGGTTAATGGGTTAGCGGTGTGTTATTAATGCAGGTTAATGGGTTGTGATTGTGTTATTAATACGGGTTACTGGGTTGGCAATGTGTTATTAATGCGGGTTAATGGGTTGTGATTGTGTTATTAGTGGGTTAATGGGTTGTGGTGTATTATTAATGCAGGTTAATGGGTTAGCGGTGTGTTATTAATGCAGGTTAATGGGTTAGCGGTGTGTTATTAATGCAGGTTAATGGGTTAGCGGTGTTTTATTAATGCAGGTTAATGGGTTAGCGGTGTATTATTAATGCAGGTTAATGGGTTAGCGGTGTGTCATTAATGCAGGTTAATGGGTTAGCGGTGTGTCATTAATGCAGGTTAATGGGTTATCAATGTGTTATTAATGCAGGTTAATGGGTTAGCGGTGTATTATTAATGCAGGTTAATGGGTTAGCGGTGTGTTATTAATGCAGGTTAATGGGTTAGCGGTGTGTTATTAAGGCAGGTTAATGGGTTAGCGGTGTGTTATTAATGCAGGTTAATGGGTTGGTGATTGTGTGTTATTGGTACAGGTTACTGGGTTATCAGTAATGACATTAATGCGGGTTAATGGGTTATGGTGTGTTATTAGTATTGGGTTACTGGGTTATCAATGTATTATTAAATGCAGGTTAATGGGTTGCTGTGTGTGTGTGCAGGTTAATGGGTTGTGATTGTGTTATTAATGCAGGTTAATGGGTTGGCGGTGTGTTATTAATGCAGGTTAATGGGTTATCAATGTGGTATTAGTACGGGTTAATGGGTTATCAATGTGCGGGTTAATGGGTTATGATTGTTATTATTTGGGTTAATGGGTTGGTGTATTGTTATTAATGCAGGTTAATGGGTTAGCGGTGTGTTATTAATGCCTTGGGTTACTGGGTTAGCGGTGTGTTATTAATGCAGGTTACTGGGTTAGCGGTGTGTTATTAATGCAGTTTACTGGGTTAGCGGTGTGTTATTAATGCAGGTTAATGGGTTAGCGGTGTGTATTATTAATGCAGGTTAATGGGTTAGCGGTGTATTATTAATGCAGGTTAATGGGTTAGCGGTGTGTTGTTAATGGGTTAGCGGTGTGTTGTTAATGGGTTAGCGGTGTGTTGTTAATGCAGGTTAATGGGTTAGCGGTGTGTTATTAATGCAGGTTAATGGGTTAGCGGTGTGTTATTAATGCAGGTTAATGGGTTATCAATGTATTATTAATGCAGGTTAATGGGTTATCAATGTATTATTAATGCAGGTTAATGGGTTAGCGGTGTGTTATTAATGCAGGTTAATGGGTTAGCGGTGTGTTATTAATGCAGGTTAATGGGTTAGCGGTGTGTTATTAATGCAGGTTACTGGGTTAGCGGTGTGTTATTAAGGCAGGTTACTGGGTTAGCGGTGTGTTATTAATGCAGGTTAATGGGTTAGCGGTGTGTTATTAATGCAGGTTAATGGGTTAGCGGTGTGTTATTAATGCAGGTTAATGGGTTAGCGGTGTGTTATTAATGCAGGTTACTGGGTTATCAATGTGTTATTAATGCAGGTTAATGGGTTAGCGGTGTATTATTACCGTAATGCAGGTTAATGGGTTAGCGGTGTGTTATTAATGCAGGTTAATGGGTTAGCGGTGTGTTATTAAGGCAGGTTAATGGGTTAGCGGTGTGTTATTAATGCAGGTTAATGGGTTAGCGGTGTGTTATTAATGCAGGTTACTGGGTTATCAATGTGTTATTAATGCAGGTTAATGGGTTAGCGGTGTGTTATTAATGCAGGTTACTGGGTTATCAATGTATTATTAATGCAGGTTAATGGGTTAGCAATGTATTATTAATGCAGGTTAATGGGTTAGCGGTGTGTTATTAATGCAGGTTAATGGGTTAGCGGTGTGTTATTAATGCAGGTTAATGGGTTATCAATGTATTATTAATGCAGGTTAATGGGTTATCAATGTATTATTAATGCAGGTTAATGGGTTAGCGGTGTGTTATTAATGCAGGTTACTGGGTTAGCGGTGTGTTATTAATGCAGGTTAATGGGTTAGCGGTGTGTTATTAATGCAGGTTAAGGGGTTAGCGGTGTGTATTATTAATGCAGGTTAAGGGGTTAGCGGTGTGTATTATTAATGCAGGTTACTGGGTTAGCGGTGTGTTATTAATGCAGGTTACTGGGTTAGCGGTGTGTTATTAATGCAGGTTACTGGGTTATTAATGCAGGTTAATGGGTTAGCGGTGTGTTATTAATGCAGGTTAATGGGTTAATGGGTTATCAATGTATTATTAATGCAGGTTAATGGGTTAGCGGTGTGTTATTAATGCAGGTTAATGGGTTAGCGGTGTGTTATTAATGCAGGTTAATGGGTTAGCGGTGTGTTATTAATGCAGGTTACTGGGTTAGCGGTGTGTTATTAAGGCAGGTTACTGGGTTAGCGGTGTGTTATTAATGCAGGTTAATGGGTTAGCGGTGTGTTATTAATGCAGGTTAATGGGTTAGCGGTGTGTTATTAATGCAGGTTACTGGGTTATCAATGTGTTATTAATGCAGGTTAATGGGTTAGCGGTGTATTATTAATGCAGGTTAATGGTGTTATTAATGCGGTGTGTTATTAATGCAGGTTAATGGGTTAGCGGTGTGTTATTAATGCAGGTTAATGGGTTAGCGGTGTGTTATTAATGCAGGTTAATGGGTTATCAATGTATTATTAATGCAGGTTACTGGGTTAGCGGTGTGTTATTAATGCAGGTTAATGGGTTAGCGGTGTATTATTAATGCAGGTTAATGGGTTAGCGGTGTGTTATTAATGCAGGTTAATGGGTTAGCGGTGTGTTATTAATGCAGGTTAATGGGTTAGCGGTGTGTTATTAATGCAGGTTAATGGGTTAGCGGTGTGTTATTAATGCAGGTTAATGGGTTAGCGGTGTGTTATTAATGCAGGTTAATGGGTTAGCGGTGTGTTATTAATGCAGGTTAATGGGTTAGCGGTGTATCATTAATGCAGGTTAATGGGTTAGCGGTGTTATTAATGCAGGTTAATGGGTTAGCGGTGTGTTATTAATGCAGGTTCCTGGGTTAGCGGTGTGTTATTAATGCAGGTTCCTGGGTTAGCGGTGTGTTATTAATGCAGGTTACTGAGTTAGCGGTGTATTATTAATGCAGGTTAATGGGTTAGCGGTGTGTTATTAATGCAGGTTAATGGGTTAGCGGTGTGTTATTAATGCAGGTTAATGGGTTAGCGGTGTGTTATTAATGCAGGTTAATGGGTTAGCGGTGTGTTATTAATGCAGGTTAATGGGTTAGCGGTGTGTTATTAATGCAGGTTACTGGGTTAGCGGTGTGTTATTAAGGCAGGTTACTGGGTTAGCGGTGTGTTATTAATGCAGGTTAATGGGTTAGCGGTGTGTTATTAATGCAGGTTAATGGGTTAGCGGTGTGTTATTAATGCAGGTTAATGGGTTAGCGGTGTTTTATTAATGCAGGTTAATGGGTTAGCGGTGTATTATTAATGCAGGTTAATGGGTTAGCGGTGTGTCATTAATGCAGGTTAATGGGTTAGCGGTGTGTCATTAATGCAGGTTAATGGGTTATCAATGTGTTATTAATGCAGGTTAATGGGTTAGCGGTGTATTATTAATGCAGGTTAATGGGTTAGCGGTGTGTTATTAATGCAGGTTAATGGGTTAGCGGTGTGTTATTAAGGCAGGTTAATGGGTTAGCGGTGTGTTATTAATGCAGGTTAATGGGTTAGCGGTGTGTTATTAATGCAGGTTACTGGGTTATCAATGTGTTATTAATGCAGGTTAATGGGTTAGCGGTGTGTTATTAATGCAGGTTACTGGGTTATCAATGTATTATTAATGCAGGTTAATGGGTTAGCAATGTATTATTAATGCAGGTTAATGGGTTAGCGGTGTGTTATTAATGCAGGTTAATGGGTTAGCGGTGTGTTATTAATGCAGGTTAATGGGTTATCAATGTATTATTAATGCAGGTTAATGGGTTATCAATGTATTATTAATGCAGGTTAATGGGTTAGCGGTGTGTTATTAATGCAGGTTAATGGGTTAGCGGTGTGTTATTAATGCAGGTTAATGGGTTAGCGGTGTGTTGTTAATGCAGGTTAATGGGTTAGCGGTGTGTTATTAATGCAGGTTAATGGGTTAGCGGTGTGTTATTAATGCAGGTTATGGGTTATCAGTGTGTTATTAATGCAGGTTAATGGGTTAGCGGTGTGTTATTAATGCAGGTTAATGGGTTAGCGGTGTATTATTAATGCAGGTTAATGGGTTAGCGGTGTGTTGTTAATGGGTTAGCGGTGTGTTGTTAATGCAGGTTAATGGGTTGTTATTAATGCAGGTTCCTGGGTTAGCGGTGTGTTATTAATGCAGGTTCCTGGGTTAGCGGTGTGTTATTAATGCAGGTTACTGAGTTAGCGGTGTATTATTAATGCAGGTTAATGGGTTAGCGGTGTGTTATTAATGCAGGTTAATGGGTTAGCGGTGTGTTATTAATGCAGGTTAATGGGTTAGCGGCGTGTTATTAAGGCAGGTTACTGGGTTAGCGGTGTGTTATTAAGGCAGGTTACTGGGTTAGCGGCGTGTTATTAAGGCAGGTTACTGGGTTAGCGGTGTGGTATTAATGCAGGTTAATGGGTTAGCGGTGTGTTATTAATGCAGGTTAATGGGTTAGCGGTGTGTTATTAATGCAGGTTACTGGGTTATCGGTGTGTTATTAATGCAGGTTAATGGGTTAGCGGTGTGTTATTAATGCAGGTTACTATGGGTTAGCGGTGTGTTATTAATGCAGGTTAATGGGTTGTGGTGTGTTATTAATGCAGGTTAATGAGTTTCTTGATTGTATTATATGCAGGTTAATGGGTTAGCGGTGTATATTAATGCAGGTTAATGGGTTAGCGGTGTGTTATTAGGCAGGTTATGGTTGGCGGTGTGTTATTAATGCAGGTTAATGGGTTGTGTGTTATTAATGCAGGTTAATGGGTTAGCGGTGTGTTATTAATGCAGGTTAATGCAGCGGTGTTTGTTGTTAATGGGTTAGCGGTGTGTTATTAATGCAGGTTAATGGGTTAGCGGTGTGTTATTAATGCAGGTTACTGGGTTATCAATGTGTTATTAATGCAGGTTAATGGGTTAGCGGTGTGTTATTAATGCAGGTTAATGGGTTAGCAATGCGGGTTAATGGGTTAGCGTATTAATGCAGGTTAATGGGTTAGCGGTGTGTTATTAATGCAGGTTAATGGGTTAGCGGTGTGTTATTAATGCAGGTTAATGGGTTAGCGGTGTGTTATTAATGCAGGTTACTGGGTTAGCGGTGTGTTATTAATGCAGGTTAATGGGTTAGCGGTGTGTTATTAATGCAGGTTAATGGGTTAGCGGTGTGTTATTAATGCAGGTTAATGGGTTAGCGGTGTGTTATTAATGCAGGTTAATGGGTTAGCGGTGTGTTATTAATGCAGGTTACTGGGTTATCAATGTGTTATTAATGCAGGTTAATGGGTTAGCGGTGTGTTATTAATGCAGGTTACTGGGTTATCAATGTATTATTAATGCAGGTTAATGGGTTAGCGGTGTGTTATTAATGCAGGTTACTGGGTTAGCGGTGTGTTATTAATGCAGGTTAATGGGTTAGCGGTGTGTCATTAATGCAGGTTAATGGGTTAGCGGTGTGTTATTAATGCAGGTTAATGGGTTAGCGGTGTGTTATTAAGGCAGGTTAATGGGTTAGCGGTGTGTTATTAAGGCAGGTTAATGGTTAGCGGTGTGTTATTAATGCAGGTTAATGGGTTAGCGGTGTGTATTAATGCAGGTTAATGGGTTAGCGGTGTGTTATTAATGCAGGTTAATGGGTTAGCGGTGTGTTATTAAGGCAGGTTAATGGGTTAGCGGTGTGTTATTAATGCAGGTTAATGGGTTAGCGGTGTGTTATTAATGCAGGTTACTGGGTTATCAATGTGTTATTAATGCAGGTTAATGGGTTAGCGGTGTGTTATTAATGCAGGTTACTGGGTTATCAATGTATTATTAATGCAGGTTAATGGGTTAGCAATGTATTATTAATGCAGGTTAATGGGTTAGCGGTGTGTTATTAATGCAGGTTAATGGGTTAGCGGTGTGTTATTAATGCAGGTTAATGGGTTATCAATGTATTATTAATGCAGGTTAATGGGTTATCAATGTATTATTAATGCAGGTTAATGGGTTAGCGGTGTGTTATTAATGCAGGTTACTGGGTTAGCGGTGTGTTATTAATGCAGGTTAATGGGTTAGCGGTGTGTATTATTAATGCAGGTTAATGGGTTATCAATGTGTTATTAATGCAGGTTAATGGGTTAGCGGTGTGTTATTAATGCAGGTTACTGGGTTATCAATGTATTATTAATGCAGGTTAATGGGTTAGCGGTGTGTATTATTAATGCAGGTTAATGGGTTAGCGGTGTGTATTATTAATGCAGGTTAATGGGTTAGCGGTGTGTATTATTAATGCAGGTTAAGGGGTTAGCGGTGTATTATTAATGCAGGTTAATGGGTTATCAATGTATTATTAATGCAGGTTAACGGGTTAGCGGTGTGTTATTAATGCAGGTTAACGGGTTAGCGGTGTGTTATTAATGCAGGTTAAGGGGTTAGCGGTGTGTTATTAATGCAGGTTAAGGGGTTAGCGGTGTGTTATTAATGCAGGTTAATGGGTTATCAATGTATTATTAATGCAGGTTAATGGGTTATCAATGTATTATTAATGCAGGTTAATGGGTTATCAATGTATTATTAATGCAGGTTAATGGGTTATCAATGTATTATTAATGCAGGTTAAGGGGTTAGCGGTGTGTATTATTAATGCAGGTTAAGGGGTTAGCGGTGTGTATTATTAATGCAGGTTAAGGGGTTAGCGGTGTGTATTATTAATGCAGGTTACTGGGTTAGCGGTGTGTATTATTAATGCAGGTTAAGGGGTTAGCGGTGTGTATTATTAATGCAGGTTACTGGGTTAGCGGTGTGTATTATTAATGCAGGTTCCTGGGTTAGCGGTGTGTATTAATGCAGGTTACTGGGTTAGCGGTGTGTTATTAATGCAGGTTACTGGGTTAGCGGTGTGTTATTAATGCAGGTTAAGGGGTTAGATGTGTATTAATGCATTATCTATTATTAATGCAGGTTAATGGGTATCAGTGTATTTTTATTGCAGGTTAAGGCGTTAGCAATGTATTTTTAAAGCATGTTAAGAGGAAGCATGATTTAGTTAACAATTCACTATAGTCACCAGAACCACTGCAGCTTGATATAGTGGTTCAGGTGTCTATAGCCTGTCCCTTAAGGCTTTTCAATGTAAACACTGCCTTTTTGGAGAAAAGACAGGGTTTACATTGCTGCCTAGTAACATCTCTAGTGGCCGTCACTCAAACAGGCACTAGAGGTGCTTCCTAATCCTGTGCTGCATACTGTGTAGCACCTATGTTTAGCGTTTACACGCTTGGCATAGAGACACTAAATGCTCCCAATAGAGATTACATATTACATAGCTGAAAAGAGACTTGGTTCCATCAAATTCAACCTTCCTAACGTATGTTTTTGCTGTTGATCCAAAATTCGGTATGAGAAGATGCAGATTAGTACATGAACAATTGCCTCCCAATGCTTTCATATGGGAAAGCATTGGCATGGCTGAGATCATCAAGATCTCAGGGGGACCATCACCTAAACACACTCACACATATACACACCCTCACACTCAGAAGTTGTAAAATATATATATATATATATATATATATATATATATATATATATATATATATATATATGTGTGTGTATATATATATGTATGTGTGTGTGTGTATGTATATATATATAATGTATGTATATGTGTGTGTGTTTATATTTTTTAATTGAAATCCACCCAACCTCCCTACCTTTGGATAGCTGGAGTGGATCGTTTTCTCTGGGGTCCAGTGGGGCTGCTATCATTTCCCTGCTCTGCACCCTGTTGCGCACTGTTTAGTAAGCCGGGCCAGAATGTCATATTCCGGCTCCCGACATCAATGCAGGGTGCACGAGGCAGCTGAGCAGGTAGATAATAGCTCTCTCTCTGCCCAACTCTGTGCTGTAAGAATAGGTTTTGACTCTGTTCTCAAAGTGGAAATGCTTCTGTCAAGAAGACGGCAATTAAAGGTGTATTTAACCCTGCAATGTAAACATTGCCCTATCTACTAAACAGCAATATTTTACATTTTAGGGTTAAACCTAATAGACCACTGTACATAGAGCACTTCATTGAGGTTAAGTGGTCTGCTTGCTTTAACTGGCCCTTTAAACCCCAAAAAGGAGATACTGCTATTTCTTAAAAATCAGGAAGGTTCTACTATATTTCCTTGTCTGCAAAGTAAACTGCACGCTAATGTTTTGTTTGTTTTAACTCCGAACATTTTTTCATGACATATATTACGGCATAGTATTCGTACATTGTTGTGGCTTGCGCAAAAGCCGATGTTAGCAGAGTTCCATTAGGTGTGTATCATATACAACAAGTATGTTCATAGTCTGTCACATTTTTTCATTTTTTATATACAAAGAAGACAGTTCTCCCTCCATTTAGCTTTAAATCTAGTGAAAGGCCATGTTCCCCAGTGGGGGAGGCAGGAGTAGGATTGCCCCGGCTATGCATCCATGTCGGTGCTAGTTGTTTTAAGGAATCGTATTCATGTACGTTCTAACATCTCTATCCAGGGTATCTTTCAGATGCATGGAGCCATGGTCATTGTTATTACCGGTTTCTCTCTTTGGAGAGAGCAGCAAGAGTGTTCAAGAGGGGTGAGGTGAGAGGTAGACGCTGAGTGGGGTAGTGGGGGGAGGGTTTGGAGAGGGGTGGCCCTGCTGCCGGGGCAGGGGTGATAGGTCAAGTCTGCACCTATGTGCACTCATTGGCTAGTGTAATCTTCCCACGGTTCCCATATTTTGAGGAAGAGCGGGTACGTGTCTCGTACCTGTGCTGTAAGCTTATACATAAGGTGTGCCTCTTTGATATTGCGGGTCACCCTGTCCATCTGGCAGCTAGGTTGATTTTATTTAGGAGCTTTTTTTCTCTGTTAGGTAGGCTATCTATCGATTTTAGCTATCAGGAATGTCCAGGGGTCTGGTCCGATTGGCTTATTTAGGATTGCTGTCAGGAGTCTAGCTATGCTATCCCAATACTGTACGGAATTCGGGCATGTCCACCACATATGTAGGTATGAACCCTTCTCCCCACAGCCTGTCCAGCATGTGTCTGTGGGTGTTTTGCCCATTCTGTGTAGTTTGACTAGTGTGGTGTACCACCTCATGAGCGTCTTGTAGCACTGTTCTTGGTGGATGACACATACGGAGGCCTTAGTTGCTGCCTCCCATATGTCCTGCCATTCCCCACTTTCTAGTGTCTGGTAAAGTTCAGTTTCCCATTGTGATACATAGGAAGGTGTTTGGGCCTCATTTGGTGGGCGCGCTCAATTGCATGTATAGGAGGGTGATGAGGCTGGCACGTGGTCTATCAGACATACAGTGTTTCGTAGAATGTGGGTTTTGCCCTAGCTGCCTCTGCGATAGCGGGTTTTTTGTCCTTAAGTTGAAGGTAATTTAAGTGATCTTTGGTAGTTAGTGGGGCCAGGGTCTTCAAATTATCAAAGGTGCGGAATGTGCCTGCATGGAATAGGTGGTAATAACGTTGAGTCCCTGGGTGTCATGCCCTGCGGGAATGCTTTGTTGCGGAGGTGTGGTGTTAGGGGTGATGTAGGGTGTGTGTGAGTGCGAGTGCATATTTATCCGCCGTGGTGTCCCACATCCTGATTGAGTTCAGTATGGCTGGGCAGTTAGTACGGAGCTCAGGTCGGTCGGCCCTAGGCACCCATATCCAGAACTGTGGGAGATCAGTGCTTATAAGGAGCATTTCTAGGTCAACCCATCTATGAATATCTGGTGGCAAGTTCCATTCTACAGTTTGCGCCAGTTGAGTTGATAGGTAGTATAGGTGGAGATTGGGGAGTCCCAGACCTCCTCTACTCTTTGGAGTGTATAATGGGTGCTTTGATACTCTGTGCCTCTTTCTGGCCCAAATTAAGTTGTCTATTGCTGTTTGTAGTGGTTTGAGGTCGCTTTTGGTTACTGCCACTGGCAGAGGAACAGGAGGCACGGAAGGAGGTTCATCTTAATGGTGTGTAGATGGGTTTCTCATGCCATTTGTCTAAGTCTGCCTGTAAGGTATGAAGCAGTCGTTGGTGGTTTTTGGTTATAGGTCAGTGTGGTTTTGTGTAAGTCTGACACCTAGGTATTTGATGGGTTGTGTACTGATTTTTAGGTCAGTCGTATGTTGTAGCCAGTGAACGTCTGCGATGCCCAGTGGCATGCCAACTGACTTTTCTAGATTTATTTTGTATCCCGACACCTGTCGATACTTGTCCAGGATGTGAGGTACTGATTCTTTAGGTTCTGTGATGGTGAGCAGTATATCATCTGCATAAACAGAAACTTTGAATTTGTCGGACACTACCTGTATTCCTTTTATATTCTCGTTCATTCTGCCGATCATCTTATTAATCGTATATTAAAATAAGTTTTAACTCCGATCATCTTATTAATCGTATAATAAAATAACCTATCGTATAACGGCATAGAGTAAGTAAAACATGTATAATTTTATATGAAAAGGGACTGTTTTACTTGTGTTGCACATTATTTGGGGGAGGAGTGGGGTCGATGCCTCTGGCAAATATAGACCTAAACCAACATAACACCTCTAAATTTTGGTGGTTGACTTACACTGGCATATATTGTGCATTTTTTTTTTCTTGATTCCAGTAACCCAAAACTGGTTATTTCTCCGACTCCACAGCCCTGTACGTTTAATTTTTTTTGGGGGGAGGGGACTACATTGAAATCGAAATCTATCACTCTGTGACATATGTATTCCATATACAGTTTCAGACTTTTAGGGCAGCTTCACCTGGTTCACAGTTGTTTATCATTCATTTTTAGAAATCAAAATGGGAGAAATTAATACTTTCAGTGATGCAGTTTTGTAAAAAATCTGTAGTAATTTCATATTTTACTATAACAGTTGGCTGGAAGGATTTTTAATTATTGCATTTGTTTTCTTCACAGAGAAACAGAGTGTGGCATGCAAGGAGAAAGTCATGAAAGAGGATCCATCAAAGACAAAAATTTGCTTTTAAAGTTGTATATGAAAGAAATTAAAGTCATGGGTGAAAGAAGGTGGACAGAAGCCGCTAAAATGAAAAGAAAGACGTAGTTGGATTTTTAATACAAATACCTGCATCTGCAAAACAAGCTGCCTCTGTATACAGTCAACCTAAACATTTTGTTTCCAAGAGAATTGTGGATCCACTTTGGAGATTAAAATGCCTAAGTTTCAAGTTAAAAATTTTTGTATAGCCATGCCTTGTCTGCATTTCACATGAAAAAGTTGCAGTCAAGAGAGGTCTGTCCAAAAGGAGTGTGTATGGACTGAGACGTACCAGCCATATCCTTAAAACGGTATTGGTTTTACGGAGGCTAACACTTTCGTGATGGGACGGAAAAAGAAGAGTTTACATGACTATGCTGCAGAATTCACTGATCTGACAGTGAAAAGACATTTAATTGAGCATAAGGATTCTGGGCAAAATTCATGGGTAGAAACACTGTATTGTAAATCATGTGAGATACCCATGCGTGTCAGAAGAGATCGAATATTGGAACACCTGGCCTCTGGAAGGCACTATAGAAACCGGAGGCTCATTAAACAGCATGGCAGCAGGGCCCCACTTCTCTTGTAAGTTCAATGTCTATTTTACATTTAGTAGGCAGTTGTTTGAAGTAATGCTTCCTGTAGAAGGAATAAAAATTTAAAAAAATCAATGCTCTCAGTCTACAATAAAATTACAAATCTTTATCAGTTTTCTAACAGAGTTTGTGAATTTTATAATTAAATGCCAAAGTGGCCAAACTGCTAGGAAAGCTGACTTGGAGAATGTTTCCAGTTTGCAAATTTTGGACTTAAAGGAAAACCTCAAGAAACATAAAGTGCTTCAGTTTGCTAAGGTGCTTATGTGTCTGGAGTCTCTAATATTTGGTAGATTACAAAAGTGCAGATTTCAATATAAATCATCCATACCTCCCAACTAACCCTATTTAGAGACCAAGTTCCTGTGTCATACTTTTCTTCCCCAATGTGTCTCTTGGCTAGGAATTCAATTTTATCTGCTTCTCTTAGTTCCACGGGGCAAATAGAAGTGGAAGGCACAATAGATTAGAGCCTCAATGAGCTGTATTACAACTCAGTGAGAAACATTAAAAAGTCTAAGATTGGTGAATTTCCCAGAAAAGAGGCTGCAGACAGCAGGTCCTTGGTTTTTGCAAGCTGTTATTTTTTAACTAAAGTGAGAATTGTCAGAAATTCATAGTGAATTTAAAATGGGGATCCACCGATATAGTTCATATGCCGATAATCTGTACAGACATTCTTCCCTCCTCCCTGTCTTTTACCTGTGGTCATTACGCTGCCTGGTGGCCCAGTGTCTGGGTATACGCTGGCTGCCAGGGGGTTTTGCATTGTAGAGAGGGAGGCTGGGACCAAGCACTCAAACTCTTCTGTTTTTTGGTGAATCTTCTCTTCATCATTTGCGAGCCTGGCATGAAGTGCAGAGCGTTGCCACAGTGACCCACGGCTATGCTTTGATTGCTGGGGGCTTGCAAGAGTTGGAGAAAGAACCTGTCAGAAATAGAAGAGGACAAGTGCTGGGTCCTGGACGCCTCCTCTACAGTGTGAGTGACATGTGAAGGAGAATATACACTGGTTGCCACAACATTAAAACCACTGATGGGTGTAGTGAATAGCCTGTTGGAAGCGCAAAAAAAATCTGAGTGATTTTTGACAAGGACCAAATAGTGATGGCTAGATGACTCTCCTCTCCAAAAGGGATTATGCACGCTGGGAGCAAAGAGTAACCCATCTGTTCCGATCACATGAAAGAGCTGCTGTAGCTTTGTAGACTTTGGCAAAAAAAAAAAAAGTGCAGGCCTTGATAGAAAGGTGTCAGAATACACAGTGCATCGCAGTTTGCTGCAGATGGCCATGATGACCCCTGTCCACCCTCTGAAGCTCTTTCAATGGTGACATGAACATCAGAACTGGACCAAAGAGCAATGGAAGAAGGTTGCATGGTCTGAGGAATCACTTTTTCTTTTAGATCAGATGGATTGCCGCCAGGTGCGTGTGTGTCTTTACCTGGGCAATAGATGCCAGCAGGATACACTATGGGAAGAAGGCAGGCCGGCAGAGGCAGTTTTATGCTTTGGACAGTGCTCTACTGGGAATCCTTTTTTTTCTGCTGGGTTCCTGACATTCATGTGGATGTTACTTTGACATGCACCCTTGCAGAGTGCAACGGTAATGGTGTTACCTGATAGCAGTGGCCTCTTTTAGCAGGATAATGCACCCTCCCACACTGCAAAAATTGTCCAGGAATGGTTTGTGGAACATGGCAAAGAGTTCAGTGTTGCCTTGGCTTCTAAATTCTCCAGATCTCAATCCGATTGAGTATCTGTGGGATGTGCTGGATTAACAGACCTTATCCATAGAGGATCCACTTTTCAATTTGCAGGACTTGGTGCCAGATACCACAGGACACATAACATTCAGAGGTCATGTGGAGTCCATGCCTTAATGCATCAGAACAGTTTCACAGCATGAGGGGGACCTACATGGTATTAGGCAGGTGGTTTTAATGTTGTGGCTGATCAGTGTATGCTATGTTTGGAACGAAAAGAACCCGTGAATGAAGGTGTTCAGAAATAGAATAGAAAAATGATCAGACCTAATGAGAGAATTTGTACTTCGCTGCAAAAATCTATCAGTGTATTTGTGCACGACATCTCAGGATTTAACTTCTCTTATTGACAGAAGTCTACCCTGACAATTGACAGATAAAGGTAAAACCATTGTCTGTGTTTTATTTAAGGAAAGTTGTGTATCATGACAAGTACACTTTAAATAATTAGTGGACTGATTTTCCACTTATAAGGAACCCAGGTAAGGCAGAATATTCAGATTATTGTTCTTCTATCCTTCAAAAGAACAGAGTTCTACTTTTAAAGGCAACTAAGCAGGGGGTAAGATCTGAAACTTTGCTCAAGGTACACAGTTGTTCCAAAAAGTGTGCAGCATAGAAAAGATGAGTTTCAAGCCAGGTATTTCTTTAAAGTTACACAATGTGTGATGTCACAAACTGGACTTCCACGCACCGTGTAACAGCAGCAAAAAATGCCAAGACTTATGAAGCTAACTTCCTCAGCCAGGATGATAACCACAAACCGAGAAAATAAGTTGAAGATGACTTGATCTTGTGAACACCTGTTTTTTTTTTTTTATTCTTTATTTACAATCAACCTTTTAAAGGGACACTATAGTCACCAGAACAACTACAGCTTAATGTAGTTGTTCTGGTGAGTATAATTGCTCCCTTCAGGCATTTTTGTGCAAACACTACCTTTGCAGAGAAAAAGTAAGCGTAATGACTTTTTTTGTTTGTTTTTTTTTTTATATATATATAGAGTTGGGCTTAAAAAGAAAAAAGGCAGTGTTTACATTGCCCCTAGGGACAACTCCAAATGGCCCTCCTCAGATGACCACTGGAGGGGCTTTCTGGCTAAGGGCTGCACAGTAAGCAGCCCTGCCGTTCACGTGGGGACGCTGAATTTTCCTCATAGAAATGCTAAAGCGGGGGTGGGGGGAAGGGGCAAGCCACGTAAATGGTGGGTTTTCACTATAGGGTCAGGAATACATGTTTGTGTTCCTGACACTATAGGGATCCTTTAAGCTTCTTGTGAGCACTTCTGCACAGTGTTTCTCAATTTGACACAATTTTTTATTTTTTTTATTTCTTCAAATGTTGAAGAGCCATAAAGGAAGTTGAAGTTACAAAGATGCATTGTCATGTAGTTTTGCCTGCCATAAAATGGAGATTAATCCTGCCACTATATACAAACATTCACGTCCAGGTTTATTTATTTTTTGGTGCGCCAGATTAAAAAATGAGTGACACATTAGTCACATTGAGGGGAAGTTTGTCTTATTGACGTGTTTGTCATGCATAGACCCAGTTTCTTTTTTTCAGATAATATTAAATATGCATCTCAAACTCAGGACCCCCTTGTTGTTTAACAACATCTCCCATCATTCTTTGGCCATATAGTTAATTCAAAGAATTCTGGAAGTTGTGGACAGTATAGTACAATGGCATGTTTACATTTGTCCAAATCCATGTCTAAAGTTGCTGTCAGGCTGAAGGCATGAAGATCTCCAAAAATCCAAGGTCTTCATCTTTTTGCATCATCTCAGTTTGCATGATGGTGCTGAATCCTTTCATGCTTCTCTATTAGTAGCTTCTGATTGACAGTGAGCGACAATTGTCATGTGCAGTAGGTCCCTAATGTTTCTCATTGAGAAGCTTTAGATATTGACTGAGATAATTCGTATTGATGATCTGAGAAGAGGTAGAGCCGATGCATCAAGTAGACTATCCTGGAATTTGATTACAAGTAAGCGTGTGTGTGTTTTTTTTTTTTTTTTTTATAATAAAGAGTTGGGCCTAAAACGAAAAAGAAACAGACTTTAAAAATAAATATATATATTTTTAAAGTAAATGCTTGTTAAAAGCACAGATTTAGTATTTTCATAGTTTTCTTGTTGGTCCCAATCCTCTCTGCATGTTATGGGTGTATAGGTGCTTCTTCAAATCCTTGCAAAGATGAGAACTTCTTCAGTTAAAGTCTAGATGTTTGTGGAAGATACACCGCACTTATTACATGTACACTCGATAAAAATGGACATTACACCTATGTTAGCATGTGGTTAACAATTGATACATTTTCAAATTCAAATATTACAGTGATGTTTCAGTACTGATGTACTGAGCTGAAATGAATTTATAGCTGAAAGCTTACTACATATTTTATGATAAATTTAAATGGATGTCAGAGACCTAGGACAAGAGATGAAGGCTGAATATGCGTATTAAGCGTTACGTCTGAATACAATTCCTGGCAATTGTCAAACAAATTGATTCTGAAAATTCTATTAGTTCCACAAATGAACTAAATCAGAATCATCAGAATTAAAGGGACACTCCAGGCACCCAGACCACTTCTGCCCATTCGAGTGGTCTGGGTGCCAACTCTCACTACCCTTAACCCTGTAAGTGTAATTATTGAAGCTTTCTTAAACTGCAATATTTACCTTGCAGGGTTAACTCCTCCTCTAGTGGCTGTCTACTAGACAGCCACTAGAGGGCACTTCCGTGTTTTATAGCACACGAAAAGTGTGCTATAGCGTTGCTGGACGTCCTCACGCTATGTGAGGACCTCCAGCATTGATGAAATCCCCATAGGAAAGCATTTTTCAATGCTTTCCTATGGGGGGTCTAATGCGCGTGCGTGGCATTGCCGCGCGTCCGCATTACGTCTCCCCCGTCGGCGCTGGATACAGGTAAGTCCCTGAAGGGGTTTTAACCCCTTCAGCAACTTGGGATGGGGAGTGGGATGGAGAGGGGACTTGCAGTGCCAGGAAAACTGTTTGTTTTCCTGGCACTGGAGAGTCCCTTTAAAACCCTTTTTAAAAAGGATTTTTTTTGTTTAGATGATTCTGCTTCGTTTGTGAACAAACTGAATTTTTAGAATTTATTTGTTCGACTGACAGGAATCTTATTCAGCTAATCGCTTTAAACAAAATATCTGAAGCTGATAGGCAAAAATAGAAGATTATATTGCATGGAGTATAAAATAACTACTGCGCACACTTGCTATCTGTGTTCATAGGCATAATTTTGATCTCTTCGCAAAGTTAAAGGAACACTATAGTTACCTAAATTACTTTAGCTTAATAAAGCAGTTTTAGTGTATAGAATAGATCATTTCCCTGCTTAATTCACTGTCATTTAGGAGTTAAATCACTTTGTTTCTGTTTATGCAGCCCTAGCCACACCTCCCCTGGCTATGACTGACAGAGCCTGCATTAAAAAAAAAAAAACTGGTTTCACTTTCAAACAGATGTAATTTACCTTAATTGCATCTCAATCTCTAAATTGAACTTTAATCACATACAGGAGGCTCTTGCAGGGTCTAGCAAGATATTAACATAGCAGGGGATAAGAAAATCTTAATTAAACCGAACTTGCAATAAAGAAAGCCTAAATAGGGCTCTCCTTACCGGAAGTGTTTATGGAAGGCTGTGCAAGTCACATGCAGGGAGGTGTGACTAGGGTTCATAAACAAAGGGATTTAACTCCTAAATGGCAGAGGATTGAGCAGTGAGGCTGCAGGGGCATGTTCTATACACCAAAACTGCTTCATTAAGATAAAGTTGTTCAGGTGACTATAGTGTCCCTTTAATATATGGCAGTGGGAGCATTGTGTGGTTTGAATCGGAAGGTGAAAATATGGCCTCAGGACAGGAAATGGGTTTGACTTGGAAGGCAGGATGGCGATATATGTATTCTCAGGGAAAGCCTAGGAAGGGCTAATACAATTGATTAGTAACAAATTGTATGATTTGATTTTTTTTCCCATTTTGTTCTCCTTTTGTGATCAGATCTACAGGTGGAGATTTTGGAACATCCCTTCCAATGGCGCTGGACTCTTCTTTGATTTCTCAGCCTTCATTTCTTCTTCCGACAAATCAATGCACTTCTAGCAACTCAGCTCAAAGCAACTCAAATATAATATCTTCTCCATCGTCATACCGTCATCCACCCTTGCTGTCAGTTCACCCAAACACCATCAGTTCTACCACAAATGTTAATTCGGTTAGGGAAGACCAAACACCTTCTACCTCTTCCACTCACCCATCATTTGTCTCCATCCATGTCCGAAATCCATCAGTGCCTTCAAAGCACACCAATCACAGGCACATCATTTCTGAAGCTTCCAGTAGTGTTCTCTCTGGAGGCCTGTATAGTAACAACCGTTCTCAAGAACACCCCATTGGTCTAGCAGTGATTGATGTTGGCAATGCCAGCAAGGCACTGCTGCAAAGTTTGACAGAAGAAAATGGATGTTGCCTGTATTACATTGTGGAAGACCAGTTGTCCGAAGTAGAGAGAGCATTTAGTAGTGAATTATTAACAAAGACCAGGGTATTGCAAGAGCAAGATGTGGACATTGTTTTCAGTGACCATAGGTAAGATTGCATTCCAGTAAATAATGGAAACTGTTATGGCAAGCACAATGTCTAACCATATGGTGCCTATGTGTGACACTAACCTTGTTTTTAAGTTTTTCCACTTTTGATTTTTTTTTTTTTTAAAGTTTTTCCACTCATTGTAAATAGCTAAACCATTTTAAAGGTGTTTGACTTCTTAATTGTGGTCAGCCATAACTCTTCCCATCTTCACTACAGCCGACAGAGGGCCAGAAGCTTCTGCCTATGTGCCCTTTTTAAAGTCTTCTTTGCTATGTTCTGAGGTGCAGCTTAAGCTGATTCCTCTTAGCCAATAAGCTTAACCCTTCACCAATGGACTTGGCTCAGGCAGTGAGCATCCAGCTTTCTGTAGGATGTCGAGAGTGGTGTCCAGCAGACTTCAGGAAAGAAGGCAAACCATTCTAAAATTTGGAATGTCCCCTACAGTGGACGTTTTGTTATCCATTGATATTTAATCAATTTATTTTGATAGAAAAATTGCCACCAAATTAAAAGTAATGGATTCCTGAATTTTGTTTAAACTTTCTATAAGATGTGATCAAGAGGTGCGCGCACACACATGCACATTTGTGCCTTTGGGTTGCCATATGTTAATTTCTAGGTATTGGGATATATCTCAACCCCTGCATCAGCCTTACTGTTGGATTTTAATTCTTTGTATCTGGCTAAAAAACAATAATCTATACATATATTTTAAATTTGTACAGATGCTAGCTAACATCAAGCTTGTGTAGTGATTAGACTATATTCTCTAAAAAGTGATATATTTATTACTTTTTCATGACAGACAGTTTAAAGGGAAATTTGAAATCCCAAAACTTTAGCTTAAAGGAAAACTTTACAAAGATGTATTCCTAAGACTAACATGTTCCTCAGACCCCGCAGCCCCCTCCTATATTTGTAAAGGGTTAAATAATCCTTTATTCACTTACCGATTCCAGCGCTGAGGTCCCTTGGGGTTGGGTCACAGTCCACCTCTCCCATCGTCATCTGATTGGGGGTCCTAATGCTCATGCGTGGTAAGTGCTGCGTGAGCATTAGGCCTTCCCCATAGTTAAGCATTGCTTATGGGTTTTCTCTGACGTGGAAAGCGGGAGGACGTCCATCGTTGCTTAACGGAGGCAGACTTAGTGAAATTCTTGGAAGCGCGTCTAGTGGCCTTATGGTAGACAACCACCAGAGGCAGTCTTAGTGCTGCAATGTTAACATGCGATGAAGTGGTCTGGGTACCTATATTGTCCCTTTAATGAAGTGCCTTTGGTGTACATAAAATGCCCCTGCTGCCTCATTGCTGAATTATTTTACACTTAAGTTAAATAACTTTGTTTATGCAGCCCTAGCCCTATCTCTTTCTCTCTAATAGCCCGCTAGAGCCACCTGCAACAGCCTTGTGTGTATGATTAAAGTTCAATTCAAACAGAGCAGGAGACAAGAACACGTTTTCCTGTAGAATCTGATTGAAAATTAAACCATATTTTATTGGAGGCTATGTGAGCGACTGCCAGGGGAGCTGCAGCTGCATAAACAGAAGCAAAAGTGACAACCCCTGAATGGAAGAATATTGAGCAGTGAAACTGTAGAGATATGATCTATACACTAAAACTGCTTCACTAAGCTAAAGATTGTTTGGAGTATCCCATTAAAATCCAAATGTCGGGCAAAATTAGATGGTGCTGATTTCATAGTCTGACATTCCTATGTACTGTATATTACTGTAGTGTATGTATCATTGCATTTTATAGGGATCGACTGATTATCAGTCTGGCCGATGATATCGGCTGATATTCTGTATTTTTAGCAATATCGGTATCGGCCAATAAAGATACCGATAATGCAGACCAGGGTCCTGGGGGGCCCAGCACACTTTTACTTACCTTCCCAGCAACTTCCTCCAGCTCCCCTGTCTAACTCTCGCAGATCCCGCGGATGTTAGAGCGTTGCAATGGGTTACCATGGCAACGCTCCGTGTGGCACGCAGGCCGCGAGAGTTAGACAGGGGAGCTGCAGGTAAGGGAAATGAGTGTTGCTGGGCCCCCTCTGCAGAGTCTATGCCACCGGACCACCAGGGAATGTCATATCCCCCCTCCCTGGCCAGGTAAGAAGCAGGGAGTGGGGACTAAAACAAAATGTAAAAAAATTAAATATAACTTTTTTTTTTTTTAAATAAAAATGCCTCCTTCCCCCCATTTTACACACATTACATACCTTCATAAACACACACACACTCTGGTTTCATTATATACACACACTAAACAAACACACTGCATTCACTATGCACACACTACACAAACACACACACTATGCAATCATTATATACCCTCTAAACAAACACACACTGCATTCACTATACACACACTACATAAACACACTACATTCACTATGCACACTCTGCATTCATTATATACACTCTACACACACGCTGCATTCATTATATACACTCTAAACAAACACACACTGCATTCACTATACCCACACTACATAAACACACTGCATTCACTATACACACACTACACAAACACACACTCTGCATTCATTATATACACACTACACACACACTGCATCGACTACACAAACATACATTGCATCCACTACACAAACACACACATACTGCATTCACTAATCAGATACTCTCACTGCATCCACTACATGCACATATATTCTTGAAAACATAAAAAAATCTGACTGGGATGTATATTTTGTGCATTTACCTAAAAAAAAAAATGTGCTAAAAAATAAATAAATTAATAAACATGTTCAGTTAGCAGCAGATTTGTGTAGAAATATTTTTTTTCAAAATGGTAAATGTACAGAATATCAGTATCGGTAAGTTATCGGCTCTAAAAAATCAATATCGGTCGATCCTTAGCATTTTATGTAATATTGAAGTTACCAACATATTGCTTAGAGATATAAATTGTACCTGGATCCAGGGACGTATTAGCCGCGAGGCAAACAAGGCATTTGCCTTGGGCGGCATTTTCCAGGGGGCGGCAAAAAAAGCCGCTCTCAAATGCCCAGGGCAAATGTCTTGTTAGCCTTGCGGCTACAATCCGGTCGGGCGGCGCTGGCGAGGGAGCACTTTCCCCTGAGCGCCGCAGAGTGATGCCGGGAGCTGGAATATGATGTCATATTTGGCTCCCGGCATCACTCTGTGGAGTGCAAGGGAGCTGAGCAGAGCGCTCAAGGGAAAGTGCTCCCCGGCATTCCCAACGGTAAGGAGGCTGGGGTGGATAAATTAAATAAAAAATAAAAAAAGTGAGTGTGTTAATGTGAGTGAATGTTAGTGTTTGTCTGTTAGTGTCTGTCTGTTAGTTAGTGTGTTTGTCTGTTAGTGAGTGTGTGTATTTAGAAAGCGGGCGGGGGGAAGGATTGGGTGGAGGGGCATCTGAGTTTTGTCCTGCCTAGGGCAGCACAAAACCAGGATACACCACTGCCTGGATCATTTTTTGTGGTCCAGAATCTGACTGCATCCCCTAATGCTTGTGCATTCAGCCGCAAATTGAACTTAGAGCATTGTGGGTGCATTTTTTTTTTTTTTTTTTTAACCTGTCATTTTTTCATTTTGCAAAATAATGAGTGTTCAGTTAAAACAAATTGTGCCACTCACACACTTTCCCGATTTGGACTTTTGCATCAATGAGAGCCTTCTCTACTGCAGATGTTATTGGTTACATATCCTAAAATGCTTTGGCAACTGGGAACTGTTATATCTCCAATGTTACTGTCCCAAGATCCTCTCTTGTCCAGAAGCTGGAATAGCAACATGGGAGACACAGTTGACCGCATGTGGGAGGGCAGAAATTGTCTTCGTTCTTTATATAAACAAAGCTAAAATTCAGTACTGTGACAATAAGAGGTAAATGATTGTTTAGAAAATCTAGACTTCAATTTATTAGGATAACATTTAAAATAAATTTTTTTACCATTTCAAGAATTGCTTTCTAATATTTTCGGATACATTATTTGCTTTAAATCATTGCCTTCATACTGTTGTTGTTTTTTTCAGAGTGTTGGGAGTTGTGATTTGTTCGCCTCCTGAAGTAGCAGCTGTGATGGTGTTGGAGAGCCTGAGGGCAGGTAAGGGCTCCAAGTTTCCATATGTGGTGGGCACATCTTGCCAGCGTTAGTTATTACTGTGTTCTAATGACTAAGGTGTGCAATCCTCAGTGCTCGAGAGCTGGTAGAGGCACTGGCACTCATTGAGCCCAAGCATGCCAGTCTCGCTCTCCTTTACCATGCTTCAGTTCTATATAATTAGGTAACAGGACAGGGCTGCATAATTACTGGTGTTCAATAAAATATGGCCATTATTGGGAGGAAAAATAAAATCTGTTCTTTAACCCCTTCGCGACCTAGGACGGTTCAGGACCGTCATCGGCATTTTTGCCTTGCCGACCGATGACGGTCCTGAACCGTCCTAACGGTCTCCGTTACTTACCTGATCGCCGGCGGCGATCAGCGTTGCTCCGGTTGTGGGGAGACTGCCTGCAGCCCAGACAGTCTCCCCACACTGAATTAGGACCCCTGTGGCCATGTGATCGCTCAACACAGCGATCACATGGTCACAATAGGTCTGCCTGCAGGGGGACTGTCTGTGCTGACAGGCAGTCTCCCTGCTAGTGTAAAATCAGAAAAAAAAATAAAGTTAGTGTTAATAAAAAATAAAAAAAAATTATACATGTGTATATAAATATGATATATAGACATATATTATATATAAATAATATATGTCTATATATCATATATAATGTCATATTAAGTGTATTTTTATATTAATATGTACTTATATTAATATAAAAATACACTTATAATTAAATTACACACGTGTGTGTATATATATATATAATATATATAATTATATATATTGTATATATATATATTATAAAATATAAATAAGTAATTTAAATTAAATAAAAAAATTTTTTAAATAATAAAAAAAAATTAAATTATATCTATATGAAATTTTATTCTAACTGTATTTTAAAATTAATATATATATTTATATCAAAATACACTTAGAATGAATTTGTATATAAAAATAAATAAAAATAATAAGAAATATACATATGTCCATATACAAAATTACATAAAAAATAATTATATAAATATACACGTAGACTTCAAATATATAAATATGCATATATATTTAAATTCTACGTGCACATTTATGTAATATTTTTATATAATTCAGTAATTTTATTGATTGCAATTTGAGGGACCTGCCTGCCAACCCAGGCCGAAATTCCAGAGAATTTAATTTGCTAGCACTGTATTTTACCCTGTAACATTCTACGACACCCTAAAACCTGTACATGGGGGGTACTGTTTTACTCGGGAGACTTCGCTGAACACAAATATTAGTGATTCAAAACAGTAAAACATATCACAGCGATGATATTGTCAGTGAAAGTGACTTTTTTGCATTTTCCACACACAAACAGCACTTTTACTGATGATATAATTGTTGTGATACGTTTTCCAGTTTTTAAACACTAATATTTGTGTTCAGCAAAGTCTCCTGAGTAAAACAGTACCCCCCATGTACAGGTTTTATAGTATTTTTGAAAGTTACAAGGTCAAATATATGGGTCAAATATTTTTACATTGAAAATGGCAAGGTTGGTTACGTTGCCTTTGAGAGCGTATGGTAGCCCAGGAATGAGAATTACCCCCATGATGGCATACCATTTGCAAAAGAAGACAACCCAAGGTATTGCAAATGGGGTATGTCCAGTCTTTTTAGTAACCACTTGGTCACAAACACTGGCCAAAATTAGCGTTCAATTTAGTTTTTTTACTTTTTCACACACAAACAAATATGAATGCTTACTTTGGCCAGTGTTTTCGACTAAGTGGCTACTAAAAAAGACTGGACATACCCCATATTGAATACCCTGGGTTGTCTACTTTTAAAAAAAATATGTACATGTGGGGTGTTATTCAGAGATTTATGACAGATAATAGTGTTACAATGTCACTATTGATAAATTTTAAAAATGTATGTTTTGAAACCGCAATATCCTACTTGTACCTATAGCCCTATAACATGCAAAAAAAAAAGCACGTAAACACGGGGTATTTTTAAACTCAGGACAAAATTTAGAATCTATTTAGCAGTTTTTTTCATTCGCTTTTGTAGATGAGTAAAAGATTTTTCAAGAAAAAGTCAAAAAACATGTTTTTTTTTAAATTTTTCATCATATTTTTTAATTTTTTTTAAATTAAAATACATGAGATTATATAAATAATGGTATGTAAAGAAAGCCCCTTTTGTCCTGAAAAAAAAATATAATTTGTATGGGAACAGTAAATGAGAGAGCAGAAAATTCCAGACAAACACAAACACCACAAAAGTGTAAAAATATGCCTGGTCGCAAATGTACAACATCGCAAAAACAGTCCAGTCCTTAAGGGGTTAAATTAATTTTACCTATGGCAGTGTAATTGACATGGTGGCATATCACAAGAGACATAGCAGCCACGTGTGATCAGTAGGGCTATTTTCTTGAGGAGGACACTATAGTGAGTGCAGGTATTTGTTTTTTTATCTCTCTGCTCTTTTCTCTTTTTTAGTGTTCCCATTTTATATTTTTCCCATGCTAATATGTAGTGTGTGTGTGTGTGTGTGTGTAATGTAATTTTTATATATATATATATATATATATATATATATATATATATATATATAGATATATAGATATATAGATATATAGATATAGATATCTATATCTATATATATCTATATCTATATATCTATATATATATATATCTATCTCTATCCAAAAAATTACCGGCACTCAAGGCTTTTTCAATCCAGACAAATTCTCTTTAATCCAAATCCACCATCAACGTTTCAGCTCCTCATGGAGCTTTCCTGATGAAAGCTCCATGAGGAGCTGAAACGTTGATGGTGGATTTGGATTAAAGAGAATTTGTCTGGATTGAAAAAGCCTTGAGTGCCGGTAATTTTTTGGATATATCAATATTGCAACCAGAGCACCAGGTACCATCAATTTTGGGTTGGAGTGCAGGAATTAGTCTTGTGTTTTATTTATATAAAACAAATAGTTTGTAGAAATTTACAAACTATATATATATATATATATATATATATATATATATATATATATATATATATATATATATATATATATATATATATATATATATATATAGTTTGTAAATTATTTCTATTACATTGATTCACTGTATTACGCACCTAATGATTTTAGTTTGTTGTTTTTTTTGTTTTTGTTTTTTTATGACATTATGGTCCTATTTAGAAAAATGTTAAGATTTTTCAGAAAGATTGTTTGCATGATGTATGCATTTTGGTTATTTGTTTACTTCTTAAACAACCAAATGTATTGCAGTACTGTACAATCCGATGTACACAACATGCTAAGAATTGAGATTTGGAAACTGCAGATAAGAGTTAGTCCTGCTTGAATGAGTTTAGTCGTGCCTAAATAATGCGCCTGAAACCATAGACTAAGTGAAGAACATATGGCTCATCTATTACACAAAGTTTACAGATGTAGAATTCTTTTTTAATCCTTTACATTTTTTAATTTAAAAAAAAAAAAAAATTCTTTAATTATTAACTACAACATAAGGTCAAATTATATATTTCTTTTTGTGTGTTATTTCCAGGGAAAGCCGTACTTTGCGAAAAACTTTTGAGTTCTAACAGACAAACAGCAGAAGCGTGCTTTGATGAAGCAGACCGATATGGCAAGCCCCTGGTCTGTGGCTTCTACAAGTAAGAGAAGTCTTTTTAAAAAAAAAAAAAATTCAAAATTTTTTTTATTTTCTAGTCCACGTTTTAGTTATCCTATTCTCCCAAACTTTTGCTATTCAGTTGTTCATCGCATTTTACTATGTAATGTAAAAATGTCCTTTTAGTCTTGTCATAGTTGGTTGTCTTGCTAAATATATATATTTACTTACATAGGCGTTTTGACCCAGCGTTGAAGTTCCTGTATAAGAAAGTCCACAGTGGCAACTCACTTGGAAGAATTCAGAGAATGTCATGTGTTAGCCGGACATATCCCCCTGCTTCACTCAGCAAGCTTAAAATGTCAGGTACTAGTTTGTTTGCTTATAATTCACATCATAACCAATTAATGAGCTGTGTCAGACGTGGCCATTGAGGGTTACAATCCTATAACATTTGAAGTGGAATCATCACTTTTTAAATGTATTTTAAAGATTTAACAGTTGATGTCACAATCCACACTTCATTGCTCACATGAACATTTCTCCACAGAGATGCACTAGCTCAGTGTATCTCTGTACAGGATGTTTGGTATCTTCATGCAGACTTGTTTCCTAGACTTGTTGAAGGAAAATATAGCTTTATTTAAAGACAGGAGGCAAGTGTTATGCAATATTCTTTCAGCACCAAAGGTTAATATGAACAAACAAGGTAGTATGCAAAGTAAAAATGACAACCAAACTATAGGTATCAGTGACAGCCAAGCAAACTTTGCCAAGTCTATAAATAATAGACTCCTAACAATAAGTCTGTAACCAACTCCTCTTTCATGCTGCAGTGAATCTTGAAGAATACCAAATCAATATGGAAACTTTCGAAGAACAGAAGAGAAATTTAAAATGGGAACCAACCTCCAATAAAGAAGCTACAGACAGAAAAAAAGCTTGAAAATAATCACTGTAAAACAAAAAAGCAGACAGTTAAAGATGTGATTTTAGAAAAATCTAGATTTTATAACAGACAGAAGGCTTGTATTATGCATATGTAAAATTACATAACTATATATAGTTACAAAGTGGACATAGATAAATATGAAACCAGTTTAAAATAGAAAATTTGAAATGTCGATTCAGATAACCAGTCACATAATTTAAACATGCCATTTAAAGAACCACCTGCCTGCAAAGCTTCAGTGAAAGTGGCTCCTCTATTAGAGTGAATACCAAATACAGGTAGATGTAACAAGGACTGCCAATGAAGGACAATTTAATTCATCTTAGCTGATGCGGCAGAGGAAACCTGCAGAAAAAGTTTTCAATATGAAATAAAGAATTAGGAAGGGGAATGATTGTGTAAACCAGTACATTCTAATAGGCTGTTGCTGAGACCTGTACCTGTAGTTTGTTTGTGACTTTTTTTTCTTTCTTTGCATTTAAACTTTTTTGTTCAAGTTAAAGTAACTCTTTTAGTCTGTGGCAGAGCAGAGCCAATCTCTTGTTTGCAGAAAGATATATATTTAATTTATCTCTCTCTCAGGTGGAATTTTCTATAATGCTGCCTTACTTGATATTGACACTGCCAGCTGGTTACTGGGAGAGAGCGCGCCGGATACAATATTCTCTCTAGGACATGCTTTCTGTCAAGGTAAAAAAATAAATAAATTGCTTAACCCCATAACGCCGTTAGGGCATACTATGCCGCCCCGTGTTTAGTGAGCCTAAACGTCGTTAGGGCGGCATAGTATGCCCTAACGATCACTAGCTACCCGGCCGCAATTTACTTACCTGGACCGGCAATCTGTGGCGACTGCCTCACGAGACAGTCAATGTAATATCATAAGCGTATCTTGAGAGATAGATATATATATATATATCTATCTATATCTATCTATATCTATATACACACACGTATATACATAAATTATATATTTTTTATATATTTATAATTCTAAGGGTATCTTGAGAGATATATATCTCTCTCAAGATACGCTTAGAATTATAAATATTTAAAAAGTGTGTGTGTGTGTGTGTGTGTGTGTGTGTGTGTATGTGTATGTGTATGTATATGTGTATATATATATATATATATATATATGTATATATGTATATATATATATATGTATATATATATATGTGTATATATATATATGTATATATATATATATATATGTGTATATATATATATATAATTAATATAATCTCTTCAATGTGTATATTTACTGTATTTACTTAAATAATTTGATTAATTATAATTCTAGGGACCTGCATGACAACCCACGTAGAAGGTCCATTGAATTTAATTTACATGCCCTATATTTAACCCTGTAACGTTCCATAACACCATAAAACCTGTACATGTTGGGTACTGTTGTGCTCGTGAGACTTTGCTGAACATAAATGAGTGTTTTAAAACTTGTAATGATGATGATATAATCAGTGATAGTGCAGGTTTTGTGTGAAAAATGCAAAAAACCTAATATGAAAACTAATTTTGGCTTGCGTTTGTGACTAAGTGGTTACTACAAAAGACTGGACTTACCCAATTCTGAATACCCTGGGTTGTCTATTTTTGTGAATAGTATGCCATGATGGGGGTAAATCTCATTCCTGGGCTGCCATACAGTCTTAAACGCAGCATAACCAATCTTGCAAATTTGAATGTGTAAAAAACTAAATGGGCAAGCCCTATATTTGACCCTGTAACTTTCCAAAACTCCATAAAACCTGTACATGTAGGTTACTGTTTTACTCATGAGTTGTCGCTGAACAAAAATATGAGTGTTTTAGAGCAGTAAAATGTATAATGACGATATAATCTTTGTGTGTGAAAAATGCAAAAAAAAATATATGAATTCTAACTTTAGCCAGGATTTGTGACCAAGTGGTTACTACAAAAGACTGGACATACCCCATTTTGAAGACCCTGCGTTGTCTGCTTTTACAAATGGTATGCATTGCTGAGATTAATTTTCACTCCTGGACTGCCAAACAGTCCCAAAGGAAGGCAGCATAGGCCCAGCAAACAAACCTGGGAAATTTCAATGTGTATAAGTGAAAAAGGGGAAATCTCTATATTTGACCCTGTAACTCTCCAAAATATCATAAAACCTGTACATAGTGGGTACTTTTTTTTACTTGTGAGACATCGTTGAATACAAATATGTGTAATTTATTGCAGTAAAAACAAAGTTTTTTTTTAAAAAAAAATTTTTATTCATATTAAATTGTTTCATATATAAATATTTGATATGACATACAAAAAGTCCTGTTTCTCCTGAACAAAATGATATATATGTGTGGGTGTATTTAATATGTAAGAGTTGATTTATGGTTGAACAGACACATAGCTCAAATAGCCAGGTTTTGTTTTGATCACTGAAATGGAAAAATCAATCAGTGAATTGATTATTTCTTTGTGTATCTGCCCCTGGCCAAATCAATGAAACAATGCGTGCACGCTCCCTGAAGTAATTCACACCAGACACAGGTTCCAGGTTGTTGAATAACTTGAGGAATGTTTATTCAGAGGGGACGGCAGGTCCCTTTTAAAGCAAAATTACATCATAAGCATTGTCAGAGATAACATGGAATAATACATCAATAATTGGTTAGGTGTTAAGTGGTCTTCCTAATGCTCTGCCTACTAAGGGTGATGTCACCGGGACCATGAGGGTCTCCCACGGTTTCCTGGCGCCATCTTGCTGCACGAGGTAGTTAGTCGGTGTTAAGGGGGGGGGGAGAAGAGGGGTTAGAAGCTTCTAGCAGCCATCTTGGTTAAAACATGTGTGTATAACTTTATAATGTATATCGTGGAATGAGTAAATAGACATTTTCACTAACTAGGAAATATGTGCAGACCTTATTTCCACAACAGTCCCCCCTAAAATGGCTATTTACCATGACAACTGCCACTGTCCCTAGTGTATCCCTAGCTGCCTGCAGCTCATCTATCTTAACAGGCATCGAACTCTTCACTCCGTGGGTAACCCGCAGTAGCTAGTCCACCACATCTCCGCACGTGAGACTTGCCCGTAAAGACAGACGCTTTCCCTACACTGTCCCTACAGGAATGCAGTTGTCTGTTTGAACTGATGTGACTGAAGGGGTGTATGTGTCACTTTCGAGGTCTGTGATGTTTTGGTGTAGGAAAGTAGGAGTCATGTCATCTATAGTTTTCCCTACTGCTTTCTGTAAGTACTTCTGTATGCAAGGGAGCACACAACAGGTTAGGAATAAGAAGATGATAATCATTATAAGAACAGCCGTTCCTACCTGGAATAGGGTCCTTTGCCAACCATTCATCCACCCAAACCATCTGTCCCAAGTGTCAGTAACTCCTGAGTTCTTCTTTAGCTCATCAGAAAGGCTATCTAGCTTCTCTATGGCCATAGTCACCTTACCATCGGGCCCAGTGTTGTCTGGAATGAATGTGCAGCATGTCATAGTTTCGGGGAGGATCTTACATACACCCCCTTTCTCAGCTAAAATCATATCTAGGGCCATTCTGTTCTGAAATGTCATTTGGGTGGTGGCTTGTAACTGTTCTGCCAGGCCCTGTAGGGCATCCCTAGTATAGTTAACAAAGCGCTGTTGATTATAGTAAATGTAGTTAATCCAATTGACATTCTTATTAGCAGTTATCATTGGAATTAAGGATTCAAATCCTGCTGCCACTTCATCCCTTGCTTTGAATTTGCTAGGCACCCCCCTTGGCACACCAATGGCATCAATATATACATGGGGGCCTCACGTGTAGTTCTAGAATGTACGTGTGTGTGGTCTAGTGTGTTGTGGCTACCGTCTGGAATAATGTGGATGGGCATTATAACTTTGGTCAGGGCACACTCCCCCCACCATTGCCCAGCTAGTTGGGACCTCAATTGTCTGTCACCACATAACCAATAGATATCTCCGATTGTCTTTGCATGATTCATTAGCAATGATACAGGCGGGCTATGGTAGGTTGAGCAATATCCAGATGGGAATTTGCCCAGATACACACCAGTATTCTTAGGTATTGAATAACATGTGTAATTACCTGGATATACTGTGACTCCATCGGGTGGCTTGATATATCCATGAGTGATTGGGTAAACCCTTTTCCATGATTCACATGTTGAGGAATTTGTGGTGGACTGTGCATAGAGGCTTAAGACACACAGTTCTACTTCAGGAGGTAAACTTAGAGGTACTATACCCAGATGGGGCCTGGCTCCTCCACATACATAGCAATTGGTTTTATTGTGCGAGTTGGCATTATACCTCATCCATTCTAGCCACAAATTAGTGTCTGAAAACCCAGTCTCCACTGCCATAGTGTCTTCAAAGGTGGGGTTGGCTATAGCTACCATGTCATGTAGAGTGTTAATATGTGGTTTCAACGGATTAATGGTCATGTGAGTGGTTCCTACCCAGTCTGGTGAGGTGAGCATGTCCTGTAGATAGAATGTCCCCAGTTTATTATGTGAGCCACCTCCCTTCCAATACATTCCCATTACATATTCCCCTGCGTCTTTTGGGCTGGGGTGCTCTATATTCAAGGTAAGTTTAATGGGAGTTGACCCAATAGGTTTGCTTAAAGTCATTCTGGAGAGAATGGGTTTTCCATCTTTGTCAATTCTGTCTAATGCACTCTGGGGTCTGTAGCCCCATGGTCTACCCGTGTTCCACCCGGCGGCTTTCCATGAACTACAATGATGCCCCCAAACTCCTCCAGTTACACAAATGTATGGATCCTTTTTGTTAGGTATGTCTTTGTATATGGAAAATAAGAAAAAGAACCAAAGCACAGATAATACTCTAAAGCAAGAAGCTGCCACCCTCTAGGTACACTCTAAAAACCTATAATAAACCTAAATAGAAAAAGAAAAAAAGGTGGAATAAAATCCCACCTAATGGGGGCGCTAAGCGCTAGAGAAAATGATAGTCTAATAGAGAACTATAGACGTAAAAGAGTAAATACTCTATGGAGACTTCGAAAAATGGATAGTATAAAAATACAATTTATTTTGCATCACAGTGCAATAAATATATAAAAAAAGGAAGTAAATAATAAAGTGCATAGACATCCAATGCAAATATAGTAACAATATGCAGTCCTATTATGAGACCTGGGAACAAAAACCCGGCATCAACCACTAAACAAAACAGTAATAAGTAAAAGGATGAACTAAACAGCCCTTGGTCGCGACTTCCAGGGCTGAAAGATACTTGCAAACTCGATCGGTAGTGGTGATATTGTGGTCTCTGGACTTAGATTGGATGATAGATGAGGCTCAACGCGTTTCGTCCCGCTTTATTCAGGACTTCCTCAGGAGCTGTGTATATCTTCAGTTCTTCCGGAGTCTTCTTTTATCTTCAAATTTTCGCGCTCAATTAGGTCATTGCGCATGCGAAAAAGGACACCGGCTTCCGTCGAGATTGTTGCCGGAACACAACTTCAATGCGGCCGCCTCCAATCACTATCGGGAAATGACCAATGCGCATGCGTAGCCAAATTGATGCGTGTTGAAACTTTATTAGCATCCGAATGGAGAGACACATTGAAACATATAAGCTACATAAGTAGCAGTTGCATGTGTCAATCCATTCGTAACAATAGATGCCTACAGACAGAATAATATAACCTAAGCGTGCCACAAACTGAACATATATATGAAAAAAATAATCAAATATAAAAAAATCTAATAATTAGCTCTAAAAAATAGAATTTAACAAAAAACTCGAGTTTGTGGCACGCTTAAGTTATATTATTCTGTCTGTAGGCATCTATTGTTACGAATGGATTGACACATGCAACTGCTACTTATGTAGCTTATATGTTTCAATGTGTCTCTCCATTCGGATGCTAATAAAGTTTCAACACGCATCAATTTGGCTACGCATGCGCATTGGTCATTTCCCGATAGTGATTGGAGGCGGCCGCATTGAAGTTGTGTTCCGGCAACAATCTCGACGGAAGCCGGTGTCCTTTTTCGCATGCGCAATGACCTAATTGAGCGCGAAAATTTGAAGATAAAAGAAGACTCCGGAAGAACTGAAGATATACACAGCTCCTGAGGAAGTCCTGAATAAAGCGGGACGAAACGCGTTGAGCCTCATCTATCATCCAATCTAAGTCCAGAGACCACAATATCACCACTACCGATCGAGTTTGCAAGTATCTTTCAGCCCTGGAAGTCGCGACCAAGGGCTGTTTAGTTCATCCTTTTACTTATTACTGTTTTGTTTAGTGGTTGATGCCGGGTTTTTGTTCCCAGGTCTCATAATAGGACTGCATATTGTTACTATATTTGCATTGGATGTCTATGCACTTTATTATTTACTTCCTTTTTTTATATATTTATTGCACTGTGATGCAAAATAAATTGTATTTTTATACTATCCATTTTTCGAAGTCTCCATAGAGTATTTACTCTTTTACGTCTATAGTTCTCTATTAGACTATCATTTTCTCTAGCGCTTAGCGCCCCCATTAGGTGGGATTTTATTCCACCTTTTTTTCTTTTTCTATTTAGGTTTATTATATGTCTTTGTATATGGCTGCATATTGTGCTTGTGGAAAGGTGCAAACAACTATGTCACAGTAGTCAAAGGTATATGTAGCTACATCTGTGTTGGAAGAATTGTACCAGAAAGTGTAAACATGATTATCTTTGGTTATGGCCACTTGTTGGGCCCAGGCAAAGTGTAGCAGCGTAAGAAAACACATAACAAATTCATATTTCAGTAGGATTAGCCTCTTCTGGAGTAGGCACTTTCTTGCAATGCGAGGCGTGTATCCAAGAACTTTCTCCGGCTAGCTTCACTGACGTTGCTGTGATCAGGAGCACTTGGTAAGGGCCATCAAATCTTGGCTCTATGGTGAGTTTCCTGAGGAACTTCTTGACCATAACCCAATCACCAGGGAGCAGCTTGTGTGTACCTGTATTCGACTCAGGATCTGGAATAGAAGAAAACACTTGGGCATGTATTTTGGTCAAAGCATGTAAGAGGGCAGTCACATAGTCTACCATAGCGTCTGACTGGATCTGAAGTTGTTGAGGGAAATAACAACCTAGCCTGGGTGCTGTACCAAACAAAATCTCATAAGGTGATAGGCTATATTTTCCCATAGGAGTGTACCTTACGCTAAACAACGCTAATGGGAGACTCTCGGGCCAGGGCATGTTAGTTTCCTATGACATTTTGAGCATTCTGGCTTTTAAAGTGCCATTCATGCGCTCTACATTACCACTACTCTGTGGATGATATGGTGTGTGGAATGCAAGGGTCACCCCCAGTGCTGACCAGACTTCCCGTGTCATTGAGGCAGTAAAGGAGGTCCCTTGGTCACTTTCAATCACTTCTGGAACTCCATATCGGCAAACAATTTCCGTCAAAAGGTACTTGGCCGTAGTCCTTGCAGTGAGATTGGCCACTGGGAAGGCCTCTGGCCATCCTGAAAACATGTCCACTATGACCAGTGCATATTCATAACGTCCACTCTTTGGCATTTGAATATGGTCAATCTGTATCCTCTGAAAGGGGTATTGTGGCTTGGCCAGGTGATTAGGTGCGGTCTTAATCTTTCCAGGGTTACATTTAGCGCATATTGTACAGGATCTACAGTAATTCTGTGTTAAGGTAGTGATGCCTGGTGCTTCAAAATACTTGTCAATCAATGAGTTCATCAGATGTTTTGACAGGTGGGCTGGCCCATGGGCCCACTGGACCACGGCTGGATACAAATTTTTGGGTAGGCAAAACTTGAGATTGATACTGTAAACATCATCACGGAGAACAGCTCCTTTGTTCTTCCAACTTTGTTTCTCCTGGGGAGTAGCAGCAGCTTGTTGTTCCTTTTAGAAGCCTAAGATCTGACACAGGCTTGCCGGTTACCTATTGCAATAAATCTAAATGGGCCTGGTCGGGACCTTGGTACCGGCGGGAAGAAGTGGGAGGGTGGCTGGGCTGCATAGTAGGACGGGCAGGGCGGTTTTGTGGAGGTAGGGGCTGATTTTCTTGGAAATCATCCGTGTCAAACCCATCAGCAGGAGCCGGAGGGTATGCACGGGCTTCTAAAGCAGGGGGCCGGGCCTGTGTGTATTCAGGAGGAGGAGGGGGAAGCTGAGGAAACTGTGGGTGAGGCAGGGCATGGAGGTAACCTGTGGAGGGGAAGCTAAAGCTGGAGACATGTGGACTAGTGTACCGGGGAATTTGCCGGCGCAGCACTCTGGGGTGAGGGCATTCTCTTTTGAAGTGGCCGGCCTGATTACAGTTAAAACAGGTCCTGATTGTCGTGAGGGCCCGGTCCCGGGAAGAGGGAACAGATGCAGGAAGGGTTTGGGGCTGCTGAGTGTATTGTTGAGTTAGTACCTGGGGAACATGGGTAGAACCAGTAATTGGTGTGGGAGTAGTAAACATCAGTGGGCTAGCTCTCCTTTGTGTTGGCTGTAAAACTGATTCTAAACCCTTGGCTACCAACAGGAGTGTGTCAAGTGGAATAATCCTGTACTCTGGACGAGATAAAATTAACCCTTTACGAATGTGTTCCTTAAGACCAGCCACGAAGGCTGCAGATAACATCTGGGTATGTGCTTTGTTATAGGTACTGAACCCTACGTCTGAGAGAGTCTGGGTTAATCTAGAGTGATATTTCTCAACTGTCTCAAGTTTTTCCTGTATAATGTAATTTATACAAGTAGCCTGATCAGCTAGTTTATCCTGTGCCCAAGCTCGGAGTTGTTCACAGAAGATTATACCAGAACGAAAATCTGTATCTGGTATCTGGGGAAGCCGTGGCAGGAGCGGCCGGGAGGCCGGTGACGGGTGAGGTGGTTGGGTGGAACCCCGAGGCCTGGGGGGAAACGCCCACTGCATAGGGTTGGTCCGACGTTACTGACACATCAGAACCAACCACCATGATTGGGCAACTAGAGTTGGCGGGGGAAGTATAAGGAGCCAATGCCATGGATGGAGTGGCTGTGGGGGCCGGCTGGGATGGGCATGATAGGTGAGTATTAAGGACGTGAGCAAGGGCAGAGATTGGATCGGAAGGTTCAGGGCGGGTAGCAGGAGGCGGGGAAGGGGTTGGGGGATCAGGAGGAGGAGGTGGAGGAGGAGGCAAATCTGCGGGAGGCGGAGTAGGGACAGCAGAATTGACCAAGGATGTAACAGCGGAGAGGAGGGCGGATATGGAGGTGGATAGGTCATTGGCGGTGGTTGGTTCGGGAGTCACTGGGGGAGGGGTAGGAAGGGTGGAGACAGGGGGCTGGGTTACAGCAGTGAGAGCGGAGAGGAGGGACGACAAATCGGCTGGGAGGGAAGGAGACAACGAGGCAGAAGGATGTGACGTAGTAGGGGCGGGTGTATCAGGAGGCGGTGGTGAAGTGTGAGCGGTGGGCGGATCAACCTGGAGAGTGGGAGGGGTGCCTGGGAGTGTTACAGGAGGATGGGACAAGGCAGAGAGGGCGGTGATGTAAGATCAATGGAAGGAGGTAGAGGAAGGGCCAGCAGCGGCAGTGTGTGTGGAAGCAGAGGCGGGGGAAACAGAATCAGTAGGCTGGATAAGGTTTATGAGAGTAGAGAGCAGGGATGTGGGATCGCTAGAAGGAGAAGAGAAAGAAGACGGAGGGGATAGAGAGGTTGAGGTTACGGGACGGGTTAGTTTTGAAAGGTTAGAGAAGGAGGTAAGGTCTGATGGAGATGGAGAAGGGGTAGGAAGGGCAAGAGGAGGAGGAGGAGAGGGATCAGGAGGTACGGGAGGGAGGACAGGTGAAGTGGGGGTAGTGGGTTGAGTGGAGGATGAAAGAATGGAGAGAAGAGAGGAAAGGTCCGGAGGTGGAAGAGGAGAGGGATCAGCGGGAGGACAAGGGTCTGGGGGATCTGGAGTAGTGCGGTGGGTAAGGGTCGAGAGGGCAGAGAGCAGGGACGAGAGATCAGTGGATGGAGACGGGTGAGCGGGTGTCTCTGGGGAGGGGCCAGTCGAGGAGAAGAGAGGAGGCGGGGACCTCTGTGGGCGGGGTAGGAGCTGATGGGACAGGATCCGGACTAGGGGCTGGGGTGGAGGCAAGCGTAGGGAGGCGGGGAAATGTCAACGGACGTAACGGGGGAGGGGCGGGGGATGGGGCCTGATCGGGAATGGGCTGGAGCATAGGGGTGGGTGGGAACGTATGGAGTGGCACAGGATAATAGTAAGCGCCATAGGCTCAGAGCACGGGGCACAGGGGGGTGGGGGCTGGAGCCACACCTCCAGAGGGTGGAGCCTGAGCAATGACAGGGGAAGCAGGGCGGGAGTTAATTGTCACGCTCTGGGCGCCATCATAGGGCGGTGGCTGGGGGACAGTGGAAGAAACATCATCATTGTTAACATTCCTATGGTACACATGTACAATTTGTCCTTCGAAGTCTAATTCCTCCTCAATCCATCCCTCCCGTTTGAGACCTCTGGCTACCCGATACCAAGCCTCTACAGCCTTCGTAAGCCCATTATCCAATAGCAATCCCTCCTTATCTATGAGCAATTTCCTCCATAACTCAGGTTGCAATCTCCCACTAGGCGGCATCTGGAAACCACACACTTTAGCAATCTTTTTAATCTTTAGCATAGCATCTTCCCCCGCACTTTCTTTCACAATGTCACAAGCCAACAATCCCTTAGCAGGTCTAGCATGTTCCTGCCCCATCTTAATCAACCGGAGTGAGCCACGTGTAAGGGACAGATATACAGAGAAATAGAAAGAGGAATGTCTACAGTGCTCGACTGCCACGAGGACTTGAGTCCCGTGCGTCTTCCCAAAACGTAGACCAGTCATGAGGGTCCGCCCACCCGGGGTGGTGGTCTCGGACCGGAGCGAGCGAGCGTGGGTGACTAACACAGCTCTGGGCAACAAACACAGGAGAGATAAAGGACAAATGAAAAGATGAACGTGGCTACACTAACAAGAAGACATTTACAGAAATCACACACATAAAGATGAGTGTAAACCCCTGAATCCAGAACTAGCCACACAACACACACACCACACACACACACACCGAGGCTACCCACACTGTAACAGCAGTTGAACAAAAACCACAGAATAACAGAGAGTAAAATGGCCATGTACATGTTAACACCACCAGTACCAAATATTCAAAATGCAGCAATCCCCAGCCCTCCCCCACCAGGCTGGTCCCCGGTAACACAATTATTAATGAAACACAGCAGTAGTCAAGCTAAATCCCAGCCCTCTCCGGCTGTAATGCGTCCCCTGCCCGCTAGGCAGTCAAGCTAAAATCCCAGCCCCACCGGCTGTAATGCGTCCCCTGCCCGCTAGGCAGTCAAGCTAAAATCCTAGCCCCACCGGCTGTAATGCGTCCCCTGCCCGCTAGGCAGTCAAGCTAAAATCCCAGCCCCACCGGCTGTAATGCGTCCCCTGCCCGCTAGGCAGTCAAGCTAAAATCCCAGCCCCACCGGCTGTAATGCGTCCCCTGCCCGCTAGGCAGTCAAGCTAAAATTTCAAAAGGAAAAACACACGCACCGGTCGTCACACACATTAAACAAGTACAGGAGGCAGATAGACAATCGACAGGTTCGTTTAAAAAGGCACACCGGATGAGTTAATTACCTGTCTCTAGTAGCCTTCTGGAAGCCGGAAGTGGACTCGGAGGCAGACCGACACAAAACAGGAGAATAACACAGGCAACGGCTGTATTATGGAGGTGATCAGGCTCTGCTTGTACCACTTTCCGGAGGTCCGCTCCGGTCCGTTGGATTCCGGCCCTCCGAACCGGCCCTCCGGTGGCCCCACGTTGGGCGCCAATTGAAATGGAAAAATCAATCGATGAATTGATTATTTCTTTGTGTATCTGCCCCTGGCCAAATCAATGAAACAATGCGTGCACGCTCCCTGAAGTAATTCACACCAGACACAGGTTCCAGGTTGTTGAATAACTTGAGGAATGTTTATTCAGAGGGGACGGCAGGTCCCTTTTAAAGCGAAATTACATCATAAGCATTGTCAGAGATAACATGGAATAATACATCAATAATTGGTTAGGTGTTAAGTGGTCTTCCTAATGCTCTGCCTACTAAGGGTGATGTCACCGGGACCATGAGGGTCTCCCACGGTTTCCTGGCGCCATCTTGCTGCACGAGGTAGTTAGTCGGTGTTAAGGGGGGGGGGAGAAGAGGGGTTAGAAGCTTCTAGCAGCCATCTTGGTTAAAACATGTGTGTATAACTTTATAATGTATATCGTGGAATGAGTAAATAGACATTTTCACTAACTAGGAAATATGTGCAGACCTTATTTCCACAACAATCACAACTTGTACAACTGACTCCATCCTCAAAGGGTTAAGACCAGTAATGCTTTCTTTATTATTAAACTTATCTGTTGATCTTTATTTTATATATATATATATATATATATATATATATATATATATATATATATATATATATATATATATATATATATATATATATATATATATATTTGTAACCATTAAAATTAACATTTAAAGGAAGTTTGTGACATAAATATTGCAAGGTGAATGTTTGTAAATAGATGTATTGTCAGGAAGTTCCTTGTTTCTATTCATGTACTTTCTGGTTATTTAGAGGTGGCAGCGATGAAGGATGCAGACACTGTAACCATCAGTATGAAGTTTGCCGGTGGAACCATTGTCAGTTTAGACATTAGCCAGCACTGCACAAAAGCTTGTGACCAGAGAATAGAGGTAACCCTCCTTCATTCGCTCTTGCCCCATCTCTTTGTTTGTAACATTAATGAATAGTGTAACCTTCGAATTTAATATAAATTGCATGAGGTTTACCACATCTACTTTACTTTGCTGTACTGCACTGTTTGGCTAATTAAAGTGAAACTGTACTTTTTACATCTAGCAAATGTAACATCTAGTAGATATGAGGTAGGCAACATTCTGCACTCCAGATGTCGTGGACAATATCTGCCTTGATGCTTTGCCAGCATTATGGCTGTAAGAGCATTATGGGAGATGTAGTCCCTCACATCTGGAGTGCCGACGGTTGCCTAACCTTGTACTAGATTATTTATGGAGGGCATTGGATTGGCAGGTTGTGGCTAGCACCACAAAGGTTCTGTGTGTCTCTATGAGAATGTCTGATTGGTTACTATTTAATGGAACACTCCAAACTCCTTTAGCTGGGCAGTGGATTGTCCCTTAAATGTCAGTTAGTAGTACTATTTATAAGTTAACCACATATTCACTGCTGAACAGTGGGTTACAGATACACTCCTCTACGCCACTGAATTTCCAATCTCTAATGCTTTTATTAATTTGTTATAATGCAAGATTTCCTTATCTGTACCTTTTATTTAACATAGGTTTCAATTTAATATTTTGGAGAAGCTTTTCAAATGATTCTGTATTTTTGGATAAACGTTTAAAAGTATTTTTTTCAGAATATTTAAATGTAAATAAAATTGTATGTATACAATATATTATATAATAAACAATACTCAAGATCCAGCGCACTCTCCTGTCTACTAAACAGCAACTTTAATGTTGACAGATTTTGTAAAAAAAAAATTTCTGAAGGTTTTTTTTTTTTTTTTAAACACCTAATCTAGGCAAAAAATAATGGGGATTTAGTTACATTATATGATCATGCATTGCATAAGCCTGCCACAACGTCAATGTACCCCATCTTTGGCAGGTCCTACTCTCACAGTCTAATGTCTACTCTTATGTGAATAACTCACTCACTTGGGGAAAAAATTCCATCTGAGGCTCTCTGCAGTACAATGCTAAATAGGGACCTGAGATAACACACATACACATGCAAAAATTAGAAATTTATTCAAAAAGCGTATCCAAAAATACACTGCTCAGAAAAATAAAGGGAACACAAAAATAACACATCCTAGATCTGAATGAATTAAATATTCTTCTGAAATACTTTGTTCTTTACATAGTTGAATATGCTGACAACAAAATCACACACAAATATAAAAATGGAAATCAAATTTTTCAACCCATGGAGGTCTGGATTTGGAGTCACACTCGAAATTAAAGTGGAAAAACACACTACAGGCTGATCCAACTTTGATGTCCTTAAAACAAGTCAAAATGAGGCTCAGTAGTGTTTGTGGCCTCCACGTGCCTGTATGACCTCCCTACAATGCCTGTGCATGCTCCTGATGAGGTGGCGGATGGTCTCCTGTGGGATCACCTCCCAGACCTGGACTAAAGCATCTGCCAACTCCTGGACAGTCTGTGGTGCAACGTGACGTTGGTGGATGGAGCGAGACATGATATCCCAGATGTGCTCAATTGGATTCAGGTCTGGGGAACGGACGGGCTAGTCCATCGCATCAATGATTTCGCCTTGCAGGAACTGCTGACACACTCCAGCCACATGAGGTCTAGCAGTGTCTCGCATTAGGAGGAACCCAGGGTCAACCGCACCAGCAAATGGTCTCACAAGGGGTCTGAGGATCTCATCTCTGTACCTAATGGCAGTCAGGCTACCTTTGGCAAGCACATGGAGGGCTGTGCACCCCCCCCCCAAGAAATGCCACCCGACACCATTACTGACCCACTGCCAAACCGGTCATGCTGGAGGATGTTGCAGGCAGCAGAACGTTCTCCATGGCGTCTCCAGACTCTGTCACGTGCGCAGTGTGAACCTGCTTTCATTTGTGAAGAGCACAAAGCGCCAGTGGCGAATCTTGGTGTTCTCTGGCAAATGCCAAAGGTCCTGCACGGTGTTGGGCTGTATGCACAACCCCCACCTCTGGACGTCGGGCCCTCATACCACCCTCATGGAGTCTGTTTCTGACCGTTTGAGCAGACACATTCACATTTGTGGCCTGCTGAAAGTAATTTTGTAGGGCTCTGGCAGTGCTCTTCCTGTTCCTCCTTGCACAAAGGCAGAGGTAGCGGTCCTGCTGCTGGGTTGTTGCCTTCCTACGGCCTCCTCCATGTCTCCTGATGTACTGGCCTGTCTCCTGGTAGCGTCTCCATGCTCTGGACACTATGCTGACAGACACAGCAAACCTTCTTGCCACAGCTCGCATTGATGAGTTGCACTACCTGAGCCACTTGTGTGGGTTGTAGACTCAGTCTCATGCTACCACTAGAGTGAAAGCACCAACCAGGAAGCATAGGAACTGAGAAGTGGTCTGCAGAACCACCACCTGCAGAACCACTCCTTTATTGGGGGTGTCTTGCTAATTGCCTGTAATTTCCACCTGTTGTCTATCCCATTTGCACAACAGCATGTGAAATTGATTGTCACTCAGTGTTGCTTCCTAAGTGGACAGTTTGATTTCACAGAAGTGTGATTGAGTTACATTGTGTTGTTTAAAGGACCACTATAGGCACCTAGACCACTTCAGCTTAATGAAGTGGTCTGGGTGCCAGGTCCATCTAGGGTTAACCCTTTTTTTCTATAAACATAGCAGTTTCACAGAAACTGCTATGTTTATAATAGGGTTAATTCAGCCTCTAGTGGCTGTCTCATTGACAGCCGCTAGAGGCGCTTCCGCGCTTCTCACTGTGATTTTCAGTTAGAAGACGTCAGCGTCCATAGGAAAGCATTGAGAATGCTTTCCTATGGACTGGCTGAATGTGTGCGCGGCTCTTGCCGCGCATGCGCATTCAGCCGAGGTGGAGGAGGAGAGTCCCCCACCCGGCGCTAGAGAAAGAGGTAAGTTTAACCCCTTTCTCCCCCTAGAGCCCAGCGGGAGAGGGTCCCTGAGGGTGGGAGCACCCTCAGGGCACTATAGTGCCAGGAAAACGAGTATGTTTTCCTGGCACTATAGTGGTCTTTTAAGTATTCCCTTTATTTTTTTGAGCAGTGTATAAAATCAAGGCCATAGTGGGATGTTTTCACCAGAGAAGTTGTGTTGAATTAAGAATTTATTTGCAAAAGTTAAGCCAAAGTAGGTGAAATGGAGAAATCCTCCTAATTATATATTTTTACAACTTGGCTAGTTGCCTACATTTTGAAATTACGTTTTCAGTTCAATGCAATTCACTTGTTGCATTCCATTAAAAAGTTCTCCTAATGCTGTGTTTTGTTGTTTTTGTTGCTTTTTTTTATTAGCTCTATGGTTCCCAAGGTTCTCTACGTGTAGACAATCAAAACCCACTGGGCATTGTCGAGAATGGCACAACATTCCCATCTGCTCAGACACAGGATGAAAGATACAAGGATGCATACAAAGAACTTTTTCGACATTTTCTTAGAACCATTAAGGGTCAGTAATGTTTGTTTTATTAGAACAATTCATGTATGCTATTCGTTGTTTTAAAAACTGTAAAGCATAAAGAAAGAGATTGGTAAAATACCCCAAAAATCTTATTTTTAAAAGTACACTATAGGCACCAAAACATATTAAGCTCAATGAAGCAGTTTTGGTGTATAGAACATACAGTCTTACTGCTCAGTTTTGCACCATTTAGGAATTAAATCACTATGTATATACAGCCCGTATTACACCTCTTTGCGTGTACCTTACATAACCTTTTTTAAACACCTTCTGAAAGGGAACCTAGAAATTCTAGGCCCCTTTATTACACATTCTCTTTAATCTATGATTTCTTATCTCCTGTTCTGTTAAAGGACCACTATAGTGCCCTGAGGGTGCCCCCACCCTCAGGGACCCCCTTCCGCCGGGCTCTGGGGTGAGGAAGGGGTTCTCCAGCGCCGGGTGGGGAGCTCTCCGCCTCCTCTTCGGCTGAATGCGCATGCGCGGCAGGAGCTGCGCGCGCATTCAGCCAGTCCATAGGAAAGCATTCACAATGCTTTCATATGGACGCTGGCGTCTTCTCACTGTGATAATCAGTGAGAAGCACGCAAGCGCCTCTAGTGGCTGTCAAGAGACAGCCACTAGAGGCTGGATTAACCCATTTATAAACATAGCAGTTTCTCTGAAACTGCTATGTTTATAAAAAAAAGGGGGTTAACCCTATAAGGACCTGGCACCCAGACCACCTCATTAAGCTGAAGTGGTCTGGGTGCCTATAGTGGTCCTTTAATAAACTCTGGAGCCTCCTGCATGTCATTTAAATTCAATGTGCAAAGGAGGAGATCAAAACGTCTAAAGCAAGTTAACATCTGATTGAAAATAAACATTTTTTGTGAAGGCTGTGTGTCACAGCCAGAGAAGATGTCGCTAGCGCTGTATAAACAGAAAAGTGATTTAAAGGACCACTACAGGCACCCAGACCACTTCAGCTCATTGAAGTGGTCTGGGTGCCAGGTCCCCTCTAGTTTTAACCCTGCAGCTGAAAACATAGCAGTTTCAGAGAAACTATGTTTAAATTGCAGAGTTAATCCAGCCTCTAGTTGCTGTCTCCCTGACAGCCAGTAGTGGCCACGTCTGTGATTTACACTGAGTAAATCGCACTTATCTGATGCTGGATGTCCTCACGGAGTCCAGTGTCAAATAAGATCCCAATAGGAAAGCACTGAGTAATGCTTTCCTATAGGCAGGTTTGAATGCGCGCGTGGCTCTTTGTGCGCATGCGGCTCCACTCGTCAGCTGACCATGGGGGAGGAGACATCACCAGCGCCGAGGGAGCCCGGCGCTGGGTTAAGGAAAGTGGCTGAAGGGGTTTTAACCCCTTTAGTGCCAAGGGAGGGGGGGCTCTCCAAGAGCCTATAGTGCCAGGAAAATAGGGTTTTTTTTTTTCCTGGCACTATAGGATTCCTTTAACTCCTTAATGGCAGTGAATTGAGTAGTGAGACTGAAGGGGCATGATCTACACACAAACTGCTTAATTAATCTAAAGTTGTTTTGATGCCTATAATGGCCCTTTAAAGCACTATAGGAAAATCAATTCTGGACCTGAAAAGCTATTGTAGTGCTGATGGCCATCCTTCATGTCTTTGTCAGTTAGTGCGATTTTCTCTTTTAGGTCTGCTTAACTTTTATTTGTTTGCATGTCTATTACCCAAAGTTAGACAGTTTGTTTCTATTGCATTTTAGAATTATTGATTTAAAATTGTGATTGTTTATGTTCTAGGGAAGGAGCAGCCAGTTATCACTAAAGAGCAGTACATTTGTGCCATACAGGTAGCGGCAGCTGCAGAGCAATCCTTCCAGAATGGCTCAGCTGTGGATCTACGCAGCGAAGTGGTAGATGTATCAATCATAAAGACGGAGATTGTGTGAACCAGTAGCCGTATGTGCAAAGAAATCTTGGTGGTTTCACCTTCATGTGACCGTTAACGTTCTTCGTGTGGTGACCTCCACTCATTACATCTTGCACTTCTTTTCAGAAATTGTGCTGCTAAGCAGTGTTAATACAAGCCTACTGTAATAATCAATATCTCCTTTGTTAGAGCAGTATAAACCGTTCTTTACCGCAATTTCTTAGGTTCTTCAGTGGGAATCTAATGATGGTCTTCCTGCCCAGATGTTTTGTTACTGCCCATTGTTCTTTAAACTTGAAACTTTTTGCTTAAGTAGTGAAGAAAATTGGGTGGCTACCTTTAGGGCATCAAAGGGAAGTAGCAGAATTCACGATTCCTAAAATACACTCTATCCAAGCTTACACCTCATCTCTATGATTAGCAACTCAGGACCAGTGACAAGGAATCAATTTTACATTTCTCATTTACTTTTGCCAGCTTGCATTCCTCTCACTGCCTGTACTCAGATACATTGTATATTAGAAGGAATCGTTCATGTACTAAGCACCATTTGAGAAATCAAATACTCATAGTTTATTTGGAACAGCTCAATGACAGTAATTTACCATGCTGTTCAGACACAAGTTGAATTGTCTCTTACAGAGGTGCATAGTCAACCATTTAAGGGCATTACACCTTATGCACTTAATATACACTTGTATTCTCTGAAATATGTTTTAAGAAAATGAATGTGAGTGTACCCCTCTCTTAAATTCCTTGATAATTCTCAGACAAATCTTTTTGATACTGGAAGTCTGTTCAAATGATTGTTTTTATACCAATATTTATATGTACAAACAGGCTGCTTTATGCTATGCATTTCAAAGACCAAAAAAAGAAAAAAGAAACAAACCCAAATGTTTTATTGTCTTTGTCTCTGGTTAAAGAGCTGCTAAACTTTAATATTAACATTCACTACCATGGTCAGAGAAGAAGTTATTTTTAAACTGCACCCAAAATGGTGAAATGAGACATTATAAGACACGTTCACTGGAGTGTGCACTGCTTTTTATGCAGTATATATTAAGTAAAGTTAAATAATCTAAAATGGAAAGCAATACCAAAGACCAAATACAGTAAAACTCCCCACAGTGCTCATGGTCCTTTTTAATCACAACCCACAATTGTGTTTAAAACAGTGTCTCTGTGCTCATTTGCATGTCAAGCTTTGAATTCTGGCATCGGTGTGGAAATATGATTTGTTACGTTTACGTGCCTGAGGAGACTTTCCAAAGTCTAACTTAAGATATACAGATAATGCACAACAGTGTGTGTGTGTGTGTATATCTATATACACAAACACACACAAAAAACCAAGGTCCTGCACTCACTCGTCAGTTGTACTTGCCAAGGTGCTCCTCGAGGCTTTTAACAAAACATGCACTCGAAGAAGGGCACTCACTGGTCTTCTTAATTTGAAAACTTGATTCACCAATGTTCAGTAGCTTTTCAGTATGAGCAACGTTTCAGTTTCAACTTTAAAGCGGCAAGTCTTGTGGTTTGTTCCCAGTATGCAGTGGTTAGTACCTACAAAAAGTGGTGCAAGGAAGGACAACTGGTGAACCGACATCAGTGTCCTGGGCTCCCATGGCTCATTGATGCACTTGGGGAGTGAAGGCTAGCTCATCTGTTCCGTCCACTCAAGAGCAACTGTAGATCAAATTGCTGAAAATGTTAATGATGGCCATGATAGAAAGGTGTCAGAATACACAGTGCAGCATCGCAGTTTGTTACATTGGGTTGCGTGGCTGCAGACCAGTAAGAGTGCCCATGATGACCCCTGTTTACCTCCTGAAAACTACTTGAACGTGAGCATCAGAACTGGACCATGGAGCAATGGAAGAGGTCTGATGAATCATGTTTTATTTTAGATCAGGTAGATACCCAGGTGCGTGTGTGTCCATGTGCACTATGAAAGTAGGAAGGCCAGTGGAGGCAGTGTTATGCTCTTGGCAATGTTTTGCTGGGAAACCTTGGTTTGTTGAATGCTTCTTTCACATGTACCACCTACCTAGAGATTACTGAAGACCACGTATAGCTCTTCATGTCAATGGTGTTCCCTGATGGCAATGGACTCTTTCAGCAGTATAAAGCACCCTGCCAGTCTGCAAAAATTGTTCAGGTATGGTTTGAGGAACATGATAAAGAGTTTGAGGTATTTCCTTGGCTTCCAAATTCCCCAGATCTCAATCTAATTGAGCATCTGTGGGATGTGCTGGAACAACAAATCCGATCCATGGAAGTCCCTCCCCACAACTTGCAGGACTTAGAGGATCTGCTTCTAATGTATTGGTACTAGATTCTACAGGACTTGTTCAGATATCTTGAGCTGAACTGTTTTGGCAGTACGAGGGGGACCTACATGACGTTAGGCTGGTGTTTTTAATGGTGTGACTGATTAGTGTATATGTATATTTGTGTGTGTGAAATATATATATATATTTTATATATGCATCATCAAGACGAACATAAACAAATGCACTCTACTGTTTAAACAAAGTGAGCATAGGAGTGTGTTAATGCATCTTAATTTGTCTCATGCTGCCCCCCACCCCCAAATTACAAAAAAGTGAGCCTTTTCACTAGTTCTTTAGTATGGACTGGAAGTGTAGCTAAGCCCGTCTTACTACCACATTGTGCACACAGCTGTGAGCAGGTCAATGAATGTTTAAAAAATTTACTTGGTATTTTTCAGTTCAAGGTGTATTCTACAAGTAAATGTTATTAAAGAAGCACAAGCAAATTTGAAACTTTAGTGGCACAGTAATAAACATGATCCTGTTTTCATACCATTTCGCTTTACATTTGGGCATGTGCAAATATGTATCATTTTTCGTTTGGTTGTGCTCTTAAAATTTGCATTTTTCTGCAAAGGGATTCCTCATATTAGATTCCTAATATTTATCCTCTCATGTAAGTAATATTTTTACTCCTTGAAGACAGGATTTACTATCACATGAATCAGACCAGGAATGGAACTACTGCTGGTGTAAGCAGTACTTGAACTGGGGTCCTGTTGTGCTCTTAAAGGGCTGCGATACCCAATCGGGTCCCTGTTTACTTCCTCACAACTTAATTTAAAGAGTGCTGCATGTGAGGCAGAGTAGAAGATGTAGGGGAGAGAGAATAAAGGAGAGCGCTGCTCAAGACCTCATACTCCCAGCAGCCAGCAGCAGGACCCCAAGCAAGCCACCCTCCTGCACACAAAAGTTATGTTAACAGGAGGGTGACTACAAACATGAAAATCAATACATGTATGTGTGTGCATGTGTCAGTGTGTGTTAATGTGTATCTTTGCAAGTATGCAGCCGTGTATGTTCATGCATTCCAGCAATCAAATACCAACACAATATGCAAACATTTCTGGTCCTTACTGACATCCTGTATAATCTGTGTGTATGATAATATTTTTGTTTTGTTTTTTTCTTTCTGTGTGTGCGAAGCTTTAGACTACATGTTTACTAGTTATTTGCTGCTAAAATATACCCTTTCATTGTAGATATTGATACAGAGTTCATCATGTTGGGTAACTATAACATTGTTGCATCCTTGGAGTATACATCCTTTTTTTTCAGTTAAGAGTGATCCAGTCTGTCATGGTCCCAATTCTCTTTGAAATAAACGTATAATTTCTAAGGTTAAAAATGTTGAATTTCCAATGTTCTCAACAAATACGTGGATAAGCAATGTTGGCAGTAAATGGGATAAGCAAGGGACTAAGTAATTTGCAGAGTTATTCAGTAAAGTGAGAATTGTTGGGAATTGAAGAATTTCACATTTAAGGCCAAACTATAAAAACCTCTAGTGCTTCTAGTTCGGCCATAAAATCTACTTTGGCCATAACATAATTTGAAATTCACTTTGAATTCACGATAATTCTCACTTTCTGGACTATAACCCTATGGAGTTAAGTTGAAGAAAATATTTTCTGGCTGCATACATTAGTAAAATTGTTTGTGCAATGTTTATACTTTACCCATCTTTATAATTATTGTTAAATTGCAAAGCAAATACATGGTTTTTATTGCTTTTCTTCTGATATAGGCCACTGACATACTATCAATATGTGAACAAACATTTTCTTTACACGTGAGAATCTATGATGTATAAATGTAAGGTTTCTCTTATTCAGTATTTTTTGGAACTTTTTTTTTTTTATATACATTAAATAACAGAAGTGCCTTACATTAATAAGAATAGGATTACTTGAGACCATAAAATCTGCAAATGTGATTCTCTGTTCTCTATCATGTGTTCTCATTGTGCTTTTTTTTCCCCTTCCCTTTTTTTATGCAATGGAAACTTGCTACAAAATATTAAATAATTGTAATATCTATTTTATAAACACTCAAGAGAATAAGGTATGACAACCTGATTGCTAATTAACTATCCATATTGATCCCATTTTTGCACCTTCGCAACCACAATGCAAAGAGCTCAATGCCCACAGTACAGGTTAGCATTATTTAGATTATGTGTTGGTGAATAAGTAGTAAGCCCAGTGATGTTAGTTTGTTTTTAAATAACTTTTACTTTTGACATATGTATGATTATCTTGGTAAGCACAATACATTGAAAATTATATTTTCTTTTAATTACACCTGCAGTTTTCAGTGAATGGTATATTTACATATTTTTTTTTTTTAAAGTTGCTCTGTCTTCATATGGGATCTTTGCATAATTTGCAAAGACCCCAGACGGTGACATCGCAGTTTGGGATCCGGTGGCCATAGGGACAGGGGAAAGTAGGTTATACTTACCTGAACCTGTCCCTTGTGGGCACTGCCAACCTCTTAGTCTGGTCCTCTTCAGCTCCTGGCTCTTAAGCTGCCAGGAGTCTACATCAGCGCTGTGCAAGAGTACAGCATTAAGGTCTACGGAGAATACCCCATAGAAAAAAACTTTTATTTCACTGGTGATGGCTGGGGTAAATGGCAACCTTAGCAACTTGTCAAGCAAGAAGGAAAATACTGAGACAAA